CTTCCCGTCATGATTTTTGAGGTGGGCAAAGCCGAAGGAACTCTTTGGGGCGGTCTCCAATCTTCAACATCAAGTTATGATTGGGGATCGCGAGGGAGATGTCATCTTGGAGAGGCTTTCGACTTTGCAGAAGAAATGGATCGATATAGAGACCAGGATGGACAACCAGAGTAGCCGAAGTCTATTGAAATGTGGCTACTTGCTCTAACCCAAACATTCTAATCTACTATTCGGCTCCCTCGGTATCGGGCTTGGCCAAGGTCGACGCTGGCACAACTCCTCCAGGAGATCTCAGCACCTGCGGATTGTTGACTTTGTCTGGAACTCAATCAAGGTGATCAAGATTGTGGCGATGGACGGAGTGACCTCCTGGGCCTACGCACACACGCATCCATGGACCTTCACACACATGCACATACGCACACACTCACCTCTTCCTCACCCAACGCCCTCGACGCTCCACCCCTCAGTGCGGTGGGCGGTACCCTGACTGGCGGAGCACACTATGGGCAGCGGCTGCGGGCTTCCCACCATCACTGATGACCCATTCCACTACCCCCCCTCCGTCAACAACCATAGCATGTCTCCGAATCTCTGTGTTTGTGGTGTCAGTAATGTGCTCTTGTTGCTGAGGGTTTTTTTTTGTCACTGCACTCATGTTAATAACTCTCTTTCTTTTTACCTCTTCTCCCTCCCTCTTTTGTGTTCTTTCCCCATCTGTAAATGCAATCTCGTTGTGCATAAGTGCAGTGACAATTAAGCATCTTGTATCTTGTATCTTGTAAATCTGACCCTCTGGCGCCATTTGTATTTCAGACATGTGTCTCAGATTAAATATGGGTCTTAGAGACCCCAAACCTGTCCGCAGCAGAGGAACAGGAAGTGGGGGAACAGGAACTGACATGCTTGAAAGTATTTTAAATTTAGTCTGATGTTCAGTCAGCAGCAAGACGACATGGAAGTCACAGCTCTTAGTTTACATTTATATGATTGAAGGACTGTGTATAATATATATCTATGTTCATCGTATCTATACTTTCTCCAGGTTTATGATCCAAGCTTTCTGTATTAGTTACAACAATACCCAAAAAATGTGTATGCACTTGTGTGTATGAAAATAAATAATACATATATACATATTTTTTTACACATGTTTGCTTCTTCCTACTGAAACATGTTTCACATCATATTTTAATTCTTTTTCATCCTCTTGCTTCGGTTTGATCTGTATTTAAAGGACTGCAGAACTCATGTTTTATTAAAAATCTTCTGAACTCAGACCTAACCAAACTGCAGTTCCAGGGGTGTCCACCTCAGACTGCAAACTGTCCTCCCATCAGTCAAACACACACGAAAACGCGAGAAAATTGCCCCCAGTTTAAAAATACCAAAGTTCCCCGCGAGGCATGCTGGGATACTCAGTGAGGCTAAAAATCTACCTGTCCCACTTCTCCTGCATTGGATGATAATTGCGCCTTTCAGGAAAGCAAATGAAATAAACCTTGTTGATTTCTGGATAAATTTACCCTTGCGCTGCCCTAGCAGGGTCAAAAATACCCCCCCCCCCCCCCCATGGCGTAGATAGACCAATTTTAAAGTCAAGGTGCTAAAGTACTAAGATAAAAGCACGCAGAGCTCATCCCCAAGTGTGGATGGTATCTGGTGGCGCAACTAGAACAGTTACTGGTTAATGAAATGGTTAACTTACATTTTTATCCCTGTATGACCAGCCTCCAGTTTGGGCTTTTGACGTCAGTTTATATCAAATACAATCAAACAAAAGTAGTCTACAACCTGGATTTAAACGAGCAGAGATGATGGATGGCATCTTGTAACGCAGCGTGGTTCATTAGTGTGTTAATGTAGAAAATGGATTGTTTAGTTTCAAATATCATCTTAATAATTTGGTACTTTTGTTATCCTTGAGCTTCCCACAGTTATAGCGAGTTAATATGCGGAATAGCAAAATAATGTGGAAAAAAATGGAGTCCAGAATGATTATGAAGTTGTTTTGACACATGCAAAACAACTCCTGCGATCAGACATCACTTTGCAATAAAAACATCATGAATAACCCGAACTCTCTTTAGTGTGATTATACTTTTAGACCAGGACTGGTGAGCAGCAGCTATTCAGTGTGAAGACCTCAGAGAAGGACTTTCATCAAGCCGACTGATAAAGTGAGTGATCTTTTATTGTGTTACCAAAGTGTTAGGCAAATATTTCGTTCAGAGCAAATCAAGTTGAATTGTATTTAAATGATAATCTGAAAATCTGACATTTCTAACTGGTGTGCCAAAAGCAGTTCTGTTATTGTGATCCGGTTGGGTTAAATGAGATTTTAATGATCTCATGTGATTTTTGTTTATTTGAAAATATGTGGATTTAATTTTTACTCACTAAATTTGCATTGAAACACAATCTATTCCAGTTGAATCTAATCACATCTGTGCTAATCTAGTCCAGCCAAGTCCAGTCTAGTGAAATTCAATTCAAGTTAACACATTCAAGTTAGTTAGCTCAGTCCAATCTGGTCCAGTTAAGATAATTCAGATCCAAACCAATCCAGTCTGGTCCAGTCAAATTGTTGGGACTAATAAAATCCAATCCAATTTAGTGGAGTCTAGTCCAATCTGGCCCAGTTCAAACTAATTCTGTGCAATTTAATTTGATTAAGACCAGTCCAGTTCAATCAAAAAAAATAAAAAATCTATTCAGTCTTATCCAACTCCATCCGATTCTAGTCCTATCCAGTCTGGTCCTATCCAGTCCAATACACTAATGTCCCAACTCATCTAATCTGATGCAGTTCAGTCCACTTCTTACTCAGCCAATCCAATCAAAACCAAATTAAATTCCTTCAGTCCAATCAGATTCAGTTTTATCTAATCCAACCTAATCCTTATCTATTCTAGAACTGACCTGTATGGAATCGTCTCTTATTCTAATGAACGGTCCTGGTTTCAAATCTAACCGTATTGTGAGGGAGAGATGTTCACCATATATCCACGAACTAGTGTGACCATTGAGGGCTACGCATCCTCACAGCTGATACTGTTGTGACCCAAAGATTGTGTTCAGTGTCGGTTTCAAAGTAATCCTTGTTTTGATTTGATGTTTGACAGCACACCTCCTCCTCCTCCTCCTTCTTCTTCTTCCTGTCCCTCAGGTTTCCATCTGTTGAAATGTCACTCAACTCCTCGTCGACCGTCAACACCTCTCTGAATTCGGTCAACAGAGATTGTTCAAACTCTGATCTTTCCAATTTGATCATAATTATCTACGGCATAACCAGAGCCATCCTCCTTTGCCCTCTATGTATCCCAGTCCTCTGTATAGGTCTTAAACGCTGGAGGAAAAAGCGCTCCTTTGCAACCGAGTGTCACTCAGACATTTTCACCTACAACACCATTTCTTTAGAGGCGCTCAGAGTCGTGGGGTTGATTCTTCACTGTTTGCATAAACTCACTGAGGTCCCAGAGTTGCTGACAGCAGGAAATTGTCTTTATACCATCACTTGGTTTGGGGAGAACGTCTTTCACATCCTGACCTGTGTGGAGCGGTACTTGGCTGTAGTTCACCCCATCACCTACATGAGTCTGAAACATGTCCGTGGGAGCAGGATCAGAAACCTTGTCATTGGTTATGTTTGGCTGCTGTCTCTCTTCTTCACCACGACATTACTCTTCCACTTCACCTCAATGATCCTCATTTTGAATCTTAGCATGCAGGCCGTTTCTTTAGTAAGCGTCTCCTTCTGCTCCTTATCTGTTCTCCATGTTTTAATTCACCAAGGACCAGGTGAAGCCGGACACGGAACGGACCAAAAAAAGCAAAGGGCGTTTTTCACCATCACAGCCATATGGGGAGGTTTATTCTTGTGGTTCTCAGGTCTTCTACTTTCCTACAGCCTGCATTACTCATCAGTGCTAGGGCCGGACGTCACCTGTGTGATCGTTTCATGTGCTCTTTGGTTTAATCTGACCAGTTTTTTGTTGCCACCTTTGCTGTATCTACAGAGGGCAGGTAAACTGACAATTTGCTTTCGAGTCAGACACAGGGCAGTTTAAGAGTTGGTGGGTTGTTTGATGTTGGTCTGCCGTGATTTCTAGTTCGGTTCTTGAGTCTTCCTACCAGAGTTTTCCCTTTTTTAGGGAAGTTTCTGTGCCCAAAAGTTTCTGTCCTGCCATCTTTCCTTCCTCAGGTACTGCGATAGCTTGATGCCTTCTCTGTATCTGACACTCATGCCTTTTCCTGCATGGATAGACAAGACGCCACAGCAAATTCGTGGTCTGCATATGGTGACCATGGTCGGCACATATCCAAGACTCCTTCAATTGAGGATAACAAAGGTGCCCAACCTTTTCCCAGGCCAAGAGGGATGCATCACTTGTCTTCCTTTTCCCAGGATCAGGTTCATCCTTCATGGCCTTAGGAGTCATTATGTGCCAATCTGTATGAGATGATAGACTAGGCTTAGAAATATGCACTAAAACATTTGAGCTTGGCTTTAACTTGATTAAATAGCTGGGAATACAAATTACAAAAAAACGCCTATGTAGCTTCTACTTTTCTCCTTGACGAGGATGCCGGGTCCTTTGACGGATGCTATCTTTTCAGTGGGACACAGCTTATGTATGTAAGTCCAGCAGGGTCTCCAGTTCAAGGTTTGTCACTAAGTTCTCACGCCGGGTTTTGCTCAGCAGACTTATATAAATCTATTTCTCCATATAGATAGTTTTGTCTTTGTCAGATTGTGAAGACCAGAAACTTTCTGTAAACACTCAGCACCGTCAGCTGTCAGGAAAAAGTGATAGAAGGACTTTAGTCTGATGGATGCAGTGTTTGTACTGACAAAGCACAGGTGCACAGGGAGGGGAACTGTGCGGACGGGTAAAAGGATTTGAAAGAAAATTTGCCTTCTATGTTTTATTTGCTTGAGTTATGGCAAATTTGTTATCAAACATGCAAACCAGCTCCCGTTCCCCTCTATCCGACTCATGGACGTCATTAATATCCCACATGAACAAAAGTCTTCAATCGTTTCTGGACCAGAGGAGTGTACAGCGAGAAATGAGACCGCAGATGTCAGAAGGACTGCCAACAAAAACCTCTGTAGTCAAGGTGAGTTTTTTCAGCGATTACTCAGTGATGTTGGATGGTATTCTGAAACTTTGTGTTTGGTTTAAGTGCTTTTTGAATTTCTAGTTCAGCTCATGTTGAATATTTTGATTTAAAAGAAACTTCTCAACAGTTGGATGAATTTCCATCCACAAAATCTGGTCAGTGATTGGTACTATTCGGTGCTCTAGTGCAGCTTTACTTTAGATGGCAATCATAACAAGACTTAGTCTCAACTTTTTGGTTGTAAGAATCAGTTTCAGAATTATCTTGGCTGTTGACTTTGTAAACCTTTAACAGTTTTTTCTCCTGCCGTCCTCCTCAGGTGTCCTTCTGCAGATAGTGGAAATGTCGGCAAACTCTTTGACCAGCAATTACTCCACTATTGTTTGGGCACACAATGTAAGCACCCCATTCCTAGTTTGTAGCATCATTGACACCACTTTCTTCGCCACCAGATCAGTCCTCCTCTTCCCTCTCACTGTCCTCATACTCTACCTGGCTTACCAAAGATGGAGGCAGCAGGGCTCTTGGACAGCTGTGAGCCACTGTGACCTCTTCACCTACCACCTGGCTGACATGGAGTTGTTTGATATTTTAGGTACGGTGTCCTTGCTTTGCGGCCTCTTGACTGGATTCAAAGACATAGTGAGAGTGAGCCGGTATTTATATTCCATTCCTATCACTGGGGAGTTCTTCTTTCACAACCTGACCTGTGTGGAGCGATACCTGGCTGTTGTTCATCCCCACACCTACATTGGTCTGAGAAGTGCTCGTGGGGTCAGGATCAGGAACACCATCATTGGGTGTGTTTGGCTGCTGAGCTTCGCCTGGATGTTAAAAATATCTCTGCATTATCCGTTGTATCCCATCGTTCCATCTCTCGTCATCTTCACGCTGTCTTTAGTTATCATTTCCTTCTGCGGCCTCTCTGTTCTTTGTGTTCTGAGTCGACCTGGACCCGGACAAAAGGTGCAGGACAAGGAGGGAGTGGACCAGTCAAAGAGAAGGGCTTTCTACACCATTATGGCTATAACGGGGGTTCTGTTTCTGTGGTTTTCAGGGATTATGGTTGGGATTGCTGTGCGAACCTCAGTGCAGCTCAGTGACGATGGAAAATGTCTGATGGAAAAATGTGCTTACTGGTTGAATGTGCCCTGTAGTTTGGTTCTTCCTCTTCTATATCTACAGAGGGCGGGGAAACTGTCATTTTCTGTTAGAACTTGTGGAAATAAATAAAAACTGGATTACATTGAAACAAGTTAATGTGGGGGTGCTGATAGCGGTAATCCAGTTTGTGAATATCATCGAATTTTTAACCTCCATATGTGATTGACATAACTTTATTATATACTTTTATTTCTTATTGAAAATGAATATTAAAATTGTGTATGATGTATAGATAGACACTTTATTGATTCTGAGGGAAATTCCAAAGCTGGGTAACCGTGTACAAGTGTGATATTAAATGTGACTTACAAAACTCATGATTGTGTGTATTTTTAATGTGTGCCACTTAGCCAAGACATCATTCCACAGGGTTCAGTTCTGCTCGAAGAACTTTTAAAGGGAGGTCCACTTGATTAATCTATGGCTGAGAAAAGACACCAAATCAAAGTTTACAGGGTCAGACTTACCCCCAATTTTCCACCGCATCTGGAACGGCAGCAATTTTCACCATCTGCCAATTCCTACCAGATCCGTTGGAAAGGCGAATTTCGTGGCAGATTCTGGACAGCAGGAATAGCGATAACTAACAAGAACCTGCGGATTCATGTGCAATCCCGCAATAACAAGTTGTTTCTTAGCCACAGAGGCTAACCATATAAGCAGTAGATTGTGTCCTTCCAGAGGAGGAAATCTACTTCTAGACTTCTAGAATCAGCATCTCCTCATCCATGGTGTCATCAGGGTGAAATGACGTCTAAAAACCTTTCACTTGTTCGTCTCCGCCTGTTTGCATGGTGTGAAATACGATCCTCCTGAAACACGGAGTGATTTATTTTGAAAAGAAGCCGGATGTTTTATTTTGTGTCTGTGCCTGACTTCCTTTCCAGCACAGGTTAATCCGCAGCTGAACGGAAAGAAGCCGGTGGAAATTGACACGTTAACTTGAATGGCTACGATTGGCAGGTAAGGCCTTTTCATAGCCATTCCGGATGCGGTGGAAATTTGGGGTTACATACTTCTGTGATATGGTTTTCTCTCCCATGTACATACTGTCCTTTTGATTGGACCAAAACCTTCCCAGGTGTTTTGCACATGGTCCAGAGTTTGCATGCTTGCCTTTGACTGAGAAGTTGAACAAGATAAAAGCATTGTCAGGAAACTGGGTTGTTAACAAAATCTCTGCCAAAGACAAAAGATTTAAAAAAGCGAAGATGTTGTACAAAATGTACAGGGTCCAAAACTTGACTAGTTTTTCATCCTTCAGTTTCCACTCCAGTTGAACAACAACCATAGCTTTTATCTGTGCATGTAAATATCCTTAGTTTGTTGAAGCCAAGAGGACCACAATTCTTAGGTCCCTAAACCATTTATGCTCCATGAAACGCCAAAGCTACAACAGTCCCACAATGTCTTCAGGCAAACCTCTACTGCCGTATCACCCTACCATCCAAGAGTTCCTTCACCTTGATCCTAACCAAGAAGGTTGGTTAATGCTTTACCTGGTATATCAGTATATTCTTCCACAGAGGGACTTGAGCCAGATGCCCCCACATTACTCTCACAATGTGTTAGGACTGATCCTCCAAAGGGGGGTGTCCAGGAGACATTCTAAAGGAATTGTTGAAACCATCCTGGTCCCTTTACTTCAAGCTGATGGTATTCCATATCTGACTGACACTTGGCTTGCATCTCGCCCGCCGAACCCCGAATTTCCACCGCATCCGAAAAGGCTCCTATCCGGAACAGCGTCGATTTTCACTGTCCACCAATTCCTACCGGATCAGTTTGTGGGCCGGATTTTATGGTGGATCACGGATGCAATCCAGGGATAATGAGTTGTCTCTATAAAGACAGAAACATGACCATATAAGCAGTAGATTGTGTCCTTCCAGAGGAGGAAATCTACTTCTAGACTTCTAGAATCAGCATCTCCTCATCCATGGTGTCATCGGGGTGAAATGACGTCTAAAACCCTTTCACTTGTTCGTCTCCGCCCGTTTGCATGGTGTGAAATCCTCCCGAAACATGGAGTGTTTTATTTTGAAAAGAAGCCGGATGTTTTTATTTTGTGTCTGTGCCCGACTTCCTTTCCAGCACGGGTTAATCTGTGCTGAATTTATCCAGCAAGCTCTGGCATCTGGAAAAAATAGAACTTGCGCGATCTGCAGTGGAACGGAAAGAAGCCATTAAAAATTGACCCATGAACTTGAATGGTTGCGATCAGCTTACGGCTGATAAGGCCTGGAAATTGGGGGTAGCCCTGTGTCTGAGTGTAATGGGACCCCAAGACCCTAACCCCAAGACCACCAGGTAGGTGGCACTCTGTATCTGACTAATACCTGACTTGCGCCTTGCCTGACCCTATCTTACTTTATGTTCAATAATGTTGGTGCTTCGTAATGCTCAGAAGAGTCTATAATTTGATTTGTTTGATTTGTTTTTAGTTTGAATACAACCAATTTATCAGGGTATGAAGAACCAACAAAACCACTGATGATAGATATTTTGTTTTATTGAACATACAAGTTGTCAGAAAATTTGCCTTGTCATAGTTATTGAGTTATTATAAATTTGTTTTACAGCATGCAAAACAGCCACCCTTGCCTCCTGTCAGTCTGATACATGAACACCAATAACCATCCCCCTACTGCTCACAAGTGTATCATCATACTTTTGACCTGCAGTCAGTGAGTTTAGAAGCAAGAAGGTGGAATCACCAACAAAGACTACTGATAAGGTAGGTGTTAGCACGTTAATAAGATTAATCCAATCAATCCTGAATTTTCTTTCTTTTCTTTCCTCCTCCCAGACGTACCAAAGAAAATTCTGGTATATTCACTGTACCCGCTTGGAAGTAAATTTGAACACAGTTCCTTCTCTCCATGTCTTCATCAGGTGTCCACCATCAAATACAAGACATGTCAGCCAACTCCTCATCTGCCTATAACTTCTCTCTCGGTTCAGACCTCAGTAACTGCTCTTCCTCCACACTCTTTAGTAAACCTCTCACTATTTCCATCAACATTGCCAGAGCCATCCTCATCCTTCCCCTCGCGGTCATCATCCTCCATCTGGCTTGCCAAAGATGGAAGAAGAGGGGTTCCTTGACGGATGCGAGCAATTGTGACATCTTTACCTACCACCTGGCTGTCATGGAGCTGTTGGGTATTTTAGGGACAGTGTTCTCCCTTTGCAGCTCGGTTACGGGATTCAAACAGATGGAGAGAGCGGGGCTAGCTTTTTTTGCCATTCCGTACTCCGGAGTGACCTTCTTCCATGTCCTGACCTGTATGGAACGTTACATGGCTGTCGTTCACCCCCACACTTACATGGGGTTCAAGAAAGTCCATAGGTTTAAGTTTAGAAACATCATCATTGGGTGTGTTTGGCTGCTGAGCTTAGCGTGGATGTTGTCAGTAATGCTTAGCTACCCTCTCCTACCAGCAACTCCATTTTTGTGTATCGTGATCATCTCTTTTGTCATCATTTCTTTCTGCAGCCTGTCCGTTCTCTGCGCTCTGATTCGTCCGGGGCCTGGGGAAGCGGGACAGTTCAAAGAGCGGGTCGACCAATCAAAGCAAAAGGCATTTCAAACAGTGACAGTCATTTTGGTGGTGCTGTGGTTGTGGTTCATGTGCCTCCTCGTTGTCTTTGTTTTAAACTCCTCACAGTTGCTTCGCCCCACAGTTGCGTGTTTTGTTAAAACATATTCCACTTGGTCTAGCTTGCCTAGCAGTTTGGTGTTACCTCTGCTGTATCTGCAGAGGACAGGGAAACTGAGAGTTTGCTGTTACACCCAAGGTTAAGATGAGTATGGGAAAGATATGAGAGGGTACAAAAGCATAGGAGATAACCATTTTGTTAGATACTGAACTGAAAAACAATGGTCTTAATTGTTATCATTTCACTTTAGAATACTCTTAGATAGATGTTTCCTGTAAATTAGCTATAAATATGAATTTGCATATCCTAGACATTAAAACATCACAGACTAAGAATCTCATGATGGACATTATCTTCAGATGATTGAGTAGTTGCAAGGCCAATCATGGTGATATTAAAACTATGTCATATTCAGGCTCTGGTGATGGTGTGTTTAGCTTTCTTTCAAGTGCCTCCCCAGGACCCGTACTCTGAGACCCTCCTGTTAGCTTTAAGAGCTGAATCTCAGTGGTCTTCATCTTTGAATCAACTTGGACAACTTCTAACAAGGATAATCCATCACTTCAGTCACTGGAATTACTGTGTCACAGGTGCAGACAGGTGACTGTGTTGACTGGAAATTGGACAGAAAATTTGCCTTCTGAGATTTATTGACTTTGATCATCACGAAAATGTTAATCAACATGCAAATCAGCTCCTGCTGCCATCGACTGTTTTGACATCTTTGTATAAACATCCTATTCCACACCCTTATGCAATCGGGAGTTTGATATGATATCTGGAACAGAAACAGGTGATCAGCTGTCAGTCAGTTCGGAGATTTGAGAGGACGGTCACCTGAAGAGTCTGCAGACCAGGTGGGCACTTAAATTCATGACTTCATGATTCTGTTTGGTGTTCTGGTTTCTGACTGTAGTTTAGTTTGAGTTATCATATTCTGTAGTGTATGTATTAGAAGAACAGATTTGATTTAAAGTGTCCTTTGTTTTCGTCAGGTGTCCATCTTCAAGGATAAAAAATGTGGACCAACTCCTCATCCATCCACAACTCCTCTCTTAATTCGTCAGGCAACGATTGCACAATTGATTTAGCTTTTCAGAGTTATAATGAAGCCTTCAGCCTTCTCAAAGTGGCCCTCATCACCCCTCTTACCTTCATCATCCTCTATATGGCTTACCAAAGGTGGAAGCAGCAGGGTTCCTGGACAGCTGAGAGCCACTGTGACGTCTTCACCTACCACCTGGCTGTCATGGAGTTGTTCACCATTTTAGGGACAGCTGCAACACTTCTGGGCTATTTTAGCAGGTTCAAAATCATGGTGCTAGTTGGCATGAACTTTGATGCTGTCCCTTACAGCGGAGAAACCCTTTTTCACGACCTGACCTGTGTGGAGCGTTACCTGGCTGTTGTTCATCCTCTTACCTACAGGGGGCTGAAGACTGCTCGTGGGGTCAGGATAAGGAATGTCATGATTGGATGTGTTTGGTTGCTCTCTTTCGGGTGGATGGTAAATGTGGGTGTACTAAAAGATCGCACAACCCTTATCTTAATTTTGTGCATGATGGTCAGCTCTTTGGTCGTCATTTCTTTCTGCAGCTTGTCCGTTCTCTGCGCTCTGATTCGCTCCAAGCCTGGGGATGAAGGGCGGGGCAAAGACAGAGTTGACAAATCAAAGCAAAAGGCATTTTTCACCATTACGGTTATTTTGGGAGTGCTTTGGTTAGGGATCCTCGGCTTCATTGTTGCCCTTTTCATAAACACCTTACCTTTATTGAACACAAATCTTCAGTGTATAGTGTTAGCACTTTCTTCCCTCTTTAATCTGCCCAATACTTTAGTGCTACCTCTGCTGTATCTACACAGGACGGGGAAATTGTCATTTTGCCTTCAGACTGGTGGACGAGGTTGAGCAACATCAACCATCTTATTATTTTTCTGCATCAGCGCGGCTAATGTCAAAACAGACTCCTCTAACTGTTTAAGCCCGCCTTTTCCCTCTGCTTCCTCTGTAAACTACGACTCACCTCCACCTGAACTCCTGCTTTTCATGTTGTATCTGGTTTTACCAGCGTTGTATGTATTGCTACCAAGTGTCCCCAGTGGCCAAATGCGAATTGAGTGATGTTCAAAATAAAGTAGATGCAACACAGAGGTCAACATGACCCTGTCCCAGTTTTTTTTTTAGGAAGGTGTCACAACCTCAGATTTAAAACGAATGAATATCTGCAAAAAAAAACAAAACAATAAAGTTTAGTAATTTAAAGAAATTGATGTATGATTGTATTTTGTTGTATTCACATTCACATTTATAATCCCCAATTTTCCACCACCTCCGGAACGGCTACCAAATAGGCCGTATCCGCTAATCGTAACCATTCAAGGGACTCAGAGAGAACTTTGATTGGTAACTTTAATCACAGTGACCTTTACCTGGACCCAAAGTGAGTCTTTGATTCAACTTGGACAACTTCTAACAAGGATAATCCATCACTTCAGTCACTGGAATCACTGTATCGCAGGTGCAGACAGGTGACTGTGTTGACTGGAAATTGGACAGAAAATTTGCCTTCTGAGATTTATGGACTTAAGCTCAAACAAATATGGTTTACAACATGCAAATCAGCTCCTGCTGCCATCAATCATTTTGACATCTTTATATAAACATCCTAACCCACACCTTTAGGTATGATATCTGGAACAGAAACAGGTGATCAGCTGTCAGTCAGTTTGGAGATTTGAGAAGACGGTCACCTGAAGACTCTGCAGACCAGGTGGGAACTTAAATTCATGACTTCATGGTTCTGGTTGGTGTTCTGGTTTCTGACTGTAGTTTAGTTTGAGTTATAGAAAGATTGTTTGTTATATTCTGTAGTGTATGTATTAGAAGAACGGATTTGATTTAGAATAAGTGTCTTTCTTTCTTCGTCAGGTGTCCATCTTCAAAGATAGAAAATGTGGACCAACTCCTCATCCATCCACAACTCCTCTCTAGATTCTTCATACCACGATTGTACAGCTATCGAAGTTTTTAAGATTCATCAGGCAGCCTTCAGCATCACTAGAGTGGCCCTCATCACCCCTTTTACCTTCATCATCCTCTATCTGGCTTACCAAAGGTGGAAGCAGCAGGGTTCCTGGAGAGCTGAGAGCCACTGTGATGTCTTCACCTACCACCTGGCTGTCATGGAATTGTTCACCATTTTAGGGACAGCTGTGAACCTTCTGGGCCTTTTCAGCAGGTTCAAAATCATGATGCAAGTCGGCCGCAGCATGATTTCCCTTCCTTACTGCGGAGAAACCCTTTTTCACAACTTGACCTGTGTGGAGCGTTACCTGGCTGTTGTTCATCCTCTTACCTACAGGGGGCTGAAGACTGCTCGTGGGGTCAGGATCAGGAATGTCATGATCGGATGTGTTTGGTTGTTCTGTTTAGGGTCGATGGTTGTAACAATTCCCTTCAGTCTTCAAACACTCTATTTTTCTACGTTGGGCATCATGATCATCTCTTTGGTCGCCATTTCCTATTGCAGCCTGTCTGTTCTCTGTGCTCTGATTCGTCCAAGGCCTGGGGAACGGGGGCGGGGCAAAGAGAGAGTTGACCAATCAATGCAAAAGGCATTCTTCACAATTGCAGTTATTTCAGGGGAGCTTTGGTCTTGGTTTGTGGTCTTTATTGTTGCCCTTTTCATCAACACGTCACCCTCTGTGAGTGCAAATGTTAAGTGTACGGCGTTAGCATTTTCTCTCTGGTACCATCTGCCCAGTAGTTTAGTGTTGCCTCTGCTGTATCTACACAGGTCGGGGAAACTGTCATGCTGCCTCCATACTGGTGGAAGAGGATAGGCACTCTGATTTTAGTTTCTGTGTATCTAATTAAAGGTGCTGGGGGGATATTTTGAGTGAAGACCAACAGCATTTAAGTTGACATTCTCCCTCTTGAATTAAGCATTGTGATTTTCTGGGTCAACAATAAAGTAGAGCTGATTCTGACACTGGATGACCTAATTCAAGTCTTCAGATCCAACATGTCAGAACAGACTCCATATTGAAACTACCTAACTCTGCCTACTCTTCGTAAATTATCTAAAAATGCCTGACAATTAACTTTCAAGCAAGTTACCCCTCTTTTTCTGTTCTGTCTGATTTTTACCAGTGTCTTATTTGATGCCACTGAGGTCTTCCCTGCTTTGTACCCAGGGGTCTTTGCCCCTGCTCTCCCTGGCTTTGCTTTTGTGCGTACATGAGAAGAGGAAGGAAGATTTACTCTCCCAGCCTACTGCCTTGACCTACAACCTACGTAGGTAGACCTCAGAACAGATCTTTGGGATCCTATCTTTCCTTTACCTGACGTCCCTGTCCTAACATTTATCAAATCTGTAGATGTCCTCTGGTGTCCTCCAAAGAAAACCAAAAATAAGTGTGGTGATCTCCTTGAAATATTTGTTCCTTTCTCATCAAACAACCCTGGGATTGCTGAGATTTTGCTTGGCATGTCAGGTGTAAAAGTACCTTCGATTTATTTCACATTGTCACAGTACCAGCTATAGTGACTACTGTGGACAGTGCAGCTGATAACAAGGGCATGTACCTATGACAGCTGGCTGAAGGACATAGACCTAAACCGGAGTAGTGTGGCCTGATGACAGTGATAGGGACTATTTAGCAAAAATCTCAAGCAAACCCTGACAAACAAGAGAAAAATACCCTTACTCTGGGATTCCACTGGATCCGGAATGGTTCTGATCCTGAACGGCGTTGATTTTTCGCCATATGCCATTCCGGATGTGGTGGAAATTGGGGGTTAGAGTCTGTGAGAGCAGGGGCCGATCTCACAGCTACAGAACATGAACTCAATCAGTGATTATGTAGACAACAGGGATGTTGAGCTATCCTCCGACGTGAGGACGATAGTTGATAGAGAAAAGGCAGGGGTGGAATTACAGAGGGGTGGATGCACATGAGTTGTTCTTGTTGTGGGTTGGAAGTAACATCTTTGTGTATCATCTCAGTCTTTGAATCAACTTGGACAACTTCTAACAAGGATAATCCATCACTTCAGTCACTGGAATTACTGTGTCACAGGTGCAGACAGGTGACTGTGTTCACTGGAAATTTGACAGAAAATTTGCCTTTTGAGATTTATTGACTTAAGCTCAAACAAATATGGTATGCAACATGCAAATCAGCTCCTGCTGCCGTCGATCATTTTGACATCTTTGTATAAACATCCTAACCCACACCCTTATGCAATCGGGAGTTTGATATGATATCTGGAACAAAAACAGGTGATCAGCAGTCAGTCAGTTTGGGGATTTGAGAAAACGGTCACCTGAAGAGTCTGCAGACCAGGTGGGAACTTAAATTCATGACTTCATGGTTTGAGTTGAGTATGGTTTAGTTTGAGTTATAGAAAGCTTGTTTATTATATTCTGTATTGTATCTATTAGGTAAACAGATTTAATTTAGAGTAAGTGCCTTTCTTTCTTTGTCAGGTGTCCATCTTCAAAGATAGAAAATGTGGACCAACTCCTCATCCATCCACAACTCCAATCTGGATTCATCCCACAACGATTGCAGTAATATCAAAGATTTTCAGACTGATGATATGGCCTACTACATCACTAGAGTGGCCCTCATCACCCCTCTTACCTTGATCATCCTCTATCTGGCTTACCAAAGGTGGAAGCAGCAGGGTTCCTGGACAGCTGAGAGCCACTGTGACGTCTTCACCTACCACCTGGCTGTCATGGAGTTGTTCACCATTTTAGGGACAGCTGCGACACTTCTGGGCCATTTCAGCAGGTTCAAAATCATGGTGCAAGTTGGCATGAAGCTTTTTGCTGTCCCTTACTGCGGAGAAACCCTTTTTCACAACCTGACCTGTGTGGAGCGTTACCTGGCTGTTGTTCATCCTCTTACCTACAGGGGGCTAAAGACTGCTCGTGGGGTCAGGATCAGGAATGTCATGATTGGATGTGTTTGGTTGCTCTCTTTAGGGTGGATGGTTGCAGCAGGTGTGTTAAGTGTACACACAGTCAATATCGCACTTTGGACCATCATGGTCAGCTCTTCGGTCGTCATTTCTTTTTGCAGCTTGTCCGTTCTCTGCGCTCTGATTCGCTCCAAGCCTGGGGAGGAGGGGCGGGGCAAAGACAGATTTGACCAATCAAAGCAAAAGGCATTTCACACCATTACAGTTATTTTGGGAGTGCTTTTGTTGTGGTTCATGGGCTTTATTGTTGCCCTTTTTGTACAAACCTCACCCTTTGTTAGTGGATATGTTCAGTGTCTTGTGATGGGAATCTCCTTCTGGTTCCATCTGCCCAGTAGTTTTGTGTTACCTCTGCTGTATCTACAGAGGACAGGGAAACTGTCATGTTGCCTCCAGACTGGTGGAAGAAGATAAGCACTCGGAATTATTTGTGTTGTTCTTTTTCTTGTATGTACGCCACTTTGGATAAAAGTGTCATTACATTATAGATTACATTGTAACATTGTATTTTGGTAAATGTAATTTAACTTGGGTATACAATGTCTGCAGTAATAAGTCAAGGTTGGTCTACAGCCTGACACCAGAAGTCCAAGTCCTCCAAGTCAGCTCGTCCAGGGAGCAGTCAGGACGGAAACACCAAATATTACTGATCATGTGAAAGGATTCCCTCTACTTGACAAATGTTGTACTTGAAGAGTTGTTTTTTTGTTTGATTATGTTGATATGAATGATCACATGAATAAAGTAGATTATTAGAATTTACTGGCTTACCTTTTTCAACACCTGAAAAATCTGGTTTATATTCAAAACGGGTTAAAGCATGATGACATACCTGTATTCAAGTTATAAGGTAAACGTGTGAATAATGACTGGAGTGGTTCGGTTTTCTGCCCATTAATGGACATTCACTGTTATCAGTGATATAACGTCTTGGTTTAGACAAACAGATCAGTGCTCGAAGGCGGAAAGCGCTGTAACGACTTTGACTTGCAGATTTTGCCACTCAGCTGTAATCGCGCTGACCTTCGTGATCTTCGGGAAAGATACATTTGCGTACTGCGATACCCCGTATTACAGTATGCATTGAGGAACACTGACATAGAAAATAAAGATAAAAACAGTTTTGGACCTTTCAGTTTTATCAAAGTATTTAAACAGGAGTTAGCGACAGATCCAGAGTTAGGATATGATAGATATCATATATGATAATGAAAAATGGTAATAAAAACATGAATTACATACAGTATAAAGAAGTAAATTCATATTTAAAGGACTAATCACACTTTTTCTGAAGCATCTTTAAAGTAACTGATAATATCACCTTATCTCATTTTTTGAGGAACTTACTTATATCATCAGACCAAAAATCTGATGTTTCTTTTTGTGTGATAATGTTAGTGAAAGTTTCAAACATCAGAGTCTGAGTTTGTATCGTCTTCATCTTACTGCTCCAGTAAAGGTTTCTTCTCAGCCTGATGTTTCTTTAGTTCCTTCCTCTGGTCTCTCAACGCAATTGACAAGATCGTCTCTACGAGACATGGAGGTTTCGGGGGAACCTGCCTGCCCCGACAGAACGTTCGCCGCAGGCGATGGACAGCTGGGGGAACTGGCGGTCCTTTCCGTGGAGGATGTGGAAGATGTCTACCTTTTCGGAACCATGATAACAGGTCTGTTGCTGTTTGGCCTTTGCTAAGCCCTGATTTATCTTCTAAACAAGGAGATGCTGGCAGCGGTCAAGAGCCCCCAGAGGCTTCCCGTCATGATTTTTGAGGTGGGCAAAGCCGTAGGAACTCTTTGGGGCGGTCTCCAATCTTCAACATCAAGTTATGATTGGGGATCGCGAGGGAGATGTTATCTTGGAGAGGCTTTCGACTTTGCAGAAGAAATGGATCGATATAGAGACCAGGATGGACAACCAGAGTAGCCGAAGTCTATTGAAATGTGGCTACTTGCTCTAACCCAAACATTCTAATCTACTATTCGGCTCCCTCGGTATCGGGCTTGGCCAAGGTCGACGCTGGCACAACTCCTCCAGGAGATCTCAGCACCTGCGGATTGTTGACTTTGTCTGGAACTCAATCAAGGTGATCAAGATTGTGGCGATGGACGGAGTGACCTCCTGGGCCTACGCACACACGCATCCATGGACCTTCACACACATGCACATACGCACACACTCACCTCTTCCTCACCCAACGCCCTCGACGCTCCACCCCTCAGTGCGGTGGGCGGTACCCTGACTGGCGGAGCACACTATGGGCAGCGGCTGCGGGCTTCCCACCATCACTGATGACCCATTCCACTACCCCCCCTCCGTCAACAACCATAGCATGTCTCCGAATCTCTGTGTTTGTGGTGTCAGTAATGTGCTCTTGTTGCTGAGGGTTTTTTTTTGTCACTGCACTCATGTTAATAACTCTCTTTCTTTTTACCTCTTCTCCCTCCCTCTTTTGTGTTCTTTCCCCATCTGTAAATGCAATCTCGTTGTGCATAAGTGCAGTGACAATTAAGCATCTTGTATCTTGTATCTTGTAAATCTGACCCTCTGGCGCCATTTGTATTTCAGACATGTGTCTCAGATTAAATATGGGTCTTAGAGACCCCAAACCTGTCCGCAGCAGAGGAACAGGAAGTGGGGGAACAGGAACTGACATGCTTGAAAGTATTTTAAATTTAGTCTGATGTTCAGTCAGCAGCAAGACGACATGGAAGTCACAGCTCTCTGTATCAGGCTGAGTGAGTACAGACTTCATCTTATAATTACAAAAAAGTAGAAAGTGAACAGAGAAGAAAATAAGATATATAAGTATTAATGATAACACAACCTGTCAGCAAACAGAACGACTTTTTAATCTGGTCTGATAATAATCTGCTTTTAAACCGTCATTCTCATGAACCTGTATCTACTTTATTGAAAAGTTTAATTTTTCACTAAAGAACTGAAACTTTGATAATAAAGTAAAATGTCAATACTGAAGTAGTTTTTAACATCTCTGCTCCGTATCCTCTGCAGTATTGACCCTGTTGTTCCTGCTGGTCGAGGACATTTACTCTGTAAAAACCAGTAAGTCAGTCAAACACTCAGTTACGTTGTTTATAGTCCAATAAAAATAAAAGATTCATAAAATTCAGTTTTCATTGATTATTTTAAGAGTCATCAACATTTGATGCTAAAACGTGTCGTGTCCGTGTTTCAGATGCTGATTTCCCTCAGGTCGACCCGAACCAACAGCAGTTCTTTGAATATGAGCCAATAGAAATCAGCTGTGAGGGGCTGATGGGGTCGAGAGGATGGAGAGTCATGAAGAGGGTTAAAAGAGTCATTCAGACCTGTTCTATTTGGTGGGAGACGTCTACGGGTCCCTGCAAAATCCAAAATGCTGTTCCATCCTTTGACAGCGGAGAGTACTGGTGTGAAATCGGAGCGCAGAGGAGTAACTCGATCAACATCACCGTCAGTGGTACGATATTTAAAACATTCAGATAAACCTTTGGAGTCTCAGGTTTTAGATCAGCGCAGACAGTCTTGAAGTTTTGAAGTTGAAGTTTGAAGTTTATTTCGATCTGGTCATATCCATTCAATATATACAGTAAATTACAAGAAAAAAAAAAAAAGAAAAAAAAAGAAAAAGAAAACCAGACCGAAAAGGCATAGGCTGAAGCAAAAGCTTATTAACGCCTATCCTTCTTACTAAATCAAAATATTCAAAACATCTTAATCCACACGTTAGATAGAAAACAAAAACAAAACACATCAACAAAACAAAGAATAAAAGATGACTCAGAAGAAAGAAAAAAATAAATAAAAATAATAATAATCAAATTAAATCCAGAATATAAATTAATCCATAACCTCAATCATTATTTCTATAATTTTCGATCACCTTGCTTTTAAACAACGATTTAAATTTGTGAATAGTCTGACACGTTTTTAATTCATCGTCAAGGGCATTCCATAAATTCACACCTTTAACTGAAGTACACTGTTCTTTGGTCTTGGTTCTAGTTTTTATTTTTTCCATCAAATGTGTCCCACGGAGTTCATACCTACATTCCCTTTTTTTAAACATATTGACAATTTTACACGGCAATGAATTATTATGTACTTTGTACATGGTCTGTGCTATTTTGTAATCCACCAGGTCCTTAAATTTTAATGCTCTTAGTTTAATGAATAATTTATTTGATGGTTCTCTGTAAGTTGAATTGGTGATAATTCGTACTGCTCTTTTTTGCAAGACGAAGATAGGTTGCGTATGGGTAGGGTATGCATTTCCCCATATTTCCAGGCCGTAAGTGATATATGGGACTACAATTGAGCAATACAAAATATATAAGGCATACTGGTTCAATAAATCCTTTACCTTGTGAATTATGCCAATTGATTTTGCTAATTTTGATTTAACATGATTTATATGAGTTTTCCAGTTCAGTCTTTGGTCCAACGTGACACCCAAGAATTTTGCTTCTGACACTCTTTCAATTTCTCTATCGTTAATGCTCAGTTTAACATCTGTATCTATTTTACGGTTCCCAAATATCATAAATTTTGTTTTACTTGTATTTAACGACAATTTATTTGCATCAAACCATTTTTTAACCAATTTCATCTCCTTTTCAACAGTAGATATGATTTCAGATAAGTGCTCTCCAGAACAAAAAAAGTTAGTGTCATCTGCGAAAAGGATGGAGTTCATATACTTAGACACATTACAGAGTTCATTCAGATACAGGATAAATAACTTTGGACCAAGGACTGACCCTTGTGGGACGCCGCACTTAACCTTCAACAGTCCAGAATCAGTTTTACCCAAAGAGACGTATTGCCATCTGTCACTTAAATAAGAACAAAGCCAAGCGTGAGCTACCCCTCTGACACCATATTTAAACATTGAAGTAAAAGGTCATGATCAATTGTGTCAAATGCTTTTTTTAGATCTATAAAAATACCTATTGTGTATAGATTATTGTCAATTGCAGTGGTTATGTCATCTATAAGTTTCATGAGGGCTAATCCTGTAGACTGGTTTGTTCTAAAACCATATTGATTTTCACTCAAGATACTATGCTTCTCTATGAAACTGTCCAATCTTTTGTCAAATAATTTCTCAAGAATTTTTGAGAATTGAGGCAGCAAGGAAACTGGTCTGTAATTTGATACCAGCTCTTTTCCACCAGACTTGTACAAGGGAATAACTTTGGCTGTTTTCATTTCATTTGGAAATATTCCTGTTGAGAGTGAAAGATTAAAAATATAGGTCAGAGGTCTGACTACAGCTTCGATAGTATCCTTAATTAATGACATGTCGATCCCGTTGTTATCTGTCGACCGTTTGCTTTTGAATGCTGTAACAATCCCCATCACTTCAGTTTCATGAGTGGGAGTAAGAAACATAGAATTTACATTTGCTTCAATCAAATTATTCACATCATCCGCAACAACTGGTTGTACAATATCGCTTGCCAAGTTAGGGCCAACATTTATGAAGAAATCATTAAACTCATTTGCCATTTGTTCCTTATTAGATATATAAATGTCACCCTTTAATATGGATTGAGGGAAATCCTCTTTCCCCATGTTTTTTTTAATCAAGCTGTTGATTACTTTCCATGTCTCTCTTATGTTGTTTCTACTCTCTTCCATCCGCTTACTGTAATAATTCTCTTTACGTATCCTTAAAATATTTGTCACTTTATTTTTATATAACGTATATTTTCTTTCAGCTTTTTCTGTTCTACATCGTATAAATTCTCTATATAGTCTATTTTTCTTTTGTATTACATTCTGTAGGGATTTTGTTATCCAAGGCTTATTTTCTTCTTTGTTTCTGTCCTTATGTGTTCTCAATGGGCAGTTCTTATCATAACACTCTTTAAAGACACGTAAAAATGAATTATAAGCCTCATTTACATCAGCAACATAAATAGAATCCCAAGTTTGTCTCATTAGATCCTTTTTTAGTAACTCCACCCTTTCTGGATTTCTCAGTCTAAATGTTGTCTGAGGTTTTTCCGCAGGGGGTTCCCTTATATTACATTGAAATGTTGTAAAAATTGGTAAATGATCGCTGATGTCTTGGATGAACAACCCCCCTACTGTGGTATCCATGATGTTAGAGTAAATATTGTCAATGAGAGTTGCACTGGATCCGGTAATTCTGCTAGGCTTAGTGATCCGAGGTAATAAACCTATACTAAACATGGTGTCAATGAAATCAGATATTCCTATTTGTCCCTGTGGATTTAATAAATCAATGTTAAAGTCACCACATACAAATACAGTCTTCTTATTACTTACTTTTTCATACAGTTCAACCATCTGTTCCTTTAGAACGTCTATTTCACATACTGGAGCTTTGTAGACACAGCTTATAATGATGTTCTTAACTTTTTTCATTTCAATTTCAACTGTAATGATTTCCAACTTGTCATCTATCCCTATAGACATATTCTGCAGTTCCTTACATTGTCGGGTCTCATCGATATATAATACCACTCCCCCACCCTTTTTCCTTCTCCTGTTAACATAAAACATATTATACCCCCGCAACTCATAATCTTTTACTATTTCATTTGTCATCCAGGATTCTGAGACTGCTATTGCACTGAATTTAGTTTTAAATAGCTTCAAGAAATCATAGACTTTTGAGAAATTTTTAACTAGGCTTCTGCTATTGATGTGTATAATTGAGAACACACCTACCATTTCAACCTTTATGTTAAATTGTTGTTCAGTGTAATACCTACAATCATTGTGCATAGTATGGAAAAAATTTGTTTCTGGGTCAATGTCCATATCATGTCTTCTTTTTCCAGAATAATTAAATGTTTCATAATCTAAATCTAGATATGAGTTTAGTGGAGTAGCTTCATTGACCCCAGACATTACATCTGTATCATCACTATCAGAATCTGTCATTGGTTACAATAGGTTAAATAATAACAGTAATCCAGTTCCGCACAAGTCTCATGCATTATACCAGGTAGCAAGTGAGAAAAGAGAGAAAAGAGCCGGAAGAATCCTTCATTCCGTAAAAAGGTCTCAGTTAGCATGCAAAAAATAAGCCAATCCAGAAGAAAAAAAATCAAAAGTAAGTAGGAAAAACAGTTCTGATCCATCATATAGTTTGGGAATGCTCTTCATCAGGATTATCCATGGCTATCAAACCAGCAAACCAAAGCCCTTTATCTGTAGGTGTCAAGTTCATTTATGTCTCTTACCGTCAGTACTTTGGCGACTTCTGGTGACTCTCCATTCAGCTTAATCATCACTTTACAATTACGGGTCCAGGTTGACTTTATCTTATTCTCTTTCCTCAGCATTCGGGCCATTCTTGCAATCTCCGTGTTTCGTTTCGTTAGGTGTTCATTTATGTACACAGCTGTTCCTATAAGCTTCTTCCCTTGTTGCATTAATTCCATTTTGTGCTTTCTGTTCAAAAAGCGAATGATGACACTTGGTTTGGCGTTGCGATCTTTTCTTGGAAGTGTGTGGCAAGCCACGATGTGGTTTGGATCCATCTTGATAGCCTTTGAATCAAAGAACTGGATAACTTGCTGTTGCAGAGACTGAAGATTCTCAGGCGGCATGTCCTCGGTGTCGCTCTTGGCTGCAGCCGCTGCCGCGGCGTACGAGGGCGGCTTCACGCTGAGACCGGTAATGATCACGTCCTCCATTCTCGTATACTGTTCGACTTCGTTGAGTCTTTGCTCGAGTTCGCAGATTTTTTTATCCTTTTCTATGACGGTTTTCTTCAGGGTTTTGACTTCTTCAAGGAGTTTGACGACAGAGGCTTGTTGCTCCACGATAGTGGCTTGTTGGGCGGACATTGTGTTCAGCTTCTCCGTGAGCTGACCGAGAGACTGTTTAATCTCCTCTATGTCCTCCTCCAACGTCCTCTGTCTTCGACAATAACTTCAGATATCACCCACCATGTTAGCATCAGGGGTGATTGTAGCGTAACAATTCTAGTTAAACTAATCCACCCTAACATGTTTAAACTTTGTTTTTACAGCTGGACCTGTGATTCTGGAGATTCCTGTCCTTCCTGTCATGGAAGGAGACAATGTGACCCTAACCTGCAGAAACAAGCTGTTGTCCTCCAACTTCACCTCACAGTTCTTCAAAGACGGCCTCCTGATGGACAGCAGCTCTACAGGAACCATGACCATCCACGGCGTCTCCAGACTTGATGAAGGACTCTACAAATGCAGCATCTCTGAGGCCGGAGAGTCTCCAGAGAGCTGGCTAAAAGTCAGAGGTGAGACAACAGTGTTTGGATAAAATATCCAAACTCACAGATTTATGTCACTGATTTCATATTAGCGACACACACCGCTGTCTCCCCAGGACCTCGAGAGGGTAACAAGGATCCCGAGAAACCCGAGAAACCCAAGGATCCCGAGGGTCCAACTCTCCCTCAACAGTACCTGTTTCTGCTGCAGATTTGTATGGGTGTCTGTGTTTTCCTCGCCATTTCGCTGCTGCTGGTGGGATTTCACCGATGTAGAAAATGCCGTACGGCCATCATCGGTAAAGAGAATCACAAGCCTCCAGACGGCTTGACTCTGCAGACTCTTCTACAAACTTTTACAACCTTTTTATTCATTTTAATTGTATTTCAGCAGGTAGTGAAGCATCTACTCCCCCAGTCCGGTCCGTACCATCGCGATGTCAACCAAAAGGTCAGAACTCAAACCTCCTCCAACCCAGAGCGTTAGGATTTCAGCTGATGAAACATCGTTAAGCATCAGTGTAATGTTGTCACTCATTTACTGACTGACTGTATGTATTTATCACGCTTCTACCACCGTCACGGTGAAGTGCTACTCTTGGATCGAGTCATGAAAAGGCTTCATTTGTGTCTCTAATTTAGCACAATAATCCACAACCATCCACACCATGTTAGCGTATGTTCTGTGTGTAAAAATAGAGTCTAAATTAGTAGTTTACTGATTTAATAGGAATCTGTTTGATATCGTCATTATCAGCCTCAGCACCAAAAAAAGGATTTTGACAAAATGACAAATTCGACACATCGCAAGTAGCTATTACTTTTCGACATCTTAGCTGCTCGTTAACAGTCAGATAACTTAAATTAAATCAACTTTCAGTAACACTTTACAATAACCATAATTTATAAATGGCAAACAGATGGTTTATTAAAGTAAGTTAATAGTTATTAAACCATTAACAAGCAATGAAATAATGATTAATAATTGTCATTAATGATTAATGGACTATTAATTAAATGTTTATCTAGGGTTTAAATATTGGTTGTAAAACATCTAGATTAAAATTTGTGTCCGTATCACTTTGTAAATGGTTAATAAGCGGTTTATAAACCATCTATAAACATGACTTAGATGGTTATCGTAAAGTTAGGGTTAGGTTTTTAAAACTGTGAAATTTACAATTTTTTAATGTCTATATGCTGTTTATAAATGACGATCAAACATTAATAAGCTATCTGATTACCATTTATAAATGGTCTATTTACCATCTATAAATTATGGTTATTGTAAAGTGTTACCCAACTTTCAGTCTGCTGCTAATTAACTGGCTAATTACCGATTGAAGATGATCTATCGAGTTTTGTTTCTATAATACTTTTCATAAAAGTCTGACACAATTCAAAGCACTTCACAGTGAGGGACAACAAAACAGTTACGAGTTCATTTATGGTCATTCAATGTCACGGTTTAGTTTAGGTAAATACATCATTAATTACTGCTTATTACCTTGTAATTACCATTTTTTATGAAGAATGACCAATGAATGTTGAACTGTGCGCCGTCATCCACTAAGGTTAACCGAAACATTGCCATAACAAATTCTGTACAGATATTAATATGATGCATGTACATATCTTTTTTTTTTTTTTTTAACTCAGAGTTTTTTTATCTTAATTTTTTAATTTGGAATTCCCCCCCCATGGGACTATTAAAGGAACAGATTATCTTAACCATCATTTCTCAACGTGACATGTACGTGGTGTTTGATCGGAATTATGTTTGTGTGTTTAAAGAGGCCTGTGCAGATGTTTCAAAACAGATGACGCATTCTTTCAACAAAGGACAAAAGAAGGAGAAAACAAAGAAGAAGACGAAGAAGAGGAAGAGGAAGAAAGGTAACTCGCTCACAGCCTTTATATGTAAACTTTATAACTGTGTTTCAATCCATAACTGAAAATCTCCTAAAATAAGTCGTTTTACCTCAGAAATTTATTTACATTTCACAGATTTCTGCTTCAGTTTTTCTGTCATAAGAACAAACTTGTGTTTAAATTGTGTTTCAGTGTCTGAGGAAGACTACAGACATAGAGAAGACTCAGTGCAGACAGCCTACGCTTTCATCAAGAAACCCAAGGAGAGGAGAGGTAACTGATGACAAGAGAAAGAAAAAAAACAATATAACTGTCACAACGTTGATATTTATATTTATACTTAAAACTATGAGAACAGTGAGAACCAATGGATTCTTTTATAGACCTCGTGAATAAATGTGAAACTATTTCAAAAAGTGGAGATGTAGAAATTCTTTTTTAGAAAACCACTCGAGAAAACCACAGACTAAAAACAAACAAACAAACAAACCACAGAGTTGATAATTACTCTCTCTTAAAGAGATGAGGTTGATCGTATAAAAGTGCACGAAAAGAGGACAAACTCAATGTTTAATTAATTTACAAATTAAAGTTGATTCAATCATTTTATAGTTTTTTTTCTCGATTAATTACAATAAACAAAACTTTCAAATTTTTTTAATATGTTCTAGTTTTTGTTAATGTAAATTCTGTTTTTTTGTAAACATAAATTGTATTTATTGTTAATATTTTTTTCCTAATAAAGAAATTAATTTTTAAAAATAATTCTATTTTCTAAAATATAATTTCTATTTTTGTTAATATAATTTCATTTTTTGTTAATATAAAATCAATATCTTTGTTAACATAATTTCTTTTTTTTGTTTATATAAATTATATTTTTTGTAAATATAAATTGTATTTATTGTTAATATAATTTTTTTTCTAATAAAAAAAATAATTTTTAAAAATAATTCTATTTTTTAAAATATAATTTCTATTTTTGTTGATATAATTTCTTTTTTGTTAATATAAAATCAATATCTGTTAACATAATTTCTATTTTTTGTAAATATAAATTCTTTTTTGTCACTATAAATTCTATTCTCTGTTAATACAATTTAATTCTGCTGGAGACTGACTGATATTATTGAAGGAGAAGGAACAAGGAATCAACTCCTACAAAATAAAACAGGAAACAAACAAGGAATCAACTCCTACAAAATAAAACAGGAAATACACACTGAAAACTGATCTTAAGAATAAAACACAGAGAACAGGAGGGAAATACGGCCAAAGACAAAAACTCACAAGACTGGACTACAGGGGAGCAGGAACATTAGGGAGAAAACATCTGAATAATAAAACAAGGAGAAAACTAAATAAAAAGAACATATCATAACAGCTCAAGGTGTTCTTCCATTTTCCTAAAGTTAACCGATTGCCCATGTTTTTTTAAAAACTTGATAATAGTGATAATGATGATAATAATAATTAACATTTAGAACAACAGACAGAGACATGAAATAGCAGAATTTATTGATCTGTACTTAAAATTTCTGTCTGTCACAGCGGAGTCTCACTTTTTAGAATTCCAAATAACAAAAACTTTTGTTAATTTATTATTTTATTTATTTTTGTCACAGTAGGAAAAGAGGTCTCCAGATGCCCCACAGGATCAGTTCCCAGTGCAGGTACCAACCCCCTTTTGAGAGAAGACGATCACCACTATTATACAGTCGATGAAGACCGAGAGTAACACCGGTCTTCTTCTGTGTCTCACAGATTACTGAGAGCTGACAGAAAAAAGGCAGAGGAGACTTAAGTGAGGAAAGTCATTTGACCATGAGGAGTTAAAACTCTCAGATGTTTTCATACTGTAATATAACAAACCCACCATTCAACTTTCATATGTTTATTTTGTTTTTTCAAGTGTACACAAAATGTTTATATATTTTCCAAATATATTAAAAATGGGTGTCAATAAAGTCGAGCTAAAGGTGGTATGGGAAACATGAATTCAGGATTGGTCGTACGAGACGTATGAGTGTCCAAAAATCTTGATAAGTATTTTCTTACAGATCAAGAAAATCACAGATCTATAATCTTTAGATATCAGAATATTGAGGAAAAGTCCAGAATCTTGTCAGTTATGTGTAAATAATCAGAATTTTGCAGAAGGTTGACATTTCTGGATTTTAATTTTTTATTTTTATTTTTTTTGGATCGGTGTAATATTCCAAAATTTGAGATTGTGGATTTTCTACTTTTGTGAACTGTAAGACGTATTCATAAGGGTTAATAAAAAGTCCTGAAATATTTTACTTTGTGTTTGATGAATCTAGAATAAATAGAAGCTTCACTTTTTGAATTATATTACGAGAAAAATGAACTTTTTCACAACATGTTTTTGAAGATATAATCTAACTCTATAAATATAATCTATGGTCGTTCACCACGTGATATGAGGACAGAGTGAAAACATTTATCAGGGGGTTTGTGAAGGTTGTTTACTGCAGGAACTCTTAGTGTAATACCACATATTTAGGTCTACAGTTGATCTATCTTAATGTACAGTAAAAGTACTTTTACCTGCTCATCAGAGTGACTTCTTCAACATTATTGTTCTGGTCCTCTGGCACCACCTGTTGGGACTGTGTTTCAAATACTGGTGCATCTCAGAGACCCCACACTTCCTCAGTCAGCGACCGACAAACAGGAAGAGGAGGAGGAACCAAGGGTCTGATGTTTCAGGTTTAGTCTGGTGTTCATTCAGTTGTAAGACAGCATGGAGGTCACATCTTTCTGCATCAGGCTGAGTGAGTACAGACACTTCTGACTCTTTATTATCATGATTATTATTATATATGATGGTAATAGTAATAATAATAATATCATTACAGGGAACGGTAGCCCTCACTGATACACTGACAGAGATAGACTCGTACATGATAAACATACTCTATGTTATTACCTCCGACAAGGAGGTTATTCTTTTGGTAGCATTGGTTTGATTGTCTGTCAGCAACTTTGCGGAGAAAGTCACAGACGGATTGACCTGGAATTTTCACCAGAGGTGCGTCTCAGCCCCAGGAGGATCCTATTACATTTTGGTGGTGATCCGGACAAAATTCCGGATACTGTGATCCAGAACACACAAAAATAAGGGTGTCGTTGGAATGTTCAATGCTGAAAGATAACCGATGGGCGGCACAGTGGTGTAGATAGGCGGCACAGTGGTGTAGATAGGTGGCACAGTGGTGTAAATAGGCGGCACAGTGGTGTAGATAGGTGGCACAGTGGTGTAGATAGGCGGCACAGTGGTGTAGATAGGTGGTACAGTGGTGTAGATAGGCGGCACAGTGGTGTAGATAGGCGGCACAGTGGTGTAGATAGGTGGCACAGTGGTGTAAATAGGCGGCACAGTGGTGTAGATAGGTGGCACAGTGGTGTAGATAGGCGGCACAGTGGTGTAGATAGGTGGCAGAGTGGTGTAGATAGGTGGTACAGTGGTGTAGATAGGCGGCACAGTGGTGTAGATAGGTGGTACAGTGGTGTAGATAGGCGGCACAGTGGTGTAGATAGGTGGTACAGTGGTGTAGATAGGTGGCACAGTGGTGTAGATAGGCGGTACAGTGGTGTAGATAGGCGGCACAGTGGTGTAGATAGGTGGTACAGTGGTGTAGATAGGTGGCACAGTGGTGTAGATAGGCGGCACAGTGGTGTAGATAGGCGGCACAGTGGTGAAGATAGGTGGCACAGTGGTGTAAATAGGCGGCACAGTGGTGTAGATAGGTGGCACAGTGGTGTAGATAGGTGGCACAGTGGTGTAAATAGGCGGCACAGTGGTGTAGATAGGTGGCACAGTGGTGTAGATAGGCGGCACAGTGGTGTAGATAGGTGGCACAGTGGTGTAGATAGGTGGCACAGTGGTGTAGATAGGCGGTACAGTGGTGTAGATAGGCGGCACAGTGGTGTAGATAGGTGGCACAGTGGTGTAGATAGGCGGCACAGTGGTGTAGATAGGCGGCACAGTGGTGTAGATAGGCGGCACAGTGGTGTAGATAGGTGGCACAGTGGTGTAGATAGGCGGCACAGTGGTGTAGATAGGCGGCACAGTGGTGTAGATAGGTGGCACAGTGGTGTAGATAGGCGGCACAGTGGTGTAGATAGGTGGCACAGTGGTGTAGATAGGCGGCACAGTGGTGTAGATAGGTGGGCACAGTGGTGTAGATAGGTGGTACAGTGGTGTAGATAGGTGGCACAGTGGTGTAGATAGGTGGTACAGTGGTGTAGATAGGCGGCACAGTGGTGTAGATAGGTGGTACAGTGGTGTAGATAGGTGGCACAGTGGTGTAGATAGGCGGCACAGTGGTGTAGATAGGTGGCACAGTGGTGTAGATAGGCGGCACAGTGGTGTAGATAGATGGTACAGTGGTGTAGATAGGCGGCACAGTGGTGTAGATAGGTGGTACAGTGGTGTAGATAGGTGGTACAGTGGTGTAGATAGGCGGCACAGTGGTGTAGATAGGTGGTACAGTGGTGTAGATAGGTGGTACAGTGGTGTAGATAGGTGGTACAGTGGTGTAGATAGGTGGTACAGTGGTGTAGATAGGTGGCACATTGGTGTAGATAGGCGGCACAGTGGTGTAGTGGTTAGCACTGTCACCTCACAACCAGAAGGTCCTGGGTTCAAATCCGGGTCAGGGTATTTCTTGTTTAAGGGGGGACATGAGCTGCTTGGCGGAGGTCTGCGCTCTCCGAGTGCTTTTCTAGTTTATGTTGTTTTCTGTGATCTGATATTCTGCTCTTTTGCCTCCTCAGTGATGGAAATGTTGTTTCTGTTAGCTGCTCAAGATAAAGCCTGTTATTCTCTTAATGCAAGTAAGTTCTCTTAAAAACAAGCCATACTGTTGATGGTCATTTTAATTATACTTTTAATTATCTGTAACTGCACTTACTTTCCAAACGTTGGTTAAGAGAATAAAGTCCTAAAGTTCAAGATTTTGTCGTGTCCACGTTTCAGATGCTGCTTTCCCTCGGGTCGTCCCGAAACAACAGCAGTTCTTTGAGTACGACCCAATAGAAATCAGCTGTGAGGGGCTGATGGGGTCGAGAGGATGGAGAGTCATGAAGAAGGTCAAAGGGGTCATTCAGACCTGTTCTGGTGAGTGGGAGACGTCTACGGGTCCCTGCGAAATCCAAAATGCTGTTCCATCCTTCGACAGCGGAGAGTACTGGTGTGAAATCGGAGCGAAGAGGAGTAACTCGGTCAACATCACCGTCAGTGGTACGATATTTAAAACACTCAGATACTCTGACAGAAAAATACACTTTAGCTTTAAGAGTCCTTCACAATAAAATCACATTTGTGTATTTTTAAAAGTCAGTCTATCATTGTGATCAAACTCGACCATTGCCTTTGTCCCAGTTTACCAAATATGGTCACCGAAGTATGTCCACCTTTTCTACACCAGGTGACGACATAACCTTCTGTCAGATCATTCCTTTTGGCTACCTCCTCATTGACCAAAACCAAAGACTGATTATAGAGGAGACTTGGGATAACTGGATGTCTTCATGTTGTTGTTGAATGTTCCTGGAGCTTCATGAGAACTTCTGAGAGAGTTTTCTAACTTTGACTTAATATTTTTTACAGCTGGACCTGTGATTCTGGAGATTCCTGTCCTTCCTGTCGTGGAAGGAGACAATGTGACCCTAACCTGCAGAGACTCTGAGCCCTCTTCTCCCAACTTCACCTCACAGTTCTTCAAAGACGGCCTCTTTATGGACAGCAGCTCTACAGGAACCATGACCATCCACGGCATCTCCAGATCGAATGAAGGACTCTACAAATGCAGCATCTCTGAGGCCGGAGAGTCTCCTCAGAGCTGGCTAAAAGTCAGAGGTGACATTACCAGTGTTTAAACATACAGTACATTTTCCTATACTTTGTTATCATGAAGAATAAGCACGTACTGCACCTTTATCTCCTCAGAAGTTCATGAGGAGGAACCATGGTTCTTTCAGCCGTCCATGCTGCAGATCTGTATCGGTGCTGGGCTCTTCTTGATGATAATTTTGCTGCTGATGGTTGGATTCCTGGGACATAAAAAGCGTCAAACAGTCCTCCCAGGTAAAAAATGCATTTTTATTAGTTACCTCCGCCAAGGAGGTTAATTTTTTGGTAGCGTTTGTTTGTTTGTCTGTGAAGTTACAGACGGATTGACCTGAAATTTTCACCAGAGGTGCGTCTCAGCCCCAGGAGGATCCCATTAAATTTTGGTGGTGATCCGGATCGCTTCTGGATCCAGGAATTTTTTGAAGGATTCTTTATCATTGTGAGATAGGGCAAATTTGGGAATTTTTGCATTTAACTCTATAAAAATGTCCAGAGTCTTTAGTAAAAAATGACACAAAAGGACCTCAATGAGTTTTATGAGGTGTCAAAGGTTGATCCTGATCCAGACAAAATTCTGGATACTGTGATCCAGAACACACAAAAATAAGGGTGTCGTTGGAATTTTCAATGCTGAAAGATAACCAATGGGCGGCAGAGTGGTGTAGATGGGCGGTACAGTGGTGTGGATGGGCGGCACAGTGGTGTAGATGGGCGGCACAGTGGTGTAGTGGTTAGCACTGTCGCCTCACAGTAAGAAGGTCCTGGGTTTGAATCCAGGTCAGGGCATTTCTTGTTTTAGGAACATTATGAACAGTGAACATACCAGTTTAAACACAAATAAATGTTAATAAAAGACACGTAACAGTGAAAGTTTTGGTGTGAATCACAATATAAGGGGGACATGAGCTGCTTGGCGGAGGTCTGCGCTCTCCGAGTGCTTTTCTAGTTTATAATATTATCATTTTAGCACACTGTTGATTTCAAACTGTTTTAAGTTCTGTAAACTTTTAGACTGACAGTTTCTTTGTCATTTTCATTCCAGCAGTTTTAGAAACATCGCCTCCTTCTGTCCAACCTCCACCATCTCCACAAACAGGTGAGCGACACCAGCTGTATATGAGATGATCAAAACTCCACCCATGTAGAAGAGTAGAACTAAAACCAACCTGTGTACAGAGTATCGTTACATACAATCAAAACACCGATCATTTCGTCCATTTACGATATTTCTATGTTTCAGTGACTGTGGAAGCCTGTGTAGGCGACTCTATGCAGACGACATACTCTTTTGCAAACAAACCCCGAAAGAAGAAAAACAAAGGTAAGTTATTGAAATACATCGCTTTAGGTTAAAACACATGTATATACGAGTGTGTTTCATAATGCGCCAATCAATCATTTCATCGTGTTTCAGCATCAGAGGAGGCCAGTACGGATGAGTCAGTTCACGCCACGTACGCTTTCGTCAAAAGACCCGGAAATACGGAGAAAGGTAAACTGATTCAAACTCTTCAACATCGTCAATTTTCATGTCCAACATCGTCTTTTTCTGTAAGATAAAACTATTTTTAACGTTTCAGCGAGTGAGGAGGTCGGTCCGGATGAACCGATACACATGACGTATTCTTTAGTCACCAGACCCCGGCAAACAGACGGTAAGAGACCGCACTTTGGTTATCGATTTAATCTTAATTTCCTGTCAGCGTAAAAATGACAGATGTGTTTTCATTCTATTTCAGCGTCTGAAGAGGCCCGTCAAGGTGCCTCAATGGAGACAACGTACGCTTCCTTAAAAAAACCCTTTAAGAAGAAAAAGATAAAGAAAGGTAACGGAAAAATAACGCCACACGGTTGACCTCTTTTCAGGTTAATGTTAAAGCAGTTACCTTTAAATGAGACGGCGTGAACACGTTTAGAAGTCTGTTTTGACTGCGTCTATTTCAGAAACTCGAGGCCCACTCGTACTCAAACCACCGCAGACAGAAACAGGTAGCAAGCCTCGCAGGTGGTTGTATAAGCTGCTCTAATGACACGAACTGTTTCCTGTCTCATAACCACAGCGAAGTCACAAAAACATGTACTCCTGTCTGTCACAACATTGAGAAAGTTTGGTCTGTTTTCTAAGGTGGTAAAAAAAGGGTTAAAAAAATCAGATGTTTGAGGTTGACTTACTGACCCGTAGACGAGTTTTCTTGTGAAATAAAAGTTTGAATTCCTGTAGATTAAGGAGAGAAAAGATGACAAAACTACGATAAATACATGAATCATAACAGAACAAAATAAATAAATGTAAATAAAAAGGGACCAACCATCGAGCCCTGTGGTACTCCAACAGAAAAAAGCATTTAGGATTTTATTTAATTTAAAACAGAGACAGTACATATTAATGAACATAAACATGTGAACATGCAAGATTATAGGCAAAGGCCAATTTCCATCTTTAGTCCCTTCGGCAGGTAGACGTCGTCAACAGAGATGATATTTCTGGCAGACAAGAACATCTTGAAAGCAAAGAAGGACAGAAAATAAGAAAGAAAAGAAAAGAACAGTCACCTCTAGAACCAGCTCTTGTTGATCTGCTTGAGTTGAGGGGAGATTTTGTAAATCAAGATAGCGTCGGTGAATTTAACAGTATCGTCCCAGCGTAGGCGTTCATGATTTTTCGGTCCGCTCTTTCTGACTGTAAACAAAGCCGTTCTCCACCTCCTCTAACCTGATTGGTTGTGAGGCAGACGCTGCTCCCCCGTGTCGTTCAGGAGCCCAAACAAAGTTAGCGTGCTACAATATCGGACAGTAGAAACCAACCAAAAAGTTCGGAAAATTGTCTGAATCCTCCTTTGGCCACGACTGACGACACAAGCAAGAAAACACTCAAACATAAACAGTCAGCAAGAAAACAGTCAACACCAAACCGGTCAACAAGAAAACAGTCAACAAGAACACAGTCAACAAGAAAACAATCAGCAAGAAAACAGTCAACACCAAACGGGTCAACAAGAAAACAGTCAACCATAAACAGTCAACAAGAAAACAGTCAACCATAAACAGTCAACACCAAAACAGTCAACAAGAAAACAGTCAGCAAAAAAACAGTCAACCATAATCAGTCAACAAGAAAACAGTCAGCAAAAAAAACAGTCAACAAGAAAACAGTCAGCAAGAAAACAGTAAACACCAAACTGGTCAACAAAAAACAGTCAACCATAATCAGTTAACAAGAAAACAGTCAACAAGAAAACAGTCACCAAGAAAAAAGTCAACACCAAACCGGTCAACAAAAAACAGTCAACAAGAAAACAGTCAGCAAAAAAACATTCAACAAGAAAACAGTCAGCAAGAAAACAGTCAACAAGAAAACAGTAAACAAAAAACAGTCAGCAGGAAAACGGTCAACACCAAACCAGTCAACAAGAAAACAGTCAACAAGATAACAGTCAACCATAAACAGTCAACACCAAAACAGTCAGCAAGAAAACAGTAAAAAAAACAACAGTCAACACCAAAAGAGTCAACAAGAAAACAGTCAACCATAAATAGTCAAGACCAAAACAGGCAACAAGAAAACAGTCAACAAGAAAACAAGAAAATGCTGCTCCCCCGTGTCATTCAGGATCCCAAACAAAGTTAGCGTGCTACAATATCGGACAGTAGAAACCAACCAGAAAGTTCGGAAAATTGTCTGAATCCTCCTTTGGCCACAACTGCCGACACAAGCAAGAAAACAAAGTAAATACCAGAGACTCTGGAGGAATAACGGGCGCTTAAAACGGAGGTAGACCGGACAAGAGCTAAAAAGCCGGGTCAACATAAACGATGGGGGACGCTTGGGGATCTTGGTGACCCTGTAACCTTTCTGCTGGACAGGTAAACCGCTTTAACAAAGTAAGACAAGTGTCTGTAACAGAAGTGTTTCTTGTCAAACGGACCTGCTGTAGCGTGTTGTAGCGCCATCGCTAAACTGTCCTCCCTCGGGTCCTGGACTATGTCACTTTATCCTAGTTGTAGAAGTCCTGCAAACATTGTGTTTGCTGGTAGTCTGTTGGCATCTACAGTAGCACCAATGCTTTTGACTTTCACCTTGACTGGGCCCCATTTGTAATGATCTGAAGTATTAATCTGCATTATATCTGAATTTAACTGGAACGATACGAGCGAGCAGGAGCGTCTGTTTGTGGGCAGGGCTTGTGGAGAGAAGGAGCTGAGGGGAAAACTGGTTGGGAGGGGTAGAGCTTACATTCAAGATTTCTCCTAAAAACTGGAACTTCCTCAGATCCTGCCTACCCCACCTTTAAAGTCTGATTGTTTGTGATTTACAAACAGTCTTGGATATGTTGGGATCCACATTCGTCAGTTCTTGCGCGGCGTGTTTTTTATCCTCTGCTCGGACATACAGAACAGCATCATCTGCATACATTTGGCAGGTGACATTCCAAGGACAACAACTTGGCAGATCGCTTATAAACAAACTGAAAAGTAGCAGACCTAGCACTTACCCCTGCGGCACCCCAAGATTGTCGTTACGTGATGTTGACTTCATGTTCTTCAAAAGGTGTAACAAAACCACCTCGAGTCTCACATTCTTTTGTTTTCTGTTGTTGTTAATCAGGCCAAGAGTCCTCCAGTTCCCCCACAGGACCAGTTCCCAGTGCAGGTACCAACCTCCTTTTGAGAGAAGAGGATCACTACTATTATACAATCGATTAAGACCAAGGGTAATACTGGTCTCCAGTGTGTCTCTGATTGATGTGAATGTGTTAAACTGGGTGGATTTTTGATGTTATGAAGAAGGCTGCTGAAAACCAGAGCGATGAAAAAGAACTTAAATGATGTTTAAATGTTTTAAAATCTTTCAACTGTCTTAACTACTTTTGTCTTTTGTGTCTCACAGTTTACTGACGACGGAAACACCCGACAGAGGCGACTATTTCAAGCTTTGACGTGTCCATGACTGCAGGAAGACAGAGCTGTCTTAAATTTAACTCAAATATCTTCAAGTGTAAAAGAAGATGTGACGAACTTTAAAAGACAATAAACAATATAAAATACATGTTCAGATGTAAGATGTTTTATTCATTTCTCTTAATGGAAACCTGTGTTTTTCCTCTTCATGGTCTGACTGTGAGACCTGAAGAGACCTCGTCAGAGTTTATTTTCAGAGGTATCAGTTCTTAAAGTGAAAAGGCGTAGATCTCTTTTCTCGGCTGTTCTCGTGGTGACCTCTGCGGTCACACGCTAACGTCATATTCAACATTTCCTTTAACGCAGTAAAGGTGGGAGGGTATGTGATATGTGATGACCCTATAGGGTCATGCTGCTGTGTGTGTGGTTGGCTTCTCTCTGCACCCTAATCAGAGCAACTACACACACCTGGGCCCTGGGTGCAGGGAGTATTTAACCTCCTACAGTTACTTGCAATTCTGTCTTTTGTTTCTCCTGACTGCCTTTACAGGGACTTGGTTTAACTTGGTTTGATTTGGTTTGGTTTGATTAAACTTGGGCTTTGTCTGGTTTGGTTAAACTTGGTTTGGTTTGGTTTGGTTTGGCTTTGTCTCGTTTGGTTTAACTTGGTTTGGTTTGGTTTGGTTTGGTTTAACTTGGTTTGGCTTGGTTTGGTTTGATTAAACTTGGTTTGGCTTTGGCTTTGTCTGGTTTGGTTTAACTTGGTTTGGTTTGGTTTGGCTTGGTTTGGTTTGGTTTGGTTTGGCTTGGTTTGGCTTGGCTTTGTCTGGTTTGGTTTATCTTGGTTTGGTTTGGGTTGGCTTGGTTTGGCTTGGTTTGGTTTGGTTTGGTTTGGTTTGGCTTGGCTTGGCTTGGCTTGGTTTGGTTTGGTTTGGTTTAGTTTGGCTTGGCTTTGTCTGGTTTGGTTTATCTTGGTTTGGTTTGATTAAACTTGGTTTGGCTTGGGCTTTGAGTGGTTTGGTTTAACTTGGTTTGGTTTGGTTTGGCTTGGGTTTTGTCTGGTTTGGTTTAACTTGGTTTGGTTTGGTTTGGTTTGGCTTTGTTTGGTTTAACTTGGTTCAAAGAGTTCAAATGTTTACGTATCTGTGAACTACTGACTATTACTACATATTAAAAAAGTGAATATTAAAACACACAAAAATCACACTTTAATATTTTTGTCCAGGTGTTTTTATTGTTTAATTTGTCTTTGATTTATGACGTTTCACATTATTTAAGGAGCAGATCCAACTCTCACTGAACCACCACCAGGTCGATAAAAGCTTCCCTCATCAGGGTTTCGATGTGGCAGGCGTATTTTCCCTGATCGGACCGTTTCACGCTCTGGAGTTTCAAAGACACGTCTCCATGTTTCAGGTTACTGCTGGACACCGATGTTCTCCCGGTAAATAACGCATGTGGTTTGGACTTCATCTCCTCGCCGTCTTTCCAAACAAACACAAATTTGGGATCCCTGTCGAACTTCCACCAAATGATAGTTAGGTCAGTGGCGTCCACAACGGGGTCCAGATGACATGGGATTACGATGTCTTCACCAACGGTTGCATTGATAGGGTGTGGTGGTATGACCAGGTCAGAATCACCTGGAAGAAAAACATCAGAAGATCAGCAGAAACTTCCTGTCAGAGGAGAAAGAGAAAGTCTTTTTTTTAATCAGAAATGTTAAGAAGAGTCTCGTCTGCGTAAAGTTGAACCACATCGGCTCGGTCAAAATTCAAAGTCCGTTTTTATTAAAACTGAGGGAGCTGGAGGGTTGAAATCAGCAGAACATGAGCAGTCAGTACTCTACTACATGTGTTAGCAATGTTAGCATCCTAGCTCTGTCAGTTTTTGAGACAGTCCTCTTTGATTAGGTGATGGTCGGTTACCATTTTCTATAGATCCATAAAAGCTAGAAGGCCTCCAGGATCCTTCTATGTCTATGTCTTCTATGAATTAACCTCAAATTTTTGGTCTCCCTTCAGGGTCTTTAGGTCCTTTCGGTTTTTGAGAAAATATCTGTAAATTTTGAAATCTCCAAATCTTCTCTGAACATATTAAAGACTCATATCTTCCTTATTCTGAGAGCGATTGGGCTGAAAATCCTACAAGTATCCCCTTACTACATTTTCTTTTATTCAACCATGTATCTCCAATAGTTTCTAAAAAAAGTGGACTGTGAATTCTTGGTGGACATCGAAGGTCCTCCAGATGACAATCACCAATAAAGACTTCAGATCAAACTGTCCTCTATCAGCTGGAATCAAACTCGAACTCTAGAATCTATCTTCCTGTAAACTACAGGTATGTTTTTCACAGAATACTCTTTAAAGGCTGTGTCTCATTTCAGAGACCGCAGAGACCTAAGTGCCCTTCTGCACCGTCGAACGGTGCATTTGAAGTGTGCATGACGTCACGACGGTGCGAACGGTGTCCCGTTTGGCACGAGATGCTAAAAAATGCTAAGCGCGCTTAGCATGTTTTCAAGCGTGCATTTATCCACGCTTTCGTGCCGTCGGTATCCCAGAATCCTTTGCGTGCCGCTGCACAGCTGCGCATTTCAGGTGAGAGGCTGGACTCGCTTGGAGACGCAGCGCGTCTTCAAAGAAATTACAAGCAATCCAAAAACAGCAGACAGTCAGCTCAGGCTGTATGAGAGCATGATCTCTGAACTCACTAAAATCTGTTAACCAAACATTATAGATTTAGAGACGAACTGATCCGCTCTGCTTCAACAATCAAAAACATTAGAAATAAGAAAGCTGACAAAACTACAGCAGAGTATCAGGACAACATTGAGGTTTTTTTCTTTTAAGATTTAGAGATTAAAGTTGTAAATTTAGGAGAATAAAGTCATAAAGTAAATAAAGTCATAAAGCTGCTTTTGTGGAGGGGGAAATGACTGAAGCTGGTCATCTGCAGGGTTATCTGTGGATGTATCAGCGGGTCATTCAGAGAGATTTTGTGGTTTCTGAAGAAACAATCAAACTGATGATGATCAACATTTGTGATCCAGAGGGAGTCGAGCTCCGACGAGCACCACGTCTCTGACACCGGCCGTAGCCTACACCTGCAGAGACACCAACACCTTATTATGGCATATGGATTCATATCATAAATTAAAGCTCAATGTCATTCACGGATATTAACGGCTGCATTGACAGATATATCCTCAGCATATTCATTTCTGCCTCCACAAAAGCAGCGATTTCCTTCAAGTACACCAGTTTTTTTCCCCGTGGAAAAGACGTATTTCTCATATATTCTTATTTTAAAGTCTTTATACTTATGACAATGTGATGCTGATGTGCCAGAGGATGAAGTATCTTCTATCCTCCTTCTCAATAGGGCCCTCATACTCCTTCATACAAAACAATCATTGGATTAATTTTGTGGGAATGATCTGGGCTTGTATGTATCTACTATTTTGTGTCTGTGCAAGGTCGCACAATTAAAACAATACATGCTGCGCTCCGCAGCTTTTTTTCTAATCAGTCGTGACGTAAGCCTGAGGGCGCGGACATTTGGAGACCTTCGGAGGACTTCCTGGTGGAGTTGCCAAATGTCCCCGCCCTCAGGCTCGCGTCACGACTGACTTAAAGGAAACCCGCGGAGCGCAGCATTTATTTTTTAATTGTGCGACCTCGCACAGACACAAAATAGTAGATACATACAAGCACAATTCATCCAATGATTGTTTTGTAAGAAGGAGTATGAGGGCCATATTGAGATTTAAGACTTTAAGGACTTTGAGATTTAAGTCGTGAATTTACGAGAATAAAGTCATTAATTTATGAGAATGAAGTCATAACCTGTTATTTCAGAGAGACTTGTTAAAATTAGGGCCATGAAGCATTTGAAGGAACTGTGCTTCAGTATAGGTTTCACAAACAAGGAGATTCTTCATCCTCTGGCACATCAGCATAACATTGTCATAAGTATAAAGACTTTAAAAAGAATATCTGAGAAATACGTCTTTTCCACGGGGGAAAAATATTGGTGTACTTGAAGGAAATCGCTGCTTTTGTGGAGGCAGAAATGAATATGCTGAGGATATATCTGTCAATGCAGCCGTTAATATCCGTGAATGACATTGAGCTTTAATTTATGATATGAATCCATATGCCGTAATAAGGTGTTGGTGTCTCTGCAGGTGTAGGTTACCGCCGGTGTCAGAGACGTGGTGCTCGTCGGAGCTCGACTCCCTCTGGATCACAAATGTTGATCATCATCAGTTTGATTGTTTCTTCAGAAACCACAAAATCTCTCTTAATGACCCGCTGATACATCCACAGATAACCCTGCAGATGACCAGCTTCAGTCATTTCCCCCTCCACAAAAGCAGCTTTATGACTTTATTTACTTTATGACTTTATTCTCCTAAATTTACAACTTTAATATCTAAATCTTAAAAGAAAAAAAAACCTCAATGTTGTCCTGATACTCTGCTGTAGTTTTGTCAGCTTTCTCATTTCTAATGTTTTTGATAGTTGTAACACAGCGGATCAGTTCGTCTCTAAATCTATAATGTTTGGTTTACAGATTTTAGTGAGTTCAGAGATCATGCTCTCATACAGCCTGAGCTGACTGTCTGATGGTTTTGGATTGCTTGTATTTTCTTCGAAGACACGCTGTGTCTCCAAGCGAGTCCAGCCTCTCACCTGAAATGCACAGCTGTGCAGCGGCACGCAAAGAATTCTGGGATACCGACGGCACGAAAGCGTGCATACATGCACGCTTGAAAACGAGGCGGGGGTAGTGTGGTTTTGAGACCGAATTTGAAGCGCGCTTAGTATTTTGTGCCAAACGGGACACCGTTCGTGCCGCGTGGTGACCTCACGTACGCGTCAGATGCGCCGTTCGATGGCTGCTGTATCTGAAATGGGACACAGGAAGGGCACAGAACGGCGCAAAACGGCGTAAAACGGCTCAAAGCGGCAGTGCACTCAGCTAAGCGCCGTTAAGCGCGCTTATCACGATGCGGTCTCTGAAATGAGACACAGCCCAAGTCTATTAAAGAGGTTGATTGTGGCGCCCCCTGTTGGTAGGAGGCATGTAAGTGCAGCCTGAAGCCTATTGGATGATAGGAGGACATCTGCTGGCAGCTCTGTGAAGTTCAGCAGAGAAGATCAGATTTTTTGGAATAACTTCCATGTGTGACCACAGGGTGGCGCTACCACCCCCAGTCACATACTCACAACCGAGAGCCAGTTAGACGAATTACAGACAACTCTTGTGTTTGTCGAACCAAACACCGTAATTATTTAGGTTTGAAATCAACAAAACGATTCAGGACATGGAAGAAGAGACTTCAATCTAAGTTTCGGAGTTTTAAAGAAAAGTTAAAGTCGGAGAAAGTCTGACTGACTGTTGAAACAGCCAGAGCGGAGCATCACAAAGTAAGTTTAACAAACTCAAACTTGATCTCTGACAAAGCCTGGAGCGGTGTCCCGGTACTGTCAGTGAACTTCAGGTTGTTTTATTTGTTTCATTTGTACTTGATCATCTAAAATGTGTACGGAGTTCAGTGAATTCAGTGAAAGTTGTTCTTGATGGTCTTACCTTCACATCCAGATGTTAGGAGAAGAAAGACGACTGTCTGGCAGAAAAGCAAAGCTCTGAAGGCTCCATCTCTGAGGAGATTCATGGTGGAGTCGGAAAAACTTTGAAAAAGTCATTTTACAAAGAAAAAACAAAAAACTAAAGTTACATTTAAGAAGAATTAGGACTTGTTTTTACTGATCATTTTCAGACTTTGATTTTGACGTCTCTAAAATATCCTTCTTTTAGGTTTACCTGCTTAGATCTTCAGTTCCTGGTCCACAGAGAAGTGAACTCCACAGTCCTGGTCCACTTTATATCACAGTCTTTTTGATTTTGGTAATCATTAGCAGATTCTTCTCTGTTTGCACTTTTGTACTGACACTTTTTTAATATTTAACATTAATCAAATAAATGACGAGTACTTACAACCCACTGCAAAACAAGACTGCAGCAGCGGGGTCATCTGAGGTACTGGTCCACAATAAGTTTGTTACCCACAGGGGATCCAGGGAGGCGGAGTCAAGTGTTTTTTATGCTCTTCTAACTCAATACGTCAACGTGACACAAACTCAAAACTTCCGTACAAAACTGAAGACATTTGAAGGATTTTATAAACTCCCCTGGATGAACCGGACAGCCCCCCAAAAAGAGGACATGTTCGGGTCAAAGAGGTCACTTTAGAGGTCACTCTATATTAGACCAATACATACATACAGTAAAAAGAGGAGATAAAATAATAGATAAAGTAAGTAGAAATAAAGAGATGAATACATAAAATAAGTAAAAAAAAGTTAAAATTTAAATTAAAAAAAAGTAAAAAATAAGTTAAAAAAATGAGTAAAAATAAAGAGATAAAAAAGATAAAATAGGTAAAATAAATCAAATAAAATTAAAAATAAAAAGTAAAATAATAAGTAAAAATATAAAAAAAACAAAGAGATGAATACATAAAATAAGTAAAAATAAAAAGTAAAAATAAAAGTAAAAATAAGTAAAAATAAAGAGATGAGTAGATAAAATAAGTACAATCAATAATAAAGTAAAAATAAAAGTAAAATTAGTTAAAAAATAAGTAAAAATAAAAGGATAAATAGATTAAGTAAAATAAGTTTAAAAAGTACAAATAAAAGTAAAAATAAAATAAAAAATAAATAAATAATAAATAATAAAATTAAAAAAATAGTAAAAATAAGTAAATATAGTAATTTTAATAATAATAATAATAATAATAATAATAATAAAAATAATAAAAATAAAGAGATAATATAAAAGTATGTTGATGTCGACGAGCCGACTCTCAGACCCGACCCATTCTCTCCGACACACCACGAGTCGAGTCGGAACCGTGAACCCCTCTCAGTCCTCCATCCTGATGTCTTTGTATTGCAGTCGAGTCTTTTACTGAAAACTGTCTCTGAGACTATTTCTGTCTGCAGGTCAGACCAGGCGAGTTTCATCGTCAGCAGCAGAGTTAGCCACAGAGGAAGTGACCCCTCTACCCCCGCCCAGCGCTGTAGTCTGAACGCTCAGGCAGTCCGCAGCAAGATACCATGGAGGTGACAGTGTTCTACATCAGACTACGTGAGTATTTAAGCTGTCGAGGAATTCAAAACTCTGGTACCAATGTAGACTAACAAGAACCTTTACTCATATCACACATTTCGCTCAGCGTAACTTCTGGTTTGCTGAGAAAATAAAGGTTATTGTTTGGCCTTTATCCCTCAGAGTCCTGTCTGAACTTTTAAAGTTCTCAGGTATTAAGGCGCTCTGTGATTAACTTCTTGTTCTTCCTCTGAAGTGCTGATGGTGTCCATGCAGCTGGGTGTTCGTTCCCAGATGATCGGTAAGTTTGTCTTTCTACAACTTCTTCTGCAGAGGAGTGGTTCTCTAACTCGGTATCTTCTCAGATCCAGCTCTTCTGATCATCCCGTCCAAGCTGCAGCTCTTTGAGTTCGAGTCCCTCTCCGTTCAGTGTTCCAGCGTCGATGGCGTGACCGGATGGGCGATTTTAAGGAAGACAAAAAAAAGCGTTTCGGCGTGTGGATCTCTGATGTGGGGAACGTTAGTGAGGTCCTCCTGCACCATTAAGGGGGCCTTTTCAGAGGACAGTGGAGAGTACTGGTGTGAGGCCGGAGGAGGGAAGAGGAGCGACTCCGTTCACATCACCGTCACCGGTATGTTACCCCCAATTTTCACTCTGCTCTGATCCGGAACCGCCGAATTTCGTGGTGGATTACGGACAGCAGGAATCGCAAGAACTCACAAAATGTCTCTTCAATTTCGTTGACTAAAACGAGACGAGACAAAATTGTTGAGTCGCGTTGTTATTGTTTTCTGTTTCCTTGGCTGTGCGTCGCCTTGTTCAGTCCCTCATATTGGCATTCTGCGGTGTCGGAAAAATAGAACTCTTGCAGTCAGCTGTGGAGTCCAGCGATCCACAGAGGAATGGAAAGAAGCCGGTGGAAATTGACACGTTAACTTGAATGGTTACGATCCGGTACGATCGGCGGGTACGTCCTTTTCGCAGCCGTTCAGGATGCGGTGGAAATTGGGGGTTAGCCACGAAAACGATTCAATCCAACTTGTGTTTGGTGTTCAGTAACCGTCGAACCCTGTCATTCAGCCGGTTCCGTCGTCCTGGAGAGTCCTGTCCTTCCCGTGATGGAGGGGGAAGCTGTGGAGTTAAGGTGTCGACCCAAAAACGAGTCCTCGGACCTCACGACGGATTTCTACAAGAACGGACTTCACGTTGGTCGCAGCTCAACCAGAGAGATGACCATCCCCAGTGTGTCTGTGTGCGATCAGGGGATCTACACCTGCAAAATCAGGGACGGATCTCCAGGAAGCTGGCTGTACGTCCGAGGTGAGTCGACACCTGGAACAACACGGTCTTGGCACGCTGTTGATGGTTATTATCCACTCAGGACACTTGCCAGTTCTGAGTCAACAGGAAGTGAACTGGCCCTCGTGGTTGATGTACATGTTGGGGCGTCATTTACACATCAACAGTTCTTGTCTTTTGTCTTTACAGCAAAACACGAGGAGCTCCGCCCCTCCTCAGGTCTCGTGTTTGTCGTCTTCAGAAACATCTTCCCCGTTCTGATGATGATTCCTCTTCTGCTGTTGCTCGCAGCGCTGCATCGTGGGAAATTCAGATGTCGACAAAACTAACCTGAAGTTTCAGAAAAAATGATCACACGGTGCATTTTGCATCACAACATCAGTACAGATATGTTGATTCATAGATGTGCCGCTCGAACCGCAGACTGTGCTGTAAATATCTCATCTGTTTGATATTTTTAGGGTCTAGATTCAGAGCGGTCACATGTTCGACGACGTGAACCTCCTGAGAGAGGACAGAGGTCTGTAAACCACGGCTTTATTTGTCCACCCACTCTGAACACACCGAGAGAAACACACCTCCACAGATGGACTTCAACTTCCACTAACAGAGCGGAGGGTTTGTTCTGGAAATGTAGATAAAAAAAGTCAAAATATAACAAACTTTTAGTGGCACTCAGAGTATTTAATGTACCGTCTGAGGAATATAAAGTAAACTCACATGTATAAAACAATATTGAAACAATATTCATTAAAGTGTTTTTGAATAAATGTGTGATTGTTTAAATATGTCATTGGTGTAATGTGAGTCATGTCCAGCAGAGGGCAGAAAAGACCTCAGTTATCCATATCAATGTTGAACCCTGTGAGTCACTTCCTCTGTTTTATCAGAAATAGTAATGAGGTTAAAACGATTAAAACAATCATTCGATCTTTTGATCATTGTTGTTCGTACCGCTCCACATTAAGGAGTTTATACGCAGACAACAACATCTAGAAAATAATTCATGATAATTTGATTTAATTTAATTTAAGTCCAGACAGAACCAGTCCACCACACAGAGGGACATCGGTAACACTTTACAAAGAACCCTAACTTATAAATGATAAGCAGATAGTTTATTAATGTTTAATCATCATTTATAAATAGCATATAGAACAAAAATAAATAGTAAATTTTTACTATTTTAAAAACGTAACCCTAACTTTACAATAACCATCTAAGTTAAATATTTATAGGTGGTTTAAAAACCAAATATTAATCATTTACACACATTTTAATCTCAATGTTTTACAACCAATATTTAAACCTTTAGTAATTAATGAAAATTATTAATCATAATTTTATTGCTTGTTAAAGTTACTATTAACTTACATTAATGAACTATTTCTATTTGGCATTTATAAATGATGGTTATTGTAAAGTGTTACCGGGACATCTTAATGACGTAGGAAAGAAACGTCTTCAATTCAACTTTATTGAATTTGGTCACCAGGAAACAGTTTAAGTTTACTTCTCATCTTGTTTTATCTTGTTTTATCTCACTACTACACAACTTCCTTTTCTACCTTAGCTTATCTGTCTTGTGTTAGCCTGTTAGCTCCTAATCTGACCCGGTGAATGTTGTTAAAAAGGTTATTAAATTTTTTGACGTCTGTTTGATTACATTGATTTGAAAGACCCGAAATACTTCAAATGACATTTTTAGCATTAAATATTAAAACCAAATCAATAACCGCAGACACAAACAGGTGGTAGACGCTGCAGGATGTTATGAAAGATGGTCTCAAACAGATGGAGTCACATGACCACAGAAAAGTCAGGATACAACAGAGGAAGACCAGATGAAAGCTTCTATTTATAAAGATTTATCTTAAATATTTATTCATGTCGATTTTAAAATTCAAGTCACAGTCAGAAGCAGAATAGATTTTAACGTGTTTATATATATACATCATTATATCATCTGCAAAAAGAGAAATACTGTAAAGCGTTTTTCATTTGTTTTTGAGATGTCAAGAATGAATTAATTATTGTTTTTTTTTTGTTTGAGGACAAACGTCAACAACATATGAGAATATAAAAAAATATAAAGAGTAAAAGAGAACTTATTTACACGGGTCCATTTCACACTTTAAAACACAGTTAGTCTTTGGTGTCATACAATCATTTAAAGAGTGATTTACAAAAGAAACACTGAATTCAAAAACTGATTTACAGTTCATCAAAAGTGCTGAATGTGAATTAAGATGAACTAAAATAAAAAACAAACATCTAGATAAAAGTATATAAAAAAAAGGACAGGAAATTTCTCGACTGTGTTTTCACATAAAGATGCTGCTTTTATGATCATGTTGAGTAAACACGGGCGAACCAAAAAAAACTCTTATTTTTAGGTCCCAAACTTCATGAAGAATCCTCTTTTATTTTACGCGTCTGAACTGGAAAGAGTGAGTTCTGCGTACGTTTCATTTCCCTTTTCCTTCTCATCCTCACGCTGTGAATAAATATCATTTATCTGACGGTATACACTTTCTTTCCTCTTTGTCAAGTTGTCGACCTCCTGGAGTATCAGTGTTAAAATAGTTTCCTTTTCCTGCAGCTCTTTCTTTAAGGACTCCACTTTTGTTTTGGGGTCAGTTTCATTTTTACCCTCTGAGTTCATGTCAGTCCTCTCTGTCTGTGTTCCACCGTCTGTCAGCGTCTCCTCCTGAGTTTGATTTTCTGCCTCTCTGAGTTTTTTTTCCATATCAATCTTCTGCTCCACTAGATCCGCCCTGTAATTCATCAATAATACAACCGTGTCGACCAAAAATCGATGTTCACAGATTTTCTCGTCTAACTCTTCGCTAACTCTCCTCTCGTCCAAAAGTCCGATGGTTCTGCTCTCTGCAGAGTCCGGCAGAGTCTCTCTCTCCTCTTCAGTCAGTGCGTGGAGTTCTGTGTCGTCATTTGACGATCTTTTCGTGTTTGTTAGAGAGTGTTTACGGTCCCCTGTTGTAAAGCAAAGACAAAAATCAGTTTTGTAATATTTTAAAACGTCAGAGGTTGATGTAATGTGAGTCATGTCCAGCAGAGGGCAGAAAAGACCCTCTGCTGGGGCCTCATTTATCAACCATGCGTACGAACATTCCCACGCAAAGTCTGGAATTTATCGACCTGGACTTGTTCTTAGGAAAGAACGTAAATTTAAACCCAACTCTGAGCATGCCTACACACAAACCCTTGTGGTAGAACAGTGAAACTACAACTAGAATTACAAGTACAAATACAAGTACACATACAAGTATCATGTCTTATTTTGTTCTATTGGAGGACTTGGAGAACCGTCTGCTCCTCCTCCTCAGGGAGCGCGGCGTTTTCAAAGAGCGTGCTGATCTGTTCAGTGAGAACTCAGGGTGGATTCTCAGCAGGTACCGCTTCCCCAAAAACATACGAATGGATTTATGGGTGGCACAGTGGTGTCGTGGTTAGCACTGTCGCCTCACAGCAAGAAGGTCCTGGGTTCAAATCCGACTCAGGGTGTTTCTGTGAGGAGTTTGCATGTTCTCCCTGTGTCTGTGTGGGTTTACTCCGCTTTCCTCCCACATCCCAAAAACATGCATAAGTGGGGTTAGGTTAACTGGCCACTTTCAAATTGCCGGTAGGTGTGAATGTAACCGTGGATGGTTGTTCGTCTCTATATGTCAGCCCTGTGATGAACTGGCGACTTGTCCAGGGTGTCCCCTGCCTTCACCCGAAGATGCTGAGATAGGCTCCAGCTGTTAAACGTTGTTGCTCTGGAGAAACATGACTGTGAGTGTGCACCTCCATGATTTCATGATTACTTGCTTGTGTGCGTACGACTGGTGTCGGCATGTTTGATAAATAACGATTTTCTTATTTTCATTCCTGCATCAGAATCTAGAACCTTTTCTATGCGCCGTTGATAAATGAGGACCCAGGACTTTATCATGGAACACTTACACTTTTGATTCTGTCTGCGGTACAACGCCCAACAGGCAACGGCAGTCGTGATCGCCATGACAGCAACCATGACACTGAGGATGATCGTAGAAACGGACGAAGGTTGAGTCTTGAAAAAGTCCTCTGTGGAAGAAGAAAATAAAGTGATGAATGTTGAAAAAAGACTTCTGCTGAAAAAACCAAGACCTCTGTTCTCTACCTGGAACATGGACGTGGGTCTCTCTGGTCAGGTTGAGGTTCTTCTGCTGGACTCTACAGGTGAAGATGTTTCTGTCTCTCTTCTCCACGGTCACTTTACTGCTGACGTTGTAGAGACCATCAGGACCTCGGATCGTCTCTGTAGGTCCATCAGAGAGGAGGTTTCCAACAGAGTCCAGCCACAGAACCTCAGGTTCTGGATACCAGCCTTCAGACTCACACTGTAGAACCACCTCATTATTCTCAGACCTTCTGGAGCTGATGACCAAAGATGAGGCTGCACCTGGACAGAAGAAGATCATTTCATCAAGTTTAAATTAGTTACCGTATTTGGAATTTTTCAACTCTTCTAGAAACAAATCTGTTCTGTTGAAGATCCGGTTCTCTAAGGTTCTGGACTCACCAACCAGAAGTTTTACAGGAACTTCACGGTTCAGCATCGGGATGAAGCATCCATAAGTCCCCTCATCAAAGAGTTGGACTCCCTTGAGTTTCAGAGAAACATCTCCGTGTTTCAGGTTTCTGATGGACACTGAAGTTCTCCCGATGTAGGACGGGTGTTTTTTGGACTCTAGTTCCAGGCCGTCACGCCAAACGTAGACAAATCTGGGATTGAGGTCAGGTCTCCTCCACTCTACAGTCAGGTCTGAGGCATCTACAGCAGGGTCCAGGTGGCACGGTAAGATGATGTCTTCACCAACTGTAGCTACAGCGGGCTGTGAGGGAGTCAGCAGAGACTGATCTGAAAGAAGGTGGACTGATTAGAAGAAGGTCCTGGAACCGAGCCCTGAGGGACTCCAGAACTACCAGGAGAACCAGTTTGGAAGACTGGACTTTACTGGTTTGAACTTCTGGGATCTTTTTGAAAGAAGTGGGTCTTTACCTGCACAGGTATGTATGAGGACCAGAAGGAAAACCAAAGTGCTGAAGGATCCTCGCTGAGGTGTGGAGGATGATCCATCCTTTAGGAGACACATCTCTGACTCCTGAAAGGATTTTAAAAAAAGTTAGATTTACACAGATTCATGACAACCTCAGATCGGATCGACTGAAGGCCAAACGTTCACAGGATTCAGATTTGAAGGATTTGGAAGATTCGGTTCAAGAAGAAATTCAAAGTGTTTATTTGGTTCATTTTAAAACCACAAAGAAACTTAACAGACAGATGATTTTAGGGTTTAAATGTTCATATTACTGTTTTAAACCCTTCAAAAGAGTCAAACTGTTTTTAAGTCACAGATTCAACTTTGTGTTCAAGAAGTTCAGAGATGTCAGATACGTCATTCTTTGTTAGGAATGTGAGGTTCAAAACGCGAACGCAGCTTTCAACTCCTTTAACTGAGCAGGTAGGCTACTCCAAAGAAAAAAAAAGACCCAAAATGCAGAATAAAAGATTTATTAAAACAGGAAGTAAAAAGGAAATCCAACAGTCCAAAAAACACAAGAAGCAAAATCTGAAGAAACAAACAGACACTTGGAAAAACCAACAGTGACCGACAAACCAGGACAGAGGTCAAGACAGGGACTACATACAGACCAGACGAGACACGGGTCAGAGTGATTAACAAAGGAGGGAAAACTAGAGAAAGCTAGAGAAGTAAAACAAGGAATCAAGTCCTACAAAATACAACAGGAAACAAACACTGAAAACTGATCGAAAGAATAAAACACAGAGAACTCACGAGACTGGACTAGAGGGGAACAGGAACACGATACACAGAAAATGACATCTAAATCCCCAAACCAGGAGAAAACTACAACAACAGAACATACATTTACTTCAGTAACGCTTTTTCACACGACTGTGAAGGACATAAATGTCGACTGTCATGACAACGTTTTAGCAGCTTACCGTTTTGGTGGTTCGACTCCCAAGAAACGGAGAAGGAAAGTTCTCCTGTCAAAGTCCAGCACAGATCAGCTCCTTTTCTTTATTAATTTTTAACAGGTGGGACTGATATCATGTTGTTGGCTCACACCTTTGCAACTGATCAATAATTAACCAATCACAGTCCGTTATGAACACCAAATCAGCATCAAGGTCTCTGATACACATTTAAAGTATTTAGGACAATGTTGAAACACTGAGACAATAGATAATAAACCGTCCAATAATATGATATTTCAGCTGCTCTATGACACTTGAATCACTGCCGGGGTCTTAAACTTTGTGAACTGAGACTTTCTGAAGTTTTCAAACCAGACAGTGAAATAAAATCCAATCATAAACACCCACCAAACTGAAATAAATAAAAGCTCCAGAGAATAAACGCTCTTTTTTTGTAGTGAATTAATCATTTTATTTTAAGTGAAAAAAGGTACAATTTGTGTTAATATTCAACTTAAAAAAGCACAAAAACGGAAGTTTAAACTTGTCGATTACACACTTAAAAAAAACTATTAAAAAAATTAACCAACCCCCGACTTCCACCTTCATCCTGATCGTCTCCTAAAAGGTCGTATCCTCCGATCGTAGCTGATCGTAACCATTCAAGTTAACGTGTCAATTTACACCGACTTCTTTCTGTTGCTCTGCAGATCGCCAAAGTTCTATTTTTGTGCCAGATAAATTCAGCACAGATTAACCCGTGCTGGAAAGGAAGTCGGGCACAGACACAAAATAAAACATCCGGCTTCTTTTCAAAATAAAACACTCCGTGTTTCAGGAGGATCGTATTTCACACCATGCAAACGGGCGGAGACGAACAAGTGAAAGGTTTTTAGATGTCATTTCACCCTGATGACACCATGGATGAGGAGATGCTGATTCTAGAAGTCTAGAAGTAGATTTCCTCCTCTGGAAGGACACAATCTACTGCTTATATGTCTATGTGTCTGTCTTTATAGAGACAACTCGTTATCGTGCGATTGATCGTGAATCCACAGGTTCTTGTGAGTTCTTGTGATTCCTGCTGTCCATAATCCACACCGAGATTCGCCTCATAAACAGATCCGGTAGGAATTGGCGGACGGCAAAAATCGCCGCCATTTTGGATTGGAGCCATTCCGGATGTGGTGAAAATTGGGGGTTAGACCTCCGTCTGCCCAAACTGTACAGTTAATGATAACAGGTTCAGAAACACTTTAGAACTGCAGTTTATTCAATAAAACACACTTTTAAAGAAAAGTAAAAAAAATAAAAAAACTTGTTTATGGTGCTGCCAGATCAGGACTCAGTCATGGCACAGAGAGTCCGTCCTCCTGGACATGAACTCCTCAGATCTACACTCTGAACTCTGAGACCACGTTTACACAAATGGACATTTAACCCTCTCTGTTTACAACAAAAAACTGTGCACACCACTGCGTTTTTAGAAAAGTGTTCGTTTACACTAACCCGTGTTCATATGCCGTCAAGACAAGAGCATGCCAAACCTGTAGGTGGCAGTGTAGCAAGAAGCTCAAGCCCACATCAGCCAATCAAAATCCTGCAACAACATCACTTCCTTCTCTAAAGGAATTGCACCAGCATAAATGCGACCACTATTTTCCATGTGTCCATGATCACCATAGTCGATCACACAATCTGCCGTCGGCTACACAAATAAATGTAAATAGAGTTTTCCAAAATCTCCTCTCTGGCTGAAGTTCTCAATAAAAATCATTTTCAGGGGCAAATTCTCAGTTTGCGTCTAAACGGAGCGTGGTTAACCAAACGATGGTTAATAGCTCAGTTTTAAAAAATAACCGGGTATGTACAAACGGGGCCGGAATCCTGGTGAGACTGTTGAATCTGCGGCTCTAAGTTTTTACAACCTTGTTCTTTGACTTGAAATTCTAAATAGTTAGATTCTGCTTTATGTTTTGTCTGCCCGTTTATCTCCTCGAGTTGTCTAACAATGTTTTCCTCCTGAACATTCAGCTTCTCTTTCCTCTCTGTTAATTTGGAAACCTTTGACGAAATTGACTCCAGAACTGACTCTGTGTTCTTCAGTTTAGTCTCAAGCTGTTTTTTTGCTGTTTCTGGATCAAGTTCCTTCGGATTGTCCTGCAAATATTTGATGTAAGCTTCTACTTTTTGTCTAAAAACACCTTTCAGTGTTAGACGCAGAATCTCGTCTTTCCCTGACGGACTTTCCACAACATCAAGGTCTTTACTGAGTTGATTTCTCTGGTCTTCCAGTTCCTTATTGTTAAACATTAACAAATTGACGGTTTCTAACACGTCTTTGAGTTCGTCCTGTACTTCTTTTAAGTCCACCTCAAGTTGGGCTTTCTTCTCATCTACAGTCTGGACCTTTGAGCTCTTTTTTGTCATCTTTTTTTTCAGCGGGTGAAGTTCTACGTCGTTACTTGAAGCTGACCTCTTCTTTGTTCTCGGACTAACGTTACCTGGAGGAAAGTGAGAAAATAAAGATGTTAAACTGAGAAGTAGAGGAGTATAATCTACTTCAAAATGACATACTTACGCATTTTTTTACGTCTGCAGTACAACACAACTACGACTACTGCAAAAAGTACTGCAACCAGGCTGAGGATGATGGGAGTTGGAGAAGAACATTGAGCGGTGAAGACGTCATCTGTGGAAGAAGAAAAGTGATGAATGTTGAAAAATGACTTCTGCTGAAAAAACCAAGACATCTGCTGGTACCTGGAACATGGACATGGGTCTCTTTGGTCAGGTTGAGGTTCTTCTGCTGGACTCTACAGGTGAAGATGTTTCTGTCTCTCTTCTCCACGGTCACTTTACTGCTGACGTTGTAGAGACCATCAGGACCTCGGATCGTCTCGGTAGGTCCATCAGAGAGGAGGTTTCCAACAGAGTCCAGCCACAGAACCTCAGGTTCTGGATACCAGCCTTCAGACTCACACTGTAGAACCACCTCATCATCCTCAGTCCTCCTGGAGCTGATGACCAAAGATGAGACCACACCTGGACAGAAGAAGATAATGTCATCAAGTTTAAATTAGTTACCATATTTGGAATTTTACAACTCTTCTAGAAACAAATCTGTGAAAGAGTATAAACAAACAGGTTCTGTTGAAGATCCGGTTCTCTAAGGTTCTGGACTCACCAACCAGAAGTTTTACAGGAACTTCACGGTTCAGCGTCGGGATGAAGCATCCATATGTCCCCTCATCAAAGAGCCGGACTCCCTGTAGTTTCAGAGAAACATCTCCATGTTTCAGGTTTCTGATGGACACTGAAGTTCTCTCGATGTAGGACCCGTGTTTTTTGGACCCTAGTTCCACTCCGTCACGCCAAACGTAGACAAATCTGGGATTGAGGTCAGGTCTCCTCCACTCTACAGTCAGGTCTGAGGCATCTACAGCAGGGTCCAGGTGGCACGGTAAGATGATGTCTTCACCAACTGAAGCTACAACTGGCTGTGAGGGAGTCAGCAGAGACTGATCTGAAAGAAGGTGGACTGATTAGAAGAAGGTCCTGGAACCGAGCCCTGTGGGACTCCAGAACTACCAGGAGAAACAATTTTGGAAGACTGGACTTTACTGGTTTGAACTTCTGGGATCTTTTTGAAAGAAGTGGGTCTTTACCTGCACAGGTACATGTGAGGACCAGAAGGAAAACCAAAGTGCTGAGGGATCCTCGCTGAGTTGTGGAGGATCCATCCTTTAGGAGACACATCTCTGACTCCTGAAAGGATTTTAAAAGTTCAACTCTTTGAAACAACTCTAAATTTCCAAAAAGTTTGATGGTTTTTGATAGTAAAGTAATTTTTTAAAGTAAAGTAATTTTAAAAAAATGTCATAGTATGGTATGAAATTTTTGATATGACAAAAATATTATGTATACTATGATAAAGATGTCAAATTTTAGTATTACAAAATTTTAGTAAAAAAAGTCATAGTATAGTAAAAAAAATAGTAAAATTTTAGTATGGGAAAAAAAACCATAGTAGTGTTTGAAAAAAAAAATCATAGAAAAGTATGATAAAAAATTTTATAGTATAGTATGATAAAATATCGTAGTCTGGTATGATAAAAAATGTCAGTATACTTGGATAAAGAACTTCAAATTTTAGTTCAAAAGAAGTCATGATAAAAATGTCAAATTTTTGTATGAAAAAAGTCAAAGTATAATATGATAAAAATTTGACATTTTAGTATGAAGAAAAAACATCACTGTACAGTATGATAAAAAGTTTCAAATTAAAAAATTAAGTATTAAAAAATTCAGAGTATTGTATGGTAAAAACATATATGATAAAAAACTTTGACAAGTTACTTTGACAAAAATATGAAAATTTTGTATAATAAAATGTCATAGTATAGTATGTTAAAAAAGTTTATAGTATAATATGATTACAATTTCCAATTTTAGTTAAAAAAATATAGTTTAGTATGATAAAAATATTATGTATAGTATGATAAAAAATGTCATAGTATACTATGATGACATTTTAATTTTTTTGTATGGAAAAAGTCATAGTATAGTTTGATAAAAAAGTTTTAGAATGACAAAAAGCCCTAGTATTGTATGATAAAAAAATAGGTCATGGTATTCTGCGACAAAAATATAATTTTTTTTTATGAAAAAATGTCATAGTATAGAATGTTATAAAATTTTAGAGTATATTGTGATAAAAAAAAACCTCAAATTTTAGTATAAAAAAATGTCATAGTGTAGTATGATAAAAAAAAACAGTGTGTGTTAATATAAATCATGTCTGACCATAGAGACATGTCCCACCTCTCTAGGTGAACTTGAACAGTTTCACTTAAAACCGGAGTTAAAATGGTTCTGAGTTAACTTCAACTCTGACCTGAGTTTGATAAACTTACTGATTATTAGCGATCGTAACTGTTAGCATTGATAACACGTCTTTGTCTGGGTAGTTTGTCAAGCTATCCAGCAGTCACATGAATGGAGTTTTCAAATCAGAGTCGTTCTTTCTCAGAAATAAAACATCTGTACCTTCAAATTAAAAGCTTTTAACTTCTTTTAAATTAGTCAGTTTAGTTATTTAGTATAGATCTTGCGCAGTAATGTGAAAAAACATGATTTTCATTGAGTTTGCTGACCTACCTCTGTGCTGGTTCAACTCACAGCAGACGGAGAAGGACACTTCCACAATCAAAGTCCAGCACATGTCATATGACCCACATCTGATCAATCATTAACAAGTCAATCTCAGCTCTCCTGGTGTCAGCTTTCACCTCAGAAGACCTGGGCTGTTTATGACTGTAAGTCAGCTGTTACTCTGTAGTATGGTCGGCCTGGTTTAGCTGGTTTCCAGTATGGAAAGGCCATCGTACCCTGGTACCCTGGTACCCTTGTACCCAGTTTAGCGATGGCGCTACAACATGCTACAGCAGGTCCGTTTGACAAGAAAAACTTCTGTTACAGACGCTTGTCTTACTTTGTTAAAGCGGTTTACCTGTCCAGCAGAAAGGTTACAGGGTCACCAAGATCCCCAAGCGTCCCCCATCGTTTATGTTGACCCTGCTTTTTAGCTCTTGTCCGGTCTACCTCCGTTTTAAGCGCCCGTTATTCCTCCAGAGTCTCCGGTATTTACTTTGTTTTCTTGCTTGTGTCGGCAGTCGTGGCCAAAGGAGGATTCAGACAATTTTCCGAACTTTCTGGTTGGTTTCTACTGTCCGATATTGTAGCACGCTAACTTTGTTTGGGCTCCTGAACGACACGGGGGAGCAGCGTTTTCTTGTTTTCTTGTTGACTGTTTTCTTGTTGACTGTTTTGGTGTTGACTGTTTATGGTTGACTGTTATCTTGCTGACTGTTTTCTTGTTGACTGTTATCTTGTTGACTGTTTTCTTGTTGACCGGTTTGGTGTTGACCGTTTTCCTGCTGACTGTTTTCTTGTTGAATGTTTTTTTGCTGACTGTTTTCTTGTTGACTGTTTTTTGTTGACCGGTTTGGTGTTGATTTTTTTCTTGGTGACTGTTTTCTTGTTGACTGTTTTCTTGTTGACTGTAATCTTGTTGACTGTTTTCTTGTTGACTGTTTTCTTGTTGACTGTTTTTTGTTGACCGGTTTGGTGTTGATTTTTTTATTGGTGACTGTTTTCTTGTTGACTGTTTTCTTGTTGACTGTAATCTTGTTGACTGTTTTCTTGTTGACTGTTTTCTTGTTGACCAGTTTAGTGTTGACCGTTTTCCTGCTGACTGTTTTTTGTTTACTGTTTTCTTGCTGACTGTTTCCTTGCTGACTGTTTTCTTGTTGAATGTTTTTTTGCTGACTGTTTTCTTGTTGACTGTTTTTTGTTGACCGGTTTGGTGTTGACTTGTTTCTTGGTGACTGTTTTTTTGTTGACTGTTTTCTTGTTGACTGATTATGGTTGACTGTTTTTTTGTTGACTGTTTTCTTGTTAACTGATTATGGTTGACTGTTTTTTGTTGACCAGTTTGGTGTTACTGTTTTCTTGCTGACTGTTTTCTTGTTGACTGTTTATGTTTGAGTGTTTTCTTGCTGACTGTTTATGTCGTGGCCAAAGAGGATTCAGACAATTTTCCGAACTTTCTGGTTGGTTTCTACTGTCCGATATTGTAGCACGATAACTTTGTTTGGGCTCCTGAACGACACGGGGGAGCAGCGTCTGCCTCACAACCAATCAGGTTAGAGGAGGTGGAGAACGGCTTTGTTTACAGTCAGAAAAAAACTCCAGTTAAAAGTTTCGCCGCTCTCCGCTTTTCCATCATCTTTGCATTGTGGGTAACAGTAGGTGAAGCGGACTGGTCAGATGCATGATGTAAAATTTTCCCGAATCAGTACGTCATCCAGGTATTTTTGGCAAACTGCAAATTTCGCATTTGTTCGCCAACTGCAAACCGCTAGTATAGTAGGGGAATTTGAAAATGGCCCTGGTCTGGACTTGTTTCATACAAAATAAAACCATGGATGATAGTGTCCCCCGGCCTTTGCTGTGACCTCTGACCCTGACCTCGACCGTCACATTATTATTAGCTCATTTGTCTGTAGAGCCGTCACGTGTTTGAACATTCTGAAGATGTGAAGTTTCTCAGAAATGATTGCAGATCTCAGACCACGACTTTCTTACATAAGTGATATATTTGATCACCGACTCACTGAGAAACGTGTGACAGAGGACGGTCTGCAGCGTCTTTGAACATCATCTGTGGTTTTGTTGAAGGATGTGAACACGTGATGAAGTTCTCTGAAGAACCAGATCTTCAGATTAAATCAGACTCTGATCATGTAAACAAAGACAAAAACACCTCATTGGTTTTCAGAAACTCGTGACATCTCGTGTATCTGCATCAATATTTTTACCTCCGACCACGCTTTGCTCTTTGGCTCCGCCCACTGATTTTCAGCTTAAGTACCGAGGCTTAACGGACGTTAAACAGGAGCTGCTTCAAACCTCACTGACGCTTCCTTCCAGGTCGAGGTTTCAAGAGTCGACATGGGGGTCGGCGTTCTCTGCAGCAGACTCGGTGAGTATGACTTGGTCGTCTTTTGGAGAAGATGATGAAGTTCTTTGTCCATCAGAGTTTTAGACATCTAAAAAGGTCTGAGGAAACCTTCTGACCCTGAAGAGCAGCTCTTAGAAACCTCTGTCTTTGTCTTTCAGCGTTGTTCCTGCTGTTTGCACACTCTCAGAAAGTCGGTAAGTACCGTTCAGTCGTGAAGTTTTATAATTCAATTTATCTAAATGCTGGAATCTGGACGAATCTTTTCTTTCGGTTCTTTCAGATTCAGTTTTTCTCCGTGTCCATCCGAACAAAGTCCAGTTCTTCGAGTACGAGTCTCTGACGTTTCATTGTGAGTGTTCGTACGGCTCCGCTGGATTGAAGGTCGTCCATCGCGTGAAAGGCGAACTTTCTCTGTGCAAACATTCGACGAAGAAGACAATGGTGTCGTCCTGTACCGTTAAAAACATCTACCTGGAGGACAGTGGGGAGTACTGGTGCGAGTCTGGAGGGAAGGAGAGGAGCAACATCATCCATGTCACCGTGACCGGTACATTTAACTAAAACCAGATTCCGCGATTAATCGTGATTAAATAAATGAATCGTTTGATAGCCTTAGCTTCAATCTGTTTTACTCAGCTGGATCAGTGATCCTGGAGAGTCCGGTCCTCCCCGTGGTGGAAGGAGAGACGGCGACTCTGCGCTGTAAGAGCAAAACGACGCCGTCCAAACGCTCCGCCGATTTCTACAAAGACGGCGTCCTCATCGGCAGCAACACCACCGGGGAGATGATGATCCACGGCGTCGCCAAGTGCGATAAAGGACTGTACAAGTGTAAGATCTCCGGAGGTGGGGAGTCGGCGGAGAGTTGGTTGGCCGTCAAAGGTTTGAAACTCTCTTTTTATTACTGGTATCTGTGATTTCCTGATCTGTGGTCGAGACCTTCACATGAGAGCGACTCTGAAACCACACCTGTCCTGAAACACCACGTCTTTGTTTTTAGACTCAGTCAAAGTTTATTTGATGCTTATTTTCTCCGACTCTGAGTAAGAATGAACTTTTCAGAACTTCAGAAGATTCAAACTTTTGACAGAGGACTGTTTTATCTAAAAGAGTCTTCAGTGAACAGATCTTTGATTGTTTTGACGCTCGTCTGATTTTTAACTCTTTAAACGCAGCTAAACTTTCCTGATTTACTAACTTTTCCACTGACGAACTTGTTGAATGAAACTTTGTCCCCTTAAAGTTTATAAAGTTTGACCACTTTGCTGATCTGAAACCCCGGTTCAAAAATGTGTAACCACTGAACAAAATCAATGTTTTCAACAACACAAAGGTCTAATGTGGCGTTCAAGTTACCTTAGAGGTCAGATGTCGGAGCTGAAAATGACGTCGCACCTGAGTTTCCACCGTTTCAGTCACCAAGTCGGAAAAAAGCAAAATCGGCGGCAGAAACTAGATGTCTAAAGGTCCTTTCACACCGGGACCGTTTTTGTCGTGCGATTATTTCGGACGTCAATATTTTTTTTTAAACCTGTATCCTGTCAATACAAGCGTTCACATCAGCGACATTTTCCCGTCCTTATTGCGGCATTTATTTTTTCGGATCACAGTCGATTTTTCTAAAGTTTCCCATACCGTGTGTCCACTTCTGACCAATCAGATTTCGTGTTGTTGAGACGTCAGATTCATCGGTATATCCAACATGGCCGACCGGCTGATTGTGTGTCGGAGAACAATGATTTCTCACATGACGATGTTTTGCGTGCTTTAACAGTTTGATAAACGTCTTTGTTTTAACTTTCATCTGTGCTAACGTAAGCTAACGGTTGTTACCATAGTTACATGTGCTTATCTTATCGCCTCTGATTGGCTATAAGTGCTGACCGTTCGACTTGAGCGTGTGATGACGTTTCCAACTTTTCTAGCCAATCAGAAGTGAAGGAGGCGGGCCTTTCCCCGGGATGCGTCTTTTTCTCCCGGAAAGTCGCAAAATCGCATCGGCCTGATATGTATAGTCAGGCGCGTCAAAATTCACCTCCGAATATTTCGTAATTCCAGCGTTCTATATTTTGCGTATAGACAAAAGTTACATCTACGAAAGTTATTTTAGCGCTTGACTTTTCCGAACATAAGGCAGGCGCCGAAATGACTTCCATAGCTGTAGCCATCTTGTTTCCATAGCAAAATCAGAGGCGGAACCAAGGTGGCTACATCTACGAAAGTTATTTAACGGCTTGCCTTGTCCGAACATAAAGCAAACGTTAAATAACTTTCGTAGATCTTTCGCCATCTAGTTTCCGCTTCCGATTTTGCTTCTTTCCGACTTGGTAACTGTGACGTCAAAATTCAGATGGTAACCCACCGTCAAAATTCACCTCTGAATATTTCGTAATTTTGCGTTCTATATTTACTTCGGCCCCGGTGTGTGAGGACCTGACATCTATGAAAGTTATTTTAGCGCTCGACTTTTCCCGAACATAAAGCAGGCGCTAAAATAACTTATCTTTCACCATCTAGTTTCCGCCTCTGATTTTGCTTCTTTCCGACTCGGTAACTGTGACGTCATTTTCAGTTCCGACATCTGACCTCCGCGGTAACTCGAACTCGGCATTAGACCAGGATTAACGGAAAACTCTGCGGTTGTGTTCGGTTTTTGGTTGCAGAGCTTCACGCCTCCTCAGACGTGGTCTTCATCGTCTTCAGGAACCTCCTCCCCGTCGTCATGATGGTCATGCTGTTGCTGTTGCTGGTCCTGCTCCACTTTAGGGAACTCAGAGAAAAACTACGTCAGCTCAGGTCGACTCGGTCGGAAATATGAGAGCTGAAAAAAAAAAGTTTACGATAAAGTAATCACGTTTACTTGACTGGCTGGTTTGGTTGCTAAGAAACCGTAAACGTCAACACCTTTCCCGGTTAGTTTTTAACTTTTTCTGTGATTACGATGTTTTTATGTTTGAACGATGGACAGCATGTCTGACATTCACCCCGAGCTTCACGTCTTTCTGCTGTTTACTGTTTATGAATAATTTAACTTCTATTATTGTGAAATGACCGCGCTGAGTTTTAGTGTCTCCATGATAATTAATTTTTGACGCTTTCTGTTTTTTTTTTTTAACTTTAATGACTGTTTGTATCGTCAGATATTTAATTTGACACTGATGCACTTTGAACAGCAGGGGGCGGAGTTTCACCTCTTTTTTAATTGTGTGTTTGTGAGCGTTTGTGTGAGAGACGGAAAGTGAAAAAAGAAAAAAGTGAATTTTAGTGTTTTATAGTTAAACAAGTAAAGGATATTATGATGTTTATAACAGGGTTGGGGAATCAGCCGATCAGCCAATCAGAGTCCAACAACTTTGACCAGATATAAGGAGTCCAGATTTATTCTGTTTATTTATTTATATCTGTTTATTTAGTTTTCCTGTTTTATTTTGTAGAAGTTGATGACTTGTCTTTCCTGTTTTATTTTGAAGTAGTTGATTCGTTGTTTATTTCCTGTTTTATTTTGTAGTAATTGATTCCTTATGTTTCCTGTTTTATTTTGTAGTAATTGATTCCATGTGTGTTTCCTGTTTTATTTTGTAGGAGTTGATTCCTTGTGTTTCCTGTTTTATTTTGTAGTAGTTGATTCCTTGTTTATTTTTCGTTTTATTTTGTAGTAGTTGATTCCCTGTTTGTTTCCTATTTTGTTTGAAGAAGTTGGTTCCTTGTGTTTCCTGTTTTATTTTGTAGGAGTTAATTTCTTGTGTTTCCTGTTTTACTTTGTAGGAGTTGATTCCTTGTGTTTCCTGTTTTATTTTGTAGTAGTTGATTCCTTGTTTTTTTCCAGCTTTATTTTGTAGGAGTTGACTTCTTGTTTATTGCCTGTTTTATTTTGTAGTAGTTTGTTCCCTGTTTGTTTCCTGTTTTATTTTGTAGGAGTTTTCCCTCCCTCGTTAGTCACTCATCAGTCTCACCTGTGTCTCGTTTGTCTGTCTCTGTATATTTAGTTCCTCTCTTCTCCTCTCTCCTGGTTTGTTCTTTGTCTGTTCGGATCTCCAGTTCGTCTCCTTGTTGTTGTTTTGTTTGTTCAGGATTTTGCTCCTCCTGTTTTTCCCTTCAGTCATGTTGAGAGTAAGTCTGAGTTGATTTTTTACTTTTTTTCTTAAATAAATCTTTAGTTTTGTAATTTTTGTCTTTTCTTCTTTCTCCTCTGTGACACGAGGACTCTCGTTGGATGATCTTTAGTAAAGTGGTTGAATTGTTTTCTGGATGTTCAGCTGAACTGGAGCCTAAATGTTTATTTTTATGACGTGTTTTTTTGTCGGCCTGTTTTAAGTTTTAGTCTTTGTGTCAAACTGTCATTTTAGTTTTTATTGATTTAGTCACTTTTAAACTCATTTTTGCTGAGGAAACAGAAAACAATAACAACGCGAGTAAACCATTTCGTCTCGTTTTAGTCGATGAAAATGAAGAGACATTTTATCAGAGTTTTTATTTTCTGAACCTTATTTAGTCTTGTTTTTATTCGTCAACAATCTTGCATTATTTAGCTATCGTTATCATCTCAAGACCACCATTTACGTTTCGTCTCGTCTTGTTTTCGTCACGATGACGATCTTTCGTAAACACTACTTGTAATAACGTACAAAACTTTAACCCTTTCAAACAGAGTCAACTTTCAGACATCGTTTTAAACCATCAGAACATGTTTGCTGCAATGAGGTCGTTTAAAATCATCTTAAAGTTAATTTGGCGACTAAACGGAAAATTAAATTCACAAAACTGAAATCAAGAATAAAGACGTCTTTTTCTTTAGATAGGCTTCCTTATTGATCAGCTGTGGTTATTAATCAATGTTTCTCAGCCGTTAGTTTGTGTCATGTTTAACAATCGTACCTGTTTATCTGGTGAATATTAGCGTGTAAATTTAGTCATGTTGAACATATTCACACGCCTCTTTATATAGCTGTTAGCATGTCTGCTCTCTTAGCGTACTTTCATGATATCTACCGTACGTGTTTGTAAATTCAGACATGAACCTCGAACCTCGACTCCACCTGACGATTCTCTACAGGGGTTATTTCTACCGTGACAGCAGCTCTGTCTGTCAGAAATGTTTTTATTTTTATTTTAATCTTGAGAGTAAAAATAAACGCTGCGTCGAACAGCAGAGATCAGCCACACAGGAAGAGACCCCTCCTCCTCCTCCTCCTCCTCCTCATCATCATCATCATCATCATCATCATCATCATCATCGCTTCATTTCAGTTTGAGGTTCACACAGTCAACATGGAGGTCTGCTGCAGACTAAGTGAGTTTGACTTTTGGTTAAATCTACTTTAGTACAGGTAAAAGTTTTAATCGTTAAAGTCCGAAGAGTTTTACTTTTACGTCTGAGGCAGAGATCGAACTGAAAACCGTAGATGTCGTAGATGTCTGCTTCATGGTCTCGTGATGTCTAACTTTTCCATGTCGTCCCTCCAGTGTTGTTCGGTGTTTTGATCCTGCTCTGTGAACATAATCAGAAAGTCGGTAAGTTTCAGTAAATTTAACCCTCGGTTCCTCCTCTGTTCGTTTTGAGGACATTGTCGTTGTTTTCATCGTTATTTTGAGCTGATAGTCACGTTTTTAAAGATCGGAAAATCTAATTTGGTGAGAGATCTTATTGTCACCTGTAGTGATACAACAGATTGAGCCGCACATCATTTTAACCCCTTCAGTGATTTTATAGCTATTTTTTATATCTGCGTAATCACAGTCATATTTTGGTTAGAGGAGGATAAACACTTATAAATGATTCCTATCTTACATATATCTTCTGATTTTATATGCCTTTGTATATAAAATTAATTTATCATGAACAAATGAATTCGATCGTATTTGATTTGGTCGAGGACGAGGCTCCAGAAAAGGAGGTGAAAATGGCTTGTTTTTCTGTTCCACGTGACTTTATTAATAAATATGACGTGCTGAACAAAAACTGGAATAAAAAGGGGAAAACATCAAATTCTGTATTCATTATTTTTTTAATGGTTAGGACTAAAGTTGTTTAAGAGATTTGAAACAAAATAGGACTCTATATTTAAAAAAAAAAAAAAAAAATATATATATATATATATATATACAGGTAATTTTATATGGGAAATCTGGTGATTTTGTGTTTTTTACCATTAAAAATTGCAATGACATGCTGAACAAAAACTGGAATAAAAGGGGAATACATCAAATTTTTAATCTATAATTGTTTTGAAAAAAAAGAATAAAATGATTATTTCATAAACACTTATCTGCATGTCTGTTTTGGGGACAAAGTAGGCTTGATGGAGCTAAAATATGAAAAATTGGAAAAACAAAAAAAGATTTAAATGCATTAAAATCAATTTGACTTCTCATCATTGACATGGCCCAGACTCTTTATTTTAAAAAAGAGAATTTATTCAGGTCATTTTATATTGGAAATATCGTGATTTTGTGTTTTTTACCATTAAAAATAACAATGACATGCTGAACAAAAACTGGAATGAAAGGGGAATACATCAAATTTTTAATCTATAATTTTTTTTTTAATGGTCGGCAGAAGTTGTTGAAGAGATTTGAGTTGAAAATAGTAAAGAAAATTATTATTTTATAAACATTTATCTGCATGCCCGTTTTGGGGACAAAGTCGGCTGGATGGAGCTAAAATATGAAAAATTGGAAAAACAAAAAAAGATTTAAATGCATTAAAATCAATTTGACTTCTCATCATTGACATGGCCCAGACTCTTTATTTTAAAAAAGAGAATTTATTCAGGTCATTTTATTTTGGAAATATGGTGATTTTGTGTTTTTTACCATTTGAAATAGCAGTGACATGGTGAACAAAAACTGGAATAAAAGGGGAATACATGAATTTTTATCTGTAATTTTTTTAATGGTCAGCTGAAGTTGTTTAAGAGATTTGAAACAAAAAAAAGGAAGAAAAAAAGTTTAAAAAATGATTATTTTATGAACATTTATCTGCAAGTCGGCTGGATGGAGCTAAAATACGAAAAATTACCACTACAAAAAAGAATTTAAATTCACCAAAATCGATTTTACTTCTTATCATTGACATGGCCCAGACTTTTTTTATTTAAAAAAATTATTGTTTTTTACCATTAAAAATAGTAACAATATGGCGCACTAAAACTGGCATAAAAAGGGTGTTACATTTAATTCTTTATTTTTAATTTTTTTAACGTTCAGGGCTGAAGTTGTTTAAGAGATATGAGTTGAAAAAAGTTTTAAAAAATGATTATTTTATGAACATTTATCTGCATGTCTGTATTGGGGATAAATTAGGCTGGATGGAGCTTCAAATGAACAGGAACCAAAGGGTTAAAAAACTACATTCCTCTTTTGTGTCGAGGTTTAGAGAACAAATCGTTTCATCTCAATTTTTTTCCAGATTCATTGTTTCTCCAAGTCGAACCGAACAAGATGCAGTTCTTTGAATACGAGTCTGTGACCTTTCACTGCGAGGGCAGCTACAGCTCCACCGGATTAAAAGTCGTCCATCGCGTTAAAGATTTACCTTCATGTAACATCACGACCACGGAGACATCGAGAGTGCTGACCTGCAGCGTTTCCATTTTTTACCAAGAGGACAGCGGGGAGTACTGGTGTGAGTCTGTGGGAGGGAAGAGGAGCAACATCATCTTCATCACTGTCACAGGTAAGTTCATAAAGAATCAGTATTTTTAGAGTAATTTACTGTATTTAAAGTTAAAACGGTCTCCAACAGACAAACCCGTGAACCTGGAGAGTCCTGTCCTTCCCGTCCTGGAGGGAGACTCTGTGACTCTACGCTGCAGAGTCGAGATGAACCAGACTGACCTCTCAGCTGACTTTTATAAAGATGGCCGCCGCGTCTGGAGCAGCTCCACAGGAGAGATGACCGTCAGCCATGTTTCCATGAAGGATGAGGGACTCTACAAGTGTGACATCTCTGAGGTCGGGGAGTCATCTGAGAGCTGGTTGACCGTCAAAGGTGAGACATACCGAAGTTCAGACAGAGGAGGAACCGAGGGTTAACAAAAATCAAGATATGTTATTCTGATATTCTGAGCTTCTCGCCACCTTTACCCAAACAAGCAGATAACTTACATCGTTGTATCATCTGCATACGTCTGAATATCATCCAGTGTTAGAGATGAAAATGTCCAAAATCAAACTCAAACTTCTGCTTCTTTGGGGTTTTAAGTTTCTCTCAGAAGTGTTTGATCATGGTGGGAAAAGGTTTAATATTTGACTCATCGACTCCAGAGGGATAGTTCCTGTTGGACTGAACCTCATTAAACTCTACTTTAAGAAAACCAAACCTTTCCTTCAGTTATTAAAGACACACGTTTGGTAACTGTCATATTCTGTCATCTTAGACAAAGCTTGCCTGGACAGAAGACCTGTTTCAGATCGTCCGTCCTCAGATTGTTCCTCCTCAGACGTTTTATTCACCATCTTCAGAAACGTCCTCCCCGTCGTCATGATGGCTCTTCTTCTGCTGCTGCTGGGTTTTAGCTACAGAGGGAAACTCGGAGGTAAACTGTGAGAAGAAACGTCTGAAAGTAAAGAATAATCTGGGCTCAAAGGCCAAATCCAGTCTGGTTGATGGTGAAGTTTTGCTATTATCGTCTTTTTTCTCATATATTAAGAGTTAACAGTGTGAGTAAGTGATGTAAATGTGTATTTGACTCGACAGATAAAGTCACAATAATGTTGTATTTTTGTTGATGTAAGCAGCTTTTAAGTTAGTTCCTTCTTTGTTTATATTTCTCATGTTCTCAGGGTCTCATTCTGACGATTATATGAGAATTGTCAGTAACAGCTCTCTCTCCCTCTCTTTCTCTCTCTCTCTCTCTTTAATTTTATTTTATGCCTCTATATTTAAAACTCCTCATTGACCACGTCTGCAGACCACAGTGTCACTGACACACAGCTGAGAGCGTCACGTTTGACTTCCTGCTTCGGTTTTGTGTGAACAATTAAAATAAAAATAAACATCTTAAATATAACCTGACTGTTTTGTGTTTGAATATTTTTAACATTTTACTACATGTTTGAGAGTCAAAACCAATAATCATTTCATCAATACTAAGCTTTTTGTGAATTAAACTTTTAGAGATGAATTTTTGTAGGAAATGCACATCGTGTTGTCCAGCAGGGGGCAGACAAAAAAAAAATATATATAAAATATACGCAAACACATACATATGTATATGTGTGTATATGTATGTATGTCTGTATGTGTGTATATGTATATATGTGTGTATATAAATATGTGTGTGTATGTGTGTGTATATGTATATATGTGAATATGTGTGTATATGTGTGTGTATATATGTGTATATATAAATGTGTGTGTGTGAATGTGTGTGTGTATATGAATCTGTGTGTATATGTATGTGTATATATGTATATGTGTGTATATATGTATATTTGTGTATATGTATGTATGTGTGTGTATATATATATGTGTGTGTGTGTGTGTGTGTGAATGTGTGTGTATATGTATATGTGTATATATGTATATATGTACATGTGTGTGTATGTATATGTGTGTGTATATGTATATGTGTATATATGTATAAATGTATGTGTGTGTGTATGTATATGTGTGTGTATGTGTGTATTTATGTATATATATATATATATGTGTGTATGTATATATGTAAATTTGTGTATGTATATATGTATGTATATATATATTATATATCCTGTGTGTTTAGTGTTTTAGACCCTCTGTCTCCTTGCAGAGACACTCAGCTCTAAGGTTTTGTCGTACATGACTGCAGCTCTGTCTGTGGTTAAAGTCTATTTTCAATATAACAGACTAAATTAGAGCTTCATCATCAGCGTAGGAAGAGACCTTTCTCTTCACCTGAGTTCACTTCAGTCCGACACTCAGACGACCAACATGGAGGTCAGCGGTATTTACATCACCCTGAGTGAGTTTGACTTCTTCACCTTTGTGAAGACATAAGTGATATAGAAGTTTTCTGTTTTAACATGTTTATTGAGAGATTTTTGACGTACGTTTATACAGATTTTTGTTTTTTTGCTTTTGCTTTTTATTGGGTTTTTCAGTTCTTCTGAACGCGACTCTGTGATCTAAAGGTTTTTCTTTTTATAGTGGTCCATGTGCTGGTCCTGATGAGTGTAGATGTCCATGAAGTCGGTGAGTTTAGATCCGTTTCCTCTTTCTGATGTTTTAAAAACACAAATTGATGCTTTTTGTCTGTTTTTTTCACTTCTCTCAGATTCAGTCTTTCTTCACGTTGAACCGAACAAAATGCAATTCTTTGAGTACGAGTCCATGACCTTCATCTGTGAGGACCACGGAGGTTCAACAGGACTGAAGGTTATCCATCAGACCAAAGGGAAGTTACATTCATGTCAAACTACAGATAATCAGACACCGGTGTTGACCTGCTCTGTCAAGAACATCTACCACGAGGACAGTGGAACGTACTGCTGTGAGTCTAGAGAAGGAGAGAAGAGCAACATCATCAACATCACTGTAACGGGTACGTCTACATGAAGACAGACCTCCACATAAACCATGAACTTGGTCCTTTCTAAAACCAGAACTCTGTTTTACTCAGCTGGATCAGTGATCCTGGAGAGTCCGGTCCTCCCTGTGGTGGAAGGAGAGTCCGTGACTCTGCGCTGTAGGAACAAGACCACCTCATCCAGACTCTCAGCTGATTTCTACAGAGACGGCGTCCTCATCAGAGTCGGCTCCACCGGAGAACTGACCATCCCCAGAGTCTCAGAGTCCGATAAAGGACTGTACAAGTGTCGGGTCTCTGGAGGTGGAGAGTCAGTGGAGAGTTACCTGGACGTCAAAGGTGAGGTTTTTTATTTCTCCTCTGTTCAGGCTGGATTGTCGGATGTTTGGTTGTTTTGAGTTAGGTCTTCAAATGCAGCTCAAGTGTCTGAGATGGATTCAGAAAGCGGGTATTCACCAGAATCAAGTTACGATATTCACCATGACACCTTCTTGTCTTAGAAAAACCCGACCGAGAGAGAGACCCCTCCTCGGATCGTCCTCCGGCAGATCTTCTCTTCATCGTCTTCAGAAACGTCCTCCCCGTCCTGATGATGGTTCTTCTTCTGATGATGCTGTGTTTCATCCACTGTGGGAAACTCAGAGGTAGACGACCAAACGCCAAGTCCACTGAGATAGAAATCACCCAGAAAGAAGGTTAAGACGTTGACGCTGACGTCCACTTTGAACGTCTTATTTTCGTATGCACTTTGACTTCATAATTAAACGTCCGTTTAAATCAACAATAACAGGATAAAAACATGATTATATTGTAGATTTGTTCATATAACTCAGAGTTCAGTGTCTGATTATAAAGATGAATTCATGCTCTCACGGTCTGTATGAACACATGAGGATTGTCAGTAACTGCGCTCTGTTAACCACTTAAATCTATTTTAATTCTCATCTATGTATAACAGCTGTTTCTGACACACGTCTGCAGACCACAGCATGAAGAACATGCACCTCAGAGCTTCATGTTTCACTTCCTGCTTCTGTTTCTTTAAGAAATAAAAAAATAAATTAAAAAACACGACTTTATTCTGTTGTAACGTTTGGATAATTATCGACATTTTATCTCATATTTGTACTTTAATGTCTTTTAAAACAATAAATACCAACAACAGTTCAGTCTGAGACAGATTTTTCTATATTATGAATAATTGAGATGAACTTTATTAATAATGCACTTTTAGTGTTCTCCAGCAGGGGGCAGATTAGCACTTGTCTTTTCCAAATTTATTTTATATGCCAACATCTATGAAAGAAAGACCCAGGCCACGGAGCGCAATGCGTCCTTTACGCACAGATGGTTCCGATTTTAATGCCATTTTTGGAGTTTATGTTGTGATCTGTGCGCACAACCCACCTTTGTCACGTGAGGTTTGAATATGTCCAACTTTATGTGAGTGTCTTTATTTGTGGAAAAGGGTGTTTGTCTTACCAGTGCGTCCAACATTACACACACCAAATCCATCTGTGCTCATATGAGAGAGTGTGGAGGACGCCCAATGCAGCGCTTACAGTGACACTTGTTGAGGAGCTGCCTTCTGTCGCCATCATGTGGCATTGCTGTCTTCTGACATCTCTTGATCTCTTTGACTACTTCACGAAAATTGTAATACACCTCACCGGTGGCGGATTTAAAGGCGAGGAGAGGAGCTTATGTGATTGGTGAAAACAGGTCTCGGCTGTATTAAACCCACTCCACGCCCTCTCTCCTCCCTCTCTACGACTTACACCGCTGGGAGTAGCTGAGATAGGGAGGGGGGATACTTACGCCGGGCACGACTTGTCGGCGTGGCAGACCTGACTTACGCCGCAGCTATTCCACGCCGCTGGCGAGGAACAAAAATAGAGCCCTAAGAGTTTAATCCTGATTAACCCGACAAAATACAGACCCTTAACTGATTGTTTTTGTTTTTAAACTCACAGTTCAGACGGATTTTGCTGAGTATTTTTTTTTAAACTCGTAGTTCTCATCCATAAATAGGAAGTGCGTTTAAATGACCAAAATATCACTAATTTATTGAGTGCTCAACCTAAAACTGCAGTTCCTCCAGCGTCCACTTGAGGCAGGTATTAAGGTTACAGTTTCTGGTTTAGTCTTTATTTATAATCATTAAAATCCGCTCAGTCAAATGAGGCCAAAATCACAGTTTTTATCCCCACAGGTCTCGGCTGAACGTTTGTCTTATCGGCGTCTTTTAAACACGTTAAACTCGGATGACGAATCCGTGATCTTGTTTCTGATTGATCGAATATTCGCTTAAATTTATCACTGCTGATCTGAGGAGAAGTCGAACCCACCAGCAGGTCAGCAGACTCGTGTTAATTTGAGCCTCAGTGAACCTCAGAGAGCGCAGTTCTCAGTATACGCTCATTTAGACACACACACACACACATATTTATATATATATAAATCGATGGTTATCTTCATTCTTTAGCTCCGCCCTCTGATACTTGACCTGAGATGAGGGGCTGTTTACCACACGCCTGCAGCTCAGTCTGTGGTGAGCGTCTATTTCAACTAATAGGGACAAAACTAGAGCGTCATCATGAACCGCACTTAGCCACGCAGGAAGAGACCCCTCCTCCTCCTCCTCACCATCGTCATCATCATCATCGCCTCATTTCAGCGCGAGGCTCAGAGAGTCAACATGGAGGTCAGCGGTCTCTGCGTCAGCCTGAGTGAGTACTTCTGGTAGATTTTAAAGGATGTTTTAACGTGTTTTTATAGATCTACGTCAGGGCTGAACGTGAACTTTTTTCACATGTTCTCTTGAGTTGAAAAAGTAAGGAGCACAAAGAACTTTAGGGGATCAATGAAAACTGATCTAATAATGTTTGTCTTATTGTCCGACCTTAGTACTACTATTCGAAATCAATTTAAGGTCAGTTGGTCACATGCAAGCTATTGAAGGAAAACAGCCTTTTCTGAGAACACCAACCGGTGATTTATTAACGGCCCCTTATTCAACACCGACGTTGACAGCGAGGGGCCGAGTAGTAGTGTTGTAGTACTCAAGATTGGTCTTGGTCTCGAGACCATTTTTTAAAGGGTCTTAGTGTCATCTCGGAATCGAAGGCATTTTCACTTGGTCTCGGTCTCACTTGGTGCGGTCATGACTACAACACTACCGAGTAGATTTAACCGCGCTGCCGTTGCTGTTCTCAGTTATGGAGAGTGAGAAGACACCGGTAGATCTTCAGTGAATGTCCGTCGAATATCCAACCTAAAACTAACTTCACCGTGGTAAAAACATCGCAAATATGAGTGAAACGATTGCACTGTTGAGTCCTGGGTGTTATGTAGAAGGAATCCGTTTTAGTTCAGTTCTGAACCAGATTAAGGAGTCATAAATAAAGTGATAAAACGCTGTCAAATACGACTCTTTGTTAGAAACGTTTCCTGTTTTTACCTTCCCAGTGGTCCATGTGCTGGTCCTGATGAGTGTAGACGTCCGTGAAGTCGGTGAGTTTAGATCCGTTTCCTCTTTCTGCTGTTTTTAAAACACAAATTGATGCTTTTTGTCTGGTTTTTACTTCTTTCAGATTCAGTCATTTTTCATGTGGAACCGAACAAAATGCAGTTCTTTGAGTACGAGTCCATGACCTTCGTCTGTGAGGACCACGGAGGTTCAACAGGACTGACTATAGTTCATCAGACCAAAGGGAAATTACTATCATGTCAAACTACAGATAAACAAACACAGATGTTGACCTGCTCTGTCAAGAACATCTACCACGAGGACAGTGGAACGTACTGGTGCGAGTCTAGAGAAGCAGAGAAGAGCAACATCATCAACATCACTGTAACGGGTACGTCTACATGAAGACAGACCTCCACATAAACCATAAACTTGGTCCTTTCTAAAACCAGAACTCTGTTTTACTCAGCTGGATCTGTGATCCTGGAGAGTCCGGTCCTCCCCGTGGTGGAAGGAGAGTCCGTGACTCTGCGCTGTAGGAACAAGACCACCTCATCCAGACTCTCAGCTGATTTCTACAGAAACGGCGTCCTCATCAGAGTCGGCTCCACCGGAGAACTGACCATCCCCAGAGTCTCAGAGTCCGATAAAGGACTGTACAAGTGTCGGGTCTCTGGAGGTGGAGAGTCAGCGGAGAGTTACCTGGACGTCAAAGGTGAGACATGCAGAACTTTCCCAATAACATTCCGTCATGTCGTCACTGTATGAATACCTTTAAACTGTCATGGCTGTTATAACTTCAATGTAACATCTGTACTAACTAAATTCAGTTCTGTTGTTTCAGAAACACCTGGAGGGACCGGCTTGCCCAGTTCCAGTTCACACCTCTGGATTATCATCGTTGTTTTGCTGACTCTGCTGTTACTGGTTGGACTACTTCACTTCAGTAAAATCTTTTGGCGCAAAGGTATGGTGACGGTTATTGACACCTCAAAGGCATTTGCTACTGTCGGTGCGTTGTTACTTCCTTTGTATTTTGGGGCGTTTTCGTGGTTGGAGGCGTTATTTACGATCCAGACTTTGCCTCGGCTTATTAACTTTTTGGCAACTGTCACGAACCTCTCAGTAAAACCCGCTCAGGGCCCTGTCAGATTTCATCTTGTGAAAGGTTTGCTTTAACTTCCCCCGAGGTGTCAACTATGACACAATGAGAGATAATGTCAACACTCAGAGGTTGATGTGTTTTTATGTTTTCTATCGTTTCTTTTGCAGTAATTCTTCACCTGTCCACGACTCATCTACGATCACCTGATGATCACGCAGGTAAGAACAAGAGAGGTCGGTAAACGAGGTTAGGAGACGAAAAATAGAGAAATATTCCAAAAAGTAGACATCGTATCAGACACTTCATCATCTTTTTATTATTACTACGGCCCTGTATGTGGAACAGTTCACCTAAAGACCTGAGGACTGAAACTAATCTGAATGACTTTAAATGAAAACTTAAAACTTACCTTTTTAGTCTTGATTTTAACTAATTTTCTATCATTAACTTTAAGTGTTTTAGCATTCATCTCTTCTAGTTTTAATGACAGGATCGTCTTTTATTGCGCTATTTTGGTGCTCTTTAGTTTCTTTAATGTTGTTTTTATTTCATTTTATTCATTATTTCTTAAATTTCATTCTATGTTACTTTGTTTTTTAGATTTTATCTTGAGTTTTAAAATGGCGTTTCCTCAGTGCACACATTCCTGTTTCCACGAAATCGAGCCCTTTTTAAGTTCAAGCATTTTAATTCTGTTTCTGTTGGCGTAGATTTGAGTTTTCTTTGTTTCTTTTATTTCTTTTTCTGTGTAAAGCACTTTTTGCTAAATGGTCGTGTATGAAAAGTGCTATATGAATAAAGACTGATTCATTGATTGATTGATTGATTGATTGATCGAGTATATACCCAAGTATAACCTACTGTTGTATATCCCTGTGGTGTCCCAGGTCTTGATACCATTGATAGAGATATCCCTCTTTGGACAGGCCAATGTTAATCATGGGAATATCGTTATTCTCATATAGAAGTAAATCCATCATTATGTCATCAATATGAGAAAACATAGATTAGTTGAATTAGTTAGCTAAACTCTTTTTAATGTTTGTCAGTTTATTGTAACTGAATGATTTCTAACGTACAATTGTTGTTGTTTTCAGTTCCTGTAGAAGACGGAGGAGCCGATACAAACACAGACCTGTACGCTGTGGTCGACAAAGACAGGAGAACACAAGGTAGCCCACCGGTCCTCTGAATGTGTGTAGTCAGGTTTCAAGAAGGACTCATGAAATCAGACTCTAAGTTTGTGTAAACCTCAGATGAGGCTGAAAATGTGTGAATTTTACTGATAGAAAGAGTCAGGTGTCATCTGCATAATGAGTAATCCTGCATACAACAAATGGGAGCAAAGAGAGTGAAAGAAACACAGGATTAAAACTGAATATATGGGACACACATCTATACCAAGGAATTCATTTTCCAGCTGTTTGAGTTCAATAAATTCATCATTAACTCATTGGTTTTTCCTCTTTGCTCTCAGATTCCCATGAAACATTATCCGGAGCCGTTTACTACAGTTTGGACGGCCCAGATGACAGTCAACTCATCGGTAAGATTTACGGTGAATTTATTGAGAATTAAAATAAATAAAGACTTTTTCATAACTGAATCTATTTCCACAGCAGAGCCGAGAGTATCGAGAGTATCGTCCATGGCTGTTCACACACCTCTACCGCCGGATTCCTTCTATTCAGTTATTGAGGAGGTGAGACCGAGAGAATTAATGTCCCATATTTACATTTTTAAACATTTCATGAAGCAGTAGATCTGGAAATAATCAACACTTAAAGGGATCAGAGTATTTGGAAAACCCAGATAAACTTTTGTCAGACAATAAATCTTTTAGTCGCCTCAACTCTTCCCTCGCAGATTCAGTAAACGTCCTTTTAAGACATCTGCTTCGATTTTTTTAACACAGAAAGTCAGACATAAAAAAAACTAAAGATAACTCAGATTATTACTCATAATTTCTGACATATATTCAAACTTGAATTTTATTCCTGTGTCGTCTTGTTTTTTAACGGTTCTGTGTGTGTTTTGCAGGTTGGGGGATGACAGCTGACCAGAGCATGATGGAAATAGAAATATTAAATTTTTAACAAGTTTACAGCTAAACCGTGATATCGGTGAAAACAATAAAATGATGGTAGAAATGATCTACAGTCTTTGAAGTTGTAATTATCATGTTCACATATTTATTGAATTTGTTTGTAAATAAATAAATGAGCCTCGGTTCATCTCATGTCTGTTTTTGAATGACCGTGTTTACTAAAATAAAACAGTGTTGTTGTTTCGTCTGTCAGGTCTGGTTCACGAGTGAACGGTGCAGAGTTTTTAATACACTCAGCGTGGTCGACCACCGACTCAGAGACGTCCTGTCACTCATAAACAGACACATAAATAACTCTGTGGGTGTCGTACCGTACAAACTTCAGAAAAATAAACACATGTTCTTCTGAGTTTGTGATATATTTTAAAATCTCAAGAGTACTTTTTATTTTTCATATTTATTTTATCATTTAAAAAAAAAAAAATTAAACATCTTTTTTTTTTCACAATGACGTAACAACCCCCCAAAAAAGTCTTTTTTTTTTTTCTTAACCACACAATTTTCTTCCCTCCCCATTATTTCCTAGGGATACGGAACAGAAAGGGGAAAAAAAGTATATATACACACACACACACACACACATATATATATATATATATAAACTTACTTTCTTAGACTCAGACTTAGTTCCTCTCGTTTCCATTGGAACATTGGGCGACCAGTCCCCTCCATTTGCTCCGGTCCCTAGCGACCCTTCTTGCTCCATGCCAGCTGACTCCCATCTCGCTCAGGTCTTCCTTGGCTGTTTGTCTCCATGGGCTTTATTTTCGTTCCTCGCCAGCAGCGTGGTGAGGCATCGGTGACGTATGCGCACTACGCCGCCACTAGACCAGCTGCTCTCCGCCTGCACTGAAAGCTGACCGGGTTTGAATCGGAGAGCTTCCAGTGCACTTTCCACACTGCCGGCGAGCACGAAAATGTCGCTGCGCTAGCTGATTCTGTCAACACCTCCCCCTACTGCGCCACCACCTTGGTGCGCCTCAGTCCACGAAAATACCAAACTGGCTGTGCACCGAGCCCCGCCAGACGAAAATACCACTGCACGGGGACCGCCACCCTCTAATGCACCGCCAGTGGGCACGAAAATAGAGCCCCATGTCTTCTTTGGCCTCCCTCTCCTTCTCTTTCCCCCCTCTGGCATCCAGTCTATTGCCACACTTGCCGGTCTCTCTTTTGGCAGTCGGAGTACACGTCTGGTCATTCCCTTTCTACTGTCAGAGACGATGTCTGCCCCCCTCCCCACTTGATGCCGTGGTTTTCCCCGGTGACAGTTTTCCTCATCACAAAGTCAATGACTAATAAAAAGTAAGGGTAACAGGATGCAACCCTGTCCTACCCCGGTCACCATGTCAAAGTCATCGGTTGTGCCATTGGTGGTTTTCGGCAAGTGGAGTTGTGAGATAGGGCCCTGAAGATTTGGACATACTTGGATGGTTTACCGTATAGTTGGAGAATATGCCACAGTGATTCCCGGTGGATGCTGTCGAAAGCTTTCTTGAAATTGATGTAATTGATCATGAGGGGTGTCCGGAATTCTTGGCACTGTTCTATGATGTTTCGGAGAGTGAAGATTTGTTCGGAGCTTATATAAACATAAATATAGATAAAGAGTACAGAATATATATATATCCATTCATCCATTTTCTACCGCTTATTCCTGTTCCTGGGGTCATGGGGGGCTGGAGCCTATCCCAGCATCTTCGGGCAAAGGCAGGGGGACACCCTGGACAAGTCGCCAGTTCATCACAGGGCTGACATATAGAGACGAACAACCATCCACGCTCACATTTATACCTACGCGCAATTTGACAGTGGCCAGTTAACCTAACCCCACTCCTGCATGTTTTTCGGATGTGGGAGGAAATCGGAGTAAGCAGACACAGGGAGAATATGCAAACTCCACACAGAAACGCCCTGACCTGGATTTGAACCCAGGTCCTTCTTGCTGTGAGGCAACAGCGCTAACCATTACACCACTGTGTTCATGTCATTTTGGGAAATTCAGCTTCAGCTGATTCAGTCGCCCACAAATCCAAAAAAATGCGGAACAGATATCTGCAGACTCATCTGTAAGCATTCAGATCAGACCTGGATACGTCAGCACTCCCCCTGGTGTTGACTCGGTGGTCCTACAGGCAGATATGAGCTGATGGTTTGATTTCATTTTCGAGAGTGTATTTCACAATATTGACAACTTTATGAAGAATCTGTAGGAGGTTTCCCTCACTCTGGTCCTGGTTTTGTTAACACCTCTTCACCCTCAGACTGTATTCGACTTTTTTCAACAGCCAGACTGGAAGAACTAGAACTAGAAGACGCGAACATGAGGATCCAACATTTCACCACACATCTTAGTAATCTCCTTGTTCCTTGTTTTATTTAGCCGTGTTTCAAAGAAATGCTCCCACACAGTGACAGTGTGGCTAATATGTGAGTTTGATGAGTCATACCATGCACTAGTCGGATCCTACCATTTCAAAGGAACTTGTGATTGGTCAATCAGATGATCCAATCCTGGTATAAAACCTCGATATGTGCAGAGTGATGAAGAAAACGCCTCAACACTAAGAGAAGGAAACAAGAAGGAGGCTTAAATTCATAAATCAGCTCCTCAGAGGGTAAGAGAGTCATTATGAACATTCATGAAATCTTGACTTTTAATGAGCATTAAGAGGAAATTCACATTTTTTAACAGGCTATGAATTCTGTAAAAACTTTCACTTTCTTTAAAATCACTTTTACATTTATCTACTTTTGTTATATAGTTAAATATTTATCTTAAATAGACAGTACTGTTCAATGTGTATAAGTGTGAGCTTTTAATAACATGTTCCTCTTTGTCCTCCGTGTCTCAGAACGAGGTGGGATCAGGTCTCTGTGACTGAGATGGATCCGTTCCAGGCCAAATGGACCCTTTGTGAGTAGTTCTGGGCAGATTCACTATCAGAGACTTTAAAGTCAACTTTCAAAGGACTTCCTGATGCCTTAGCTTTCCACTGAACCAGATCTTGTTCTGGTTTTTATCATGCAATCTGCACTGATACTAATCAAATACCAGAGGGTGTTGAATCTAAATTTTTTCCTCTGTGGTTTTTGTCATGAATCAGATAAATAATCATACAGTGTGAATTTCTTGCTTTGGTGTGTCTATTTTAAGTCGTGCTCAGCGCACTGCTGCTTGCTCCGCCCCTCAGCCATGCTTCTGAGTATGACCTGAAGAAAAGTCTGGCTGAGTGTCTACAAGACAAAGACTATGAGCAGCTGCTGCAGACGGTTAAGACCGGCCTCCCACCCATCAGCAAGTCAAATCATGTCGTTATTGTCGGCGCTGGGATCGCAGGACTGACTGCTGCAAAGCTGCTGCAAGATTCAGGACACAAGGTACGACTTCCGTTAGAGTCCCGAAAGACAGCTGTGTTTGATCAGTATCTAATAATTATATATTTCCTGTCCTCTGTAATCAATTCAGAACTTTAAAACATATTATGTTTATTTATTCAAGGTAACCATTTTAGAGGCGAGCGGTCGTGTTGGAGGAAGAATAGAGACGCACCGTAACCTAAAGGAGGGCTGGTATGTTGAATTTGGAGCCATGCGGATCCCGAGTTTTCACAAGTGAGTTTAATGAATATTTTAATTAAGCTCTATAATAGATCGGACTCAAAGACGTTTTTAATTCAAGAATTAAACTTACCTTAAAGGTCCCACATAATGATATGTATATTTTTTAACTGTTTTCTTACATATCCGAGTAGTTTTTGGGTTTAATAGCAAACATTTCCAAACCTTACCCCCAATTTCCACCGCATCCGGAACTGCTACGAAAAGGCCGTATCCGCCGATCGCAGTGTCAATTTCCACCGACTTCTTTCCGTTCCTCTGAGGATCGATGGACTCCGCAGCTGATTTCACAAGTTCTATTTTTCCGGATGCCAGAGCATGGCGGATAAATTCAGCACAGATTAACCCGTGCTGGAAAGGAAGTCGGGCACAGACACAAAATAAAACATCCGGCTTCTTTTCAAAATAAAACACTCCGTGTTTCAGGAGGATCGTATTTCACACCATGCAAACAGGCGGAGACGAACAAGTGAAAGGTTTTTAGACGTCATTTCACCCCGATGACACCATGGATGAGGAGATGCTGATTCTAGAAGTCTAGAAGTAGATTTCGGTGGAGAATGGGGGTTATTGTCCACACAGTCATCTGAGTCAGCAGGGATGCCATGATGCCTGAATGTTGTCCAAAGGTCGGACAAATCAGAACCAGATAAACGCCAAATAAAAAAAATGGTGAGCGCTTCAGGAGAACCTGAATCAGTACAAAGCCAAGTCTGCAGTCATTGGGGTAAAATTACTTATGGGAATGGGAGTGGGTTTGAGAACAAGGCCATGAAAGTTGGACCTGTTAGTACAAGAGCAAATTCAAACCACTTGGTAGAAACTCATTTTTACTTCTAACTGCTCAGTGCTAACAAAAGTATTCATGTAATGGCAAAAAAACATTATTTTCATCACATTGGACCTTTAAGAACCACAAAACACCACCGCAGATCATTCCAGTACCTTCCTGTTGTTGCTGAGGTCAGCAGAAGTAAAAAACTTTCATTGTCTTGTCTGCTTTTGATTTCAAAATTAAAACACACAATCCCCATGACTCATGTCTGAAATCTTTCCCCTATGACATTCCTTCCTGTTTCAACAGAATCGTGCGTCAGTTCGTCAAACAGCTCGGGGTCAAGTTAAATGACTTCATCATGTACGATAGAAACACCTTTTACCTCATTAACGGGAGGCTTGATAAAACCTACGTAGTGACGGACAACCCGGATGTCCTGGGGTACCAGGTGCGAGAATGCGAGAAAGGGAAGTCAGCCGACGAGTTGCTCCAGCAAGCTCTGCAGAAGGTGTGTCCAACAGAGAAGAAATACTCTTTAACTCAAGTTCTTACCTGTTCTCTTGTTCTTTAAAAGTAATCGGTACAAGATCTCTCAGACATTAGTATTTGACTCTTTTGTAAAGCAGACTATCATCCGCATAGAGTGAAAGGTTCCATGTTGGTTTACCTCTCCGTGAGCAGATTTCTGGGCCTTCTAGTCCACCAAGAGTCAAGACTTTTGATGGTCTGATGGTTAGTTTATGTAGTTGTCAGCTATTTGAAGTAACGCAGTAGTTCACATGTGGGATACTTTGTTATTGAACATGAAAAATACCTGGATACACAGCTCGTTACCCCAAATAGAAAGGTAGTCACAGTCCAAACTCTGGAAATACTTTGTTTATTACAAAGAAAGTGTCCTTACCATTTTTCTCTTTTCTTCTCCAGGTGAAAGATGAAGTCGAAGCTCATGGGTGCAGAGCTGCGCTGAAGAAATATGACAAGTATTCTGTCAAGGTAAAACCAGTTCATCTGTACATGAGAAATCTGTGGAAGTATTGAAGTAGAAATACACATAGGACAAGAAAACATATCCAGAAGTCATCTATGTTACCCCCAATTTTCACCCCATCCGAAACGGCTCCGTTACGTAACGGCAGAGATCCGCCAATTCCTACCAGATTCAATTGTGACGCAAATTTCGAGGCGGGTTACGGACAGCAGGAATCGCAAGAACTCACAAGAACCCATGGATTCCCGTTCAATCTCACGATAACGAGTTGTCTCTATAAAGACAGACACATAGACATGTAAGCAGGAGATTGTGTCCTTCCAGAGGAGGAAATCTACTTGCAGTGGAACAGAAAGAAGCTGGTGGGAATTGACGTATTAACTTGAACGGTTACGATCAGCCGCGATTCGTTGCCATTCCGGGTGCGGTGGAAAATGGGGGTAATTAAACCAGAGGGTGACACAGACGGTGATTTATGTTTGAGCTTCTTTCCTCAGACTGTCTTGTTTGATCGGCAGGAGTACCTGAAAGAAGAAGGAGATCTGAGTGACGAGGCGATCAGAATGATCGGAGACCTTCTGAACGAGCAGAGCCTCATGTTCACAGCTCTCAGTGAGATGGTCTATGACCAGACCGACATCAGCGACAAAACCACGTAAGACCTCCATCACATTCTCAATGAGGACGGTTTTTATTACTGACTCACACGACAAAACACAAGGTCCAGTAAACTGAAGTACATCTATATGCAGATGACACAATTTTAAGCATTCGTTGAATCCAGTGGACCTCCAGCTCGGCTTACCATGAACGTCAAACAGATGACAGCTGATTACACTTTGAATTTCTTCACTTTCAGGTACTCTGAAGTGACCGGTGGGACTGAACTCCTGACCAAGGCTTTTCTGCCCGTCCTCCCGAATGTCGATATTCTTCTCAACGCCCCAGTGAAGCTCATCAGTCGCTCAAACAGAGGAGTAACCGTGTCCTACCAAGCAGAAGGTGACTCTGGTTTGACTGAGGTTAACGCTGACTTCGCCCTAGTGACCACTACAGCTAAAGCGGCCCTTTACATCGACTTTGTTCCAAATCTATCGATCCAGAAAATGACTGCACTTCGGTCGGTTCACTACGACAGCTCTACTAAAGTCGTCCTCACCTTCAGTCGGAGGTTCTGGGAGGACGATGGCATCCGTGGAGGAAAGAGCATCACGGATGGGCCTTCTCGATTCATCTACTACCCCAGTCACGGTTTCCAAAACCAGACTATCGGAGTCCTCCTGGCTTCCTACACCTGGTCTGATGACTCCCTCCTCTTCTTGGGTGCAAAGGATGAAGACCTGAAAGATCTGGTCCTGAGAGACTTGGAGAAGATCCACGGCAAGCATGTCAGGTCTCTGTGCACAGGGGTGTTGGTGAAAAGATGGAGTTCAGATCCTTACAGCTTTGGCGCCTACGCTCTCTTCACCCCCTACCAGCACTTGGAGTACGCCAGAGAGCTCTTCAGAAGTGAAGGCAGGATCCACTTCGCTGGAGAACACACGGCCTTTCCTCACGCCTGGATCGAGACGTCCATGAAGTCCGCTATCAGGGCGGCTCAGAACATCACCAATGCGGTACTCTTGGAACCAGATATGGGTCAAGTCCGAGAAGAGCTGTAGGGTCTGGAGATTCGTCTCACTTATTGGTATTTTTTGGCACTTTTTTGCCAAGGAAACTGATTTCCTCTTTTAATGGTTCTGTAATCAAATGTGAGGTGATATAACTTTCATTTTCTGTTGTTCTGCACATTAACAAGATTTTCTTAAAAACTCAAACTCTTGAAGTTCCACTGAACTTTTCTACCTTACTCCTTGCCTTAATAATAGCTCAGTTAAATTATGGGTAAAATGTTGTTTCCTGTGTTACTGTGCTCTAATTCATTATAATCACCGGGAAAGGAACAGAAAACATTTTAAAACTCACCTGTTATATCTACAAAACTGAAGATTTATTCATACCACTAATTTTGGGAATGGTTCAAGGAGTTGTTGGTGATGGGGGGTGGGATTTTATTTTTCTTGTAGTTCATCAGTGTGTTTTACGTCCAGTTTTCAGTGTCTGTTATTTCTTAAGAGAAACTGTTAATAAAAAAATCAGTGGAGTGGACTTAATTCTAATTACATGGTGGTTTTTGTGATTTCAGTCCAGTTCCCAGGCCTTGAGAGACAGCTTGGACTATTACAAGGAGCTGGGTTCTCACCTTCCTTATGGGTTAAAGTACCAAATCCAGTCTTAACTCATTTGGTGCCAGGTTAATTTATGCAATTTTTACCCAGTGCCACCATTGACTGCACTAGACAGAATATCTTGTGCTCAGACTAGAATTAAGTGCGATATCTCAAAAGAAATAGGTGACTCTCTTCGTTCACCAGTAAAACAAGTTCGTCTCTAACCCACTCCTGTGTTTAGTCATTGCCTGCTCAATGCAGTGTGGTCATATCTAGATAAAGAAACCTGGAAAAACACATTTTCACGAAGGAGAAGCCGAACTCTGATCGTCTGTTTCATTTCACTTCAAACTGTTTTACCGGCGGTATCAAGGTCCTCCCTCCTCGGACACCACTCAGATCCAATTGTGATAGGTCACTTTGTGACTGCTGGGAGTCGTATTGGGTCTCAAGAACTGGACGCTGCAATGTAAACCCCACGGAATGCTCGCGTCCTCCTTGCCGGGACTGTTGCTGAATTTCGGCTCATTCCTCACCCACCAGTACCGGCACCAGCGGCACAATGACATGCCTTAAAATTGTTTCTTTGATTGTCTGGTGAAGATGTGAAGATCCGGTACTGGGATTTCCACTGGATCGAGAGTCGGTAGCACCACACCCATGGGAGCTGATGCGCCGAGACCGTTAGCTCTTGGCTAATGACTTCGGCATTTTCCTACTCTCCACATAAAAAAAAAAAACATTCCACAACTAGGATAAATAGCACACTTTTCACTGGCCAGTACTTGTTTTTGTTATTGTAACATGGTTATGACGTATTTGTCGGCTTTTCTACATTCAGAACGGCCTCAAACTTAGTTGAATGTTGAGGAAGGAGCGCCCTCTGGCGGAAAACAAAAAAACTGAAAAATCCGTCCAAATCCATCATTGGCACTGAATAACTTTTTAAAACTGTTTTCAACTAAAGTACAGAAAGTATTGAGTTGTAATATTTTGAAATATCACAAATATATAAATCTAAAGTTAAATGATATTCCCACGACCCCATTTAACCATGATGGTTAGTCGGTGTGTCTCAGTTCAGCCCACAGAGCTGTGGAAAAGTAGAGCTGCATCAACAGAAGAGTTAACCCACACAGGAAGAAGAGACCCTTCTCACCTCCACCTCAGTTCATGTTCACACAGTCAACATGGAGGTCACCACCAGTCTCTGCGTCAGGCTGTGTGAGTCTGTCTTTGTTCGACCTTAAATACTTTTACTCTTTTTTTAAGAGGAAACTTTCTGTTCAACATTTTAGGACTTTAGAAACTGAAAAGTTTCAGTTATTCTCTCTGACGGTTCAGGTCTGAGGTCTAAGAAACAAACTCTGTCAGTTTGATAAATATGACGACAGTTTCCCCTTTTTGTCTTTCCAGTGATCGGTGTTTTATTCCTGCTGTGTGAACACATTCAGAGAGTTGGTGAGTACACGTTTGTTTCTCATTTCTGAAGTTTGGAGCTGTAAACCGACTGTGTCTCTCTTTCTTCTTCCTCTTCTTTCAGATTCAGTGTTTCTCCGAGTCGAACCAAACAAGATGCAGTTCTTTAAATACGAGCCTGTGACCTTTCACTGCGAGGACAAATTCAACTCCACTGGATTACAAATCACCCGTCGCTCTAAAAAGGTTTTACCTTTATGCGACATCAAAACTACAGAGAAATCTAGAGTGCTAACCTGCAATGTTTCTGGTCTTTACCAAGAGGACAGTGGAGCGTACTGGTGTGAGTCTGTGGGAGGGAAGATGAGCAACATCATTTATATCAGCGTTACCAGTAAGTTTACAACAAGTCAGTATTTCTGCAGTAATTTACTGTATTTAAAGTTAAAACTGTCTCCAACAGACAAACCCGTGAACCTGGAGAGTCCTGTCCTTCCTGTCCTGGAGGGAGACTCTGTGACTCTACGCTGCAGAACTAAGAACCAGACTGACCGCTCGGCTGATTTTTATAAAGATGGCCGTCGCGTCTGGAGCAGCTCCACAGGAGAGATGACCATCAGCCATGTTTCCATGAAGGATGAGGGACTCTACAAGTGTGACATCTCTGAGGTCGGGGAGTCATCTGAGAGCTGGTTGGCCGTCAAAGGTGAGACTTACCGAAGTTCAAGATACTTAATAGTGAGTTAAATGAGAGTTAACGTTTTCTACTTTCTCGGTAAAGTTTATAATCCCTTGGTGATCTTTTTATGGAATGATAAATCATCTGCTTCTTTATAGTGAATGAGATACTGTTTACTTAGTCTACATGGTTGTCCGTTGTTGGTGTGTAAGTGCAATGAAACTAATGAGGATCACTCCAGAAGTTAATATTGTGAAAAAATAAACATATGTTGTTGTACATAAACCTTCAATATGATTTTTAGTTGATTCAGTTTTATGGTGAACCTTGACTTACATCATTATATCATCTGCATATGTCTGAATATCATCTGCTGTTAGAGGTGAAAATGTCCAAAATAAAAAACAACCTTCTGCTTCTCGCCTGTCCTCAGATCGCCCGTCCTCAGATCTTCTCTTCACCGCCTTCAGAAACATCCTCCCCGTCGTCATGATGACTCTTCTTCTTCTGCTGCTTGGTTTCCTCTCCTGTGGGAAACTCAGAGGTAGACTGTAAGAAACCTTCGATATACGAGCGGAAATGTCTGAAAAGAAAGAATAAACTGGACTGAAAGGAAAAATATAGTCTGTTTGATGGTGAAGTTTTGCAGTTATCGTCTTTTTTTGTCTCATATTTTCTCAAATATAATTACGTCATATCCGTGTTCAGTGTTAACAGTGTGAGCAAATGATGTAAATGTGTTTTTGACTCTGCTGTGACAGAATAAAGTCACAATTGTGTTGTATATGAGTTTTATGGTCTGGAGATTTGTCAGGCCAAAAGTTTGGAGGCAAGATCAGATTTGTACAAACAAAGATCATAGTTTCATATATATAATTTTCAACACAGTAAACATGACTATTGTGTAAAGAGTAACTTATCAGAAGACATTTTGACTATAATTATTAGGTATTTGAGTTATTGTTGCTTAGACTTTGCTTTCTTTAAAGTAACCTCCTCTGGCTTTAACAACAGCTCGGCATATACCAGGCATTCGCTCCACAAGTTTTCTAAGGTCTGTTCCAGGGATTACATTCAAGCTTTCTTAAGTTCATTACAAAGAGACGCTGATTCGTGGGACGCGTTTTTCTGACCGATCGATCCAATTCATCCCGCACAAGCTCAATTGGAGAAAGGTCTGGAGACTGAGGGGGCCAAACCATCTTTTGAAGAACACCTTCCTCTTCTCTTTTGTCTCGGTAACCCTGACAGAGCTCGGCAGAGTGCTTAGGGTCATTGTCTTACTGCAAAACAAACTTATGAGCCACAAGTCTGAGTCCAGATGGAGCAGCATGGTGCTGGAGGATGGAGTGGTACTGTTCCTTCTTCATGATACCCTTTACTTCAAACAAAGCTTCTACCCTATCACCTACAAAACATCCCCATACCATGGAACTACCACCTCCATGCTGAATTGTGGGTGTAACACATGGAGCTTTCAGACGTTCACCAGTTTGTCTGCGGACATAGACTCTGAGTTTGGAACCAAACAGTTCAAACTTGTTTCTATCATTATTCGTCCAGTTTTTGTGAGCTTTTGCCCACTCATATCTCTTTTTCTTCTTCTGTGGATGAAGTCGTGTTTTTTTGCAGATACACAACCCTTCAGACCAGCCTTTCTCAAACGTCACGGTTGTCAGAGATATGGGTTTCGACCTTGTCATGTTGATTTCCTCCCTTATTTGTGGTGCTGTCTTTCTCCGATCTCTCTTACTGGTGACAATGCTCTGTTTGTCCTCTGCTTTTGTAGTCACTCTCTTTCGTCCAGGTCTTTTTCTATCATCATAACTTCCAGGTTCCTCTCGTCTCTTCAGAGTGTAGTGGACTCCTTTGTTAAACACCTTTAGGCCTTTTTCTCTTTCTGTGTTTCCTTCTTTCCTCGATGTACAAATCTGTACTTTTGTTTCTTTACTCAGTTGCTTCTTTCTGGTCATTTTTGCTGTAGTTTGAACACAGTTGAGATTTATTAGGATTTTTGTCTGCAGACTCTCAGAAGCCTAAAACTAAGCCCTAAACAATCTCAGAAATAACTTTTTAAAACTGTTTTCAACTGAAGTGCAGAAAATATTTAGTTGTAATATTTTGAATTACCACAAATATAAAATCTAAAGTTAAATGATATTCCCACGGCCCCATTTAACCACGATGGTTAGTCGGTGTGTCTCAGTTCAGCCTACAGAGCTGTGGAAAAATAGAGCTGCATCAACAGAAGAGTTAACCCACACAGGAAGAAGAGACCCTTCACACCTCCACCTCAGTTCATGTTCACACAGTCAACATGGAGGACACCACCAGTCTCTGCGTCAGGCTGTGTGAGTCTGTCTTTGTTCGACCTTAAATACTTTTACTCTTTTTTTAAGAGGAAACTTTCTGTTCAACATTTTAGGACTTTAGAAACTGAAAAGTTTCAGTTATTCTCTCTGACGGTTCAGGTCTGAGGTCTGAAAAACAAACTCTGTCAGTTCCATAAAGATGAAGACGGATTTGATTTTTGTCTTTCCAGTGATCGGTGTTTTATTCCTGCTGTGTGAACACATTCAGAGAGTTGGTGAGTACACGTTTGTTTCTCATTTCTGAAGTTTGGAGCTGTAAACCGACTGTGTGTCTCTTTCTTCTTCTTCCTCTTCTTTTAGATTCAGTGTTTCTCCGAGTCGAACCAAACAAGATGCAGTTCTTTGAATACGAGCCTGTGACCTTTCACTGCGAGGACAAATTCAACTCCACTGGATTACAAATCACCCGTCGCTCTAAAAAGGTTTTACCTTTATGCGACATCAAAACTACAGAGAAATCTAGAGTGCTAACCTGCAATGTTTCTGGTCTTTACCAAGAGGACAGTGGAGCGTACTGGTGTGAGTCTGTGGAAGGGAAGATGAGCAACATCATTTATATCAGCGTTACCAGTAAGTTTACAACAAGTCAGTATTTCTGCAGTAATTTACTGTATTTAAAGTTAAAACTGTCTCCAACAGACAAACCCGTGAACCTGGAGAGTCCTGTCCTTCCTGTCCTGGAGGGAGACTCTGTGACTCTACGCTGCAGAACTAAGAACCAGACTGACCGCTCGGCTGATTTTTATAAAGATGGCCGTCGCGTCTGGAGCAGCTCCACAGGAGAGATGACCATCAGCCATGTTTCCATGAAGGATGAGGGACTCTACAAGTGTGACATCTCTGAGGTCGGGGAGTCATTTGAGAGCTGGTTGGCCGTCAAAGGTGAGACATACCGAAGTTCAAGATACTTTATCATAATCTCACAGATTTCTGAAGATCCACAGTTTCTCTTGTCGTCATTAAACATAAAAAGTAAAGTTAGATATTCTTCAGCGTATGATTTAAGGTGTAGAAGAGTTTGAATTGAACTTTTAAAAAGTTAAAAGTTTGATTCTGATTTTACTCGTCAAACTTCAGTCTTTGCCGAATATCTCAGAGCTCGGACTTCCATGTATAGTAAGTATTTAAACTTCATGAAAATACATCATTATTACTGTTGTTACAGAAAATAACACACGATTACTTTGAGTTTTCTGTCAAATATAGTCACCACCACCTACATCGTTATATCATCTGCATACGTCTGAATATCATCTGCTGTTAGAGGTGAAAATGTCCAAAATAAAAAACAACCTTCTCTGTAAAATAATAATAATATAATATTAATTTCTGCTGTTGTTGAAGAAAATAATGTAATCACATGATTAGTATGAGTTTTTTTTTTTTTTTTACAAATTTAGATGCTTTAATAATTGACAGAGCTTGTCACCACCTTTTCTATATATATATATATATATATATATATATATATATATATATATATATATATATATATATATATATATATATATATATATATATATATATATATATATATATATATATATATATATATATATATATTTTTAATATTTTTTTTTTTTTTTTTTTTGCATGTATGATTGATACTTTCTGTATGATCATATATTTATTATTGTAAAAATAAAAGAAAGTAAAAACATTTTGGTGCTGCTGCTGATGTCGGCCCATAAATTTTGAGAATAAAATCCATATGTGGCCTCCTGAACATCATTCATCAGTCATTCATTGGTATTATCTATGTTCTTACCTAAGCTGCCCCCTTAGATGTGTAAAGACATGTCAGGTGCATTAAATTTATACTGTAGTAGGCGTGTGAATGATCAACAATCAATATATTGGCAGAAATAGAGGGCCTAGAAATCAAATCTTGCCCAGGGCCCCATCGAGGCTCTGGCCGTCTCTGCTTCTCTATCAACTACAATCATTTCTGCTGTTGTTTCAGAAAAACATGCGCCGACAGGACGGTCAGATTCTGGGCTGTGGACGGTTATCGGTGTTTTGCTGACTCTGCTCGTTCTGGTTGGACTACTTCACTTTGGCAGATACTGTTGGCACAGAGGTACAGTCACAGTTCACTGACAGCTTTGACTCTGCAGGTATTTGCTACTGTTGGTGTGTCGCAATTCACATGAACTAAGCGAGTCAATCAATAGATGTTTGTGTGATTAGAGGTCAGTGCCGTCACGTCCTGGAGGCGCACAGTCGGCGGTTGACATGTTTCTTGTATCTTTCTTTAAAACCGTCGTTTTATCTTCCATGTTTCTGACTTATTCTGTTTTTGTTTTCCTTCAGTGTTGATCCACCGGATTACACCTCCACTCCGCTCTCCTGAGAATCAAACAGGTATCATCAGTTTACTACTATCAAACAGGTTCCAGTGAAATCATCAACTTGCCTTTTATTAATAAGTCGTGGGATAAATTTCCAAAACCCAGCCTCTGGAATACAGCCCACACCGCCTTTTTTAATTAAAAATCAACATTTGTTTCATAAACTGACAGAGTTGGAAAGTCTTTATGGATTTCTTTTAGTCGACAGTCAACACTGACATTATTTTTGGGTTATTTTAAGCTCCAAATCTGTTTGATATTTAATGATGTTGTTGTATTTTCAGTCCCGGAAGAGGCCGGCACAGCCAACGCAGACAAACCACAGTATGCTGCAGTTGCTAAAAACAGGCCAAGAAAAGGTATTTCAGTAGACATTTAAGTTTTTTTTTTTTTCAATTAAAGAACTCTGATCCTTTAATATTTTACCCTTCTTTTACAATGATACTTAATAAGTCAGAAAAAGTCAGAAAACACCCGTTAATCATTCCACAAATAACAAAAATCAAGAACCTCAAAATTACATATTTAAGATACGGTCAAATGTTGTTTCTTTTTACATCAAACTGGAGTTGACATTATTTGCATATTCTCAGACATGAAAAAGGTTAAATAAAAAGTGTTCACAGGAGAAAAAAAAACGTGCAAACAAGAAAATGAGTTTGTTTGATGCATTTAACAGAAATGAAGAGTTGGGTGTCATCTGCATAATGAGGGATCATCATTTAAACTTTTGTAAAATAGACACAAAAGAAGTGAGTTGGAACGCAACAGGATCCAGGGTTGCCGGTGTACGATAATTATCGTATTTGTACGATCAATAACTCAGAAAAAAGGCTAAATGTACGATAATTTGAGTCTGTCAGACACTTTTTTGTTGTTTTTATATTTGCGAACCCTGAAGGCATCTTTTACCACGTGACGTTTCCATCCAGTCGTAGTTTGAGCGACGTTTGTCTCCGAATAACGAGCTTGATTAACCATGCTCAGCTGGGGAAAAATGGTGGCCACTGAAGAGGACGGTGTTTAACGCGAAGTTGATTTTTGTGCCTAAAATAGATTTCACTAAGTCATATCACTCTTCATTTCCTCGTCAGTTATTATAAATACTGTTTCAAAAAAGTAGGTGACCTCAAGGTCTCATAATTTGGCTCATTAGTTCCCACCTGTCATTTGTTTAACGGGAACGCATTAGTGTAACACAGCTGAGTCGGAGCTGCTGACCACAAATGACCACGAAACTGTCGCCACAAAATCGCGAGTGTCTGTACGACGTTAACAGAGCGACTATATGTGAATATCATAGAACAGTAAGATTGTTATTTTGATTACGACGGGTGTACGATAATATTCCCCAAAATACGATAATTTTGAGTCTCCCATCTGGCAACACTGACAGGATCTAAACTGGTGCTTTTGGAAACTCCAGAGGACAGAGAAGTACAAAATAACAAAGGCTGAAAAAGCGAAGTTTAGTGCTGACGTCAAGATCGAGTGTCAAATTCCAAATCTGATAAAAACGAGAACGATAGTGATGTTTTATTTAAAGTGGCGAACCCTTCATGTTCTGATAGATGAGGCTGAATCTGAATGTCTTTACGACAGTTTGGACGACTCTGCTGATGCTCAACGACTGGGTGAGATTTACTACGATTGAAAAAACGATTAAAAAGTTTACAGTTTTAAATAAACGTATTCTTGATTATTTGACTGAATCTATTTTCAAACACAGAGACAGAAGTTTCTAACATCACATCAACTGGTACCAACCAACCTCTAACGCAGGATTCCTTCTATTCTGTCATCCAGGAGGTGAGACTGATGCGAAAACCAGAATCAGACACTTTTAGAGTTTTTGGACTCATACGAAAACTGTGTTATCTTTAGATGTAGCATCGGCGGCAAAGTCGAGTTTTGAGACCTAGCGGTCGTGGCCACCATATCGATAACGCCGACTCAACCTAACTTTTGGTTCGGTTGACCTTCAAGTCGACTAGTAAATGGCTACACTGCTTTTTAAAACCTGTTTATTTGTGCTCTGAAAACAAACGTAGAAGTGTTAGCGTTTCTACGGTATGTGGTTACACAGGCAGCCTCGAGTGGACACTCCTGGAACTGCAGCATTTAGCACTTTGACATTGGCTCTGTTTTTATTTGTGTTGATTTTGGCGCCACCAAGCTGCTTTAGACTTTAAAAAATGACAAGAGAGTCTGTTTGCCTCGTTACCGATGGTCTTATTTGCTATTAAGGGTTAAAAAGAGAGACGTCAGTTTCAGTTTCATTGTTTATTTCTTGCGGTTTAAAAACCTCTCATAGTGCCTCTCACTGAGCATACTCTTTTTGTTTTTTTGTCTCCGTGTCTTGCAGGTTGGACAGTGACCGCTGACTGAGTTCCACTTTCACACAGTTTATATAAACGATCAAAATACTATTCAGTTTGTTCGTGTTTACTGGATTAAAACATGAAAGAATTCTTAGACTGAATAAATATAATTTTGGAGAGAGTTTCTGAGTCCTCCACTCCACTCGGCTGTTTGCCTCGTGTCTATTTCTGGATTCCTGTCTGTCTTACAGTCTAACCAGTGAAACTAACTTGTTCCATCTGTCGGTTTTCATTCACATGAGCGAGAGCAGAGTTCACAGACACGGAGCTGCAGCAGCCTTTAATACACTCGACGTGGTCAACCGCCACCTTAAAGGAGTGATGAACCCAGAATATGACAAACAAAGAAACGATCATGTGAACCTTGTACAGGTCTGAGAGATTTACAGGTGACAGGTTATACTTTAACTTTCCAGGTGCTCTTTGTTCTTTAATGAGTACCAACACTTTTTTTCTCAGGGTGTTTTTCTTCAGTGTGTGCGACGACTAAAGAAGTATTCAACATTTTAATTTAGGCATTTAAAAGGATGACATCGGCCGAAACAGTCGCACAAACATCTAAATATACCAGAAAAAAAGTGTAGACTCACCTGAGAGAAGTTTCAATTAAAGGCAAAATTAAAATAACACCACCTGGTGACGATTCCGTCAACTGACAGGCAGGTGTCAGTTAGTGCTGTGACTATTCAACAGTTCTTTGTGCGACTATTTAACGGATCAGTTTAACTCTACAACAGTTCTGGGTGAGTGTACAAATATTCTCAGTAACAAAACAACAGTTCTGAGTAACAGTTCTGAGAATGTCTTTTTAACAGTTATGAAAGACTTGACAAATATTCTGAGTAACTTAACAACAGTTCTGAGTATTTCTACAAAAGTTCTGCGTTCCTGTTCAACCTCTTTGAGTCACTTTGCAACAGTTCTGGGTGTGTCTTTACGACCGTTTTGAGTGTCTGTTTACAGTCTGTCACCGACACCACGAAGCGTTGAGAGAGTCTTTGTCTGTTTGCAGAGCAGAATTGGTTTAGGCGTCACACCCACATCTGGAGATGCCAAGCATGAATTTTCAAAAACGCTGCCAACAGTCCAAACAATTTCTTAATGAAGTTTTTACCCACATCTTTTTGGCATGGTATGTGGTAACTCACGCCCCCTTGAATATGTTGATCTTTACAAGTCCTGGCATGGCACCGACTGTACCTGACTTCCTGTTCAGGAGAATTTTAAAACAATAAGTGAGGTGATCGAGTATTGCTATAAAAACCCACAACAGGTTCACAGGGAAATAGTTCAACCCTTGGTGGCTGCAAGGTAAACAAGAAAGCCGAACCTTCATCTGAGTCTGCTCTGGAAGCAGATTCTGCAGCACAGGCCTCTGAAAAGGTAAGACAGCATCTTTGTTACCGAGAATATTCATCAGACTCTCTTTTTTTAGACAATAAAATAAAGAAAATCAAATACAGTTTTTTTCCAGTCTTGTCTTCAGAACAAGGGAAGGACAGTGAACATGGATCAGTTCAAGCAGAGATGGACACTTGGTGAGTTTTTAAGCAAAATTACCATCATGACAGTTTTTTAATATGCATGCCTGTTAGAAAGATCCTATATTTCCGTTTTCACCATGACTTATGGGTTGGTTTTGAAAGTGTCATCGTCAGTATTTGATTTTCTGCTGGACGAGGCTGTGGTGAAGATAAGATATTCCTTTATGAGTTCCACGGAGGGAAATTCCAAAAGTGGGCTCGATCTCAAAGTACTAAGTGCAGGTTTTGAGTTCTCACTTCCTGAATTTAGAGCCACCGTTCCAAGTCCTAGTTCTGCTTTTTGGCACGCAATCTGCACTCATACAGTAGGAGTTCCAGGAGTGAAGGGCCAAATGAGTTCACATTAAGTTCACAAATGTTTGATTTGGTTTTTAAAGGAAACTTAAGTGTGGGAATGTCCTTCTTGTACTTTAAGAGGTCACTTTAAAACTGATTTATAACATGAATAAGATCAAGTACATTGTCCGTCACACACTAGATCTCTTGACCTTATTTATTGATCCAAATGCACGGTCGAAAGCGTGTGGTACAAAGTGAATCTGGGCGTACCGGACTACTTTTTCGTGTTAGAGTTAGACGGTTTGACATGTCTGAATAACTCAGGACATGCCAGAGTACAAGACACTGTGCACTTTGCAGCTAAGCTGTTGTCGACTGACTTTTGCTCACTTGGCTTTATTTTGTAGGATATTATGTGTATTATAGATTCCACCTAAGGAAAACCACGCATAGAGTCTTGGGTTAAAGGGTTATAAAACATTTGCACACCTTTGCTGGTCTGTGTAAAAGCGTGTCAGATTCTGCAAAGGTTGTCGAGAGAGGGGCTGTAGTTTTTGGGCTTCCAGGGCTGAGATCATGAGTGGGGATATATCTAACGCCATCCATGCCATCTCACTAATGCGTGAGTAGTCTGCCGCACCTGACCCCGGAGTTGACATTAGGTTACAGCTGGTCTGAGGCACAGACACTTCCTGCTGAAGATTTTACAGGCTTATTCAAGTTGGACGCACCCAAAGGCACAAACAAGGACCGCCCTTCTGAGGAATCTCCTCAGAAGTCTGATTGACAAAAGGTTTCCAAGTAAAGTGTGTTTTTTCACTTTGTGTGTGTGTGTGTGTGTGTGTGTGTGTGTGTGTGTGTGTGTGTGTGTGTGTGTGTGTGTGTGTGCATTTCCAGTTGCTGTCACCATGCTGCTGGTTACGCCGTTCCCCGGCCATGTTACCGGGGATGAGGAGGAGGAGTCGCCTCTACAGGAGTGTTTGAAAGACGCCGACTACGACGACATGCTAGAGGTGGTCCAGCACGGCCTCACGCCCATCAAGACTCCTAATCATGTCGTAATTGTCGGAGCTGGAATCGCAGGACTGACTGCTGCAAAGCTTCTGCGAGATGCAGGACACCAGGTACTCCTGACGGGATCATGTGACTTTCAAAAGATCGGACAAAAACCAAGTTAAAGGTCGAATCACTGTACAGAGGTAGTAGAACCGGTTATAATACATGGAGAGTTTATCCCACTTTGTACAAACACAAAATAAGTCCAACTGGCACTTTTGCAAAGTTCGGTACCTAAGTCGTCCACTTAAAGCCGTAACCCTTGGAACTCCCAGCTATATTTTGCTATTTTGCGAGTAGTCAAAGCAGAACCAAAAGAACCAATGTTCATCTTTTCTTTGTTTTCTAGGTTACCATTCTAGAGGCAGATAATCGTGTCGGGGGTCGAGTGGAAACTTACCGTGATGAAGAGCATGGCTGGTATGTCGAATATGGTGCCATGCGGATCCCACTCTCCCACCGGTGAGTTCTTTGTGATTTTTGTCTTTCTGATCATGTACACTGGACCTTACTAATTTCTATAAATTAAATCCAACCACCACTTCCTCTCTCGACAGAATCCTCCGGAGGTTCATCAACCAGTTAGGGGTCAAGTTAAATGACTTCATCATGTACGATCCTGATGGCTTTTACCTGGTCAACGGGTTAAAGAAACCCGTTAGAGCCAGAGAGGTAAAGGCAAAACCAGATATTCTGGGATACAAGGTGCAGGAAAATGAGAGAGGGATAACAGCTGGCAAGCTTTTTTCGAAAGCTCTGGATAAGGTACGTACAACAAGAGAAAGGACTGAATAAACCAGAAACACAAGAACAAGACTTTAGATCATTGTGTAGCAAGTTCTGTAACCCCCAATTTTCACCGCATCCGGCGATTTTCACAGTCCGCCAATTCCTTCCGGATCCGTTTGTGAGGGGAATTTTGTGACATTACTGACTACTTACTGACAGCAGGAATTGTGAGAATTCACAGGAACCCAGAGATTTGAGTGCAATCGTGCGATAACGAGTTCTTCTAGAATCAGCATCTCCTCATCCATGGTGTCATCGGGGTAAAAATGACGTCTAAAAAGGAAAAATAGAACTCTTGCGATCCGCAGCGGAACCGAAAGAAACCGGTGGAAGTTGACACGTTAACTTGAATGATTATGATCAGCTACGATCGGAGGATACGGCCTTTTCGTAGCCATTCCGGATGCGGTGGAAATTGGGGGTAAGCGTGATGGTGTTACTGACCATGACAGGAAACAGTTTTTCTCTGAGTACCCCAAACAGACCTGGACTGGACTGTTTGGAGTCTACTGATGAGGTAACCATGGAAACCAAAAACTGACCTCAGTAACTTTTTCCTTTTTTTTCTTGGTAGGTGAGACAGGAAGTCAAAGCTCACGGTTGCATAGCTGCCCTGAAAAGATTTGACAAATATTCTGTCAAGGTAACGCGTCTTTATTTCTGTTAACATTTGGACCAAAACACTTTGAGTTTATATAAATATGATTACAGCGTTTTTTGTTTGTTTTTTATTATCAGTCGTACCTAAAGGAGGTGGCAGATCTGAGTGACGAGGCGATCAGGATGATCGGAGACGTTCTTAACCAGCAGAGCCTCATGTTCACGGCTCTGATTGAGATGGTCTACGAACAGTCTGACATTGGCGACAACATTACGTGAGACCCTCTTTTACATCGAACCACTTTCCAAAATAAGAACGACTTCATATTTTTTTAATATAGTTAAACCAGAAACCGACTTCACCTCGATGCAGATGATACAATCTTTAGTTCGTTTTATTCTTCATAGAAAGAGACTATCTTCTGTTTTTGTAGGTACTCTGAAGTGACCGGTGGGACTGAACTTCTGACCAGAGCTTTTCATGACTACCTCAAAAAAGTCGTCGTCCCTATCCACCTCAGCTCCACGGTGAAGCTCATCCGTCGGTCAGGTGAAGGTGTAATCGTGGCTTACCAAAAGGACGACCGGACTGACCTTACATCTGTTGCTGCTGACTTTGTCTTGGTGACTGCAACGGCCAGAGCGACTCGTTTCATCGATTTTGATCCCCCTCTGTCTGTCAAAAAGATGGACACCATGAGGGGCGTCCACTACGAGAGCTCCACTAAAGTCGTCCTCATCTGCAGTGAGAAGTTCTGGGAGAAGGACAGCATCCGTGGAGGAAAGAGCATCACTGATGGGCCTTCTCGATTCATCTACTACCCCAGTCACAGTTTCCCAACAAATAAGACCGTCGGAGTCCTCCTGGCTTCCTACACCTGGTCTGATGACTCCCTCCTCTTCTTGGGTGCAAGTGATGAAGACCTGAAAGATCTGGTCCTGAAAGACTTGGAGAAGATCCACCAGAGAGATGTCAGCTCTCTGTGCACAGAGGTGAAGGTGAAAAGGTGGAGTTCGGATCCTTACAGCTTGGGCGCCTTCGCTCTCTTCACCCCCTACCAGCACTTAGAGTACGCCAGAGAGCTCTTCAGAAGCGAAGGCAGGATCCACTTCGCTGGAGAACACACGGCCTTTCCTCACGCCTGGATCGAGACGTCCATGAAGTCCGCTATCAGGGCGGCTCAGAACATCACCAACGCGGTACTCCTGGACTCGGATATGGGTCAAGTCCGACAAGAGCTGTAGGGTCCGCAGATTTGAGTCCCATGGTATACATAAATCATTCTGAAATCCTGGTGTCTGACAGTTGCTTGAACATTTACCACTTTAACTTTTACCTGAATTTTAGTGAACATATATATATTTTCTAATGTACTTTTCAAATCTACATTCTCACTCTTCTGCTCAGTTTGTCCTTCCACAATAGTTTGGGAAAATTACGAATTTGCTTCCTCTGTAGCTACTCGCTCGGGTTACAGTGTCCTGATTTAATTGCTATAATTAATTGCTGCTCAATGCTATTTGACCATTTCTTAATTATGGGAAGAAGGAAACTTTACTGTATTTTTGAATAATAATCCCTCGATGTATTTTCAGTGACTGTAAAATGTGTTTTTAAGTGGGAATAAAAGGACCTCTATGTCTACAACTCGTCTTTGGAGCGTCTTATTATAAACCGTAGTTACTGACTGTTCAATTCAACACTTAGACATCCACAGTTTCAGATGTACTTGTGTTTTTGTCATGTTTTTTTGTGTGTAATCAATTTTTTGTCTTGTGTATTTGTTGCGTATTTGTTGTGTTTTTATTGTTTTTTTGTCATGTTTTTGTGTTGTGTATTTGACGTATTTCAACAATGTTATTGTTGTGTTTTGTTTTTTGTTTTCGTTATGTTGTTTAGTTTTTGTCTTGTTTTGTTGTGTTTTTGTTCTTTTATTGTCAAATTTTTGTTGTGCTCTGTTGTGTTTTTGTTGTGTTTTTATGGTGTTATTGTTTTTTGTCATGTTTTTGTTGTGTTTTTGTGATGTGGTGTTGTGTTTTTATTGTGTTTTTGTTGTTTTTGATCATTTTTGTTGTGTTTTATATGTTACTGTTGTGTTTTGTAATGTTACTGTTGTGTTTTGTTGTGTTTTTTGTTGTTTTTGTCATGTTTTATGTTACTGTTGTGTTTTGGTGTGGTTTGTTCTGTTATTGCTGTATTGTTGTGTTTTGTTTTGTTTTGTTGTGTTTTATCGTGTTTTGTGTTTTCTTATTGTTGTGTTTTGTGGTTTTGTTTTGTTGTTTTTGTCTGTTATAATCGTGCTTTTGTTTGTTATGTTTTTCTTGTGTTTATGTCATGTTTTGTCATGTTTTTTGTGTTTTGTTGTGTTTCATCATGTTTTTGTCATGTTTTGTTGTGTTTTTGTAGCGCTATTGTCATTTTTTGTGTTTTGTTGTGTTTTAATCATGCTTATGTTTTGTTGGGTTGTGTTTTTGGTGTGTTTTTGTCGTGTTTTTGTTCTTATTCTGTTCCATCTGAAGTCCCAACCTTAGTTCTCTTAGTGTTTTCTCATTATTCTGATATTTGTACAGTTGAGCGTCAGATATGAGGAAGTGAGAGTGAGGATCTCTGAACAGGTTGGTCAGCCTTTCCTCATTTGACCTTTTTTTTAATTCCTCAGACTTTAATTTAAGACATTTAATTTGAGACCAATTTAGAACCTGATTTCATGAGGTCTTATTATATTCAGATTTGTAATCGTGAGTTATTTCTGTCTTTTTTTAACCCTCTAGAGTCTGGATTAACCTTTTCAAAAAGTTCTTGTCACTTTCGTTTTTATTGCGGCTTTTTGTTAAACTTTAGGGAAACTCCACACGACAAGATTTTTCTTTTTTCCACAGATTTTTTTCTAGATATACACCTGGAACTTGCAGTTAAACAACGAAGAGGCCCACCCTGCGCTTTGCCCAAATCCTCAGATTCAGACCTCATCAGGCATAAATCAACACTGCCCGGGCCAGGCGCCCTGCAGACTTTAGATTCACACCCAGTCTTCAAAGAGAAACTCTGCCAGTTTTTTAAAACCACAACAACTACTGGCATCAGCTCTCCTCCTCCACACCCAGTCTACAAATAAACACTAGAAGAGGCCAAGACCGATTCACTAAAATACCTGAACCTATTAGAAACCTTTAGCGTGACCAGTCAGACCTTAATAAGAGTCTAACTTTGGGTGGAGGAGACAGACTTTAACGTTGCACAATGTTGGACTTGCTGTCTTATTGCGACCGTACAGGAACTCCAACGTGCCGCCTGATGATCGTGAGTCATCAAAGTCCCTGAGATCATGGGACCCAGATTGTAAGTGCGGGTCAAAATGAAACTAAAGATGATTAAAGTGTGGTCAGGACGGTCAGGACGGTCAGATGAGAAAAGAAAATCCCTGCACTCATGATAAAGAAGCTATAAAAGGCTCTCATTTCCTTTCTCATCACTGTGGCATGAGGTTCGAGCTCCTGAAGGTAGGAACCCGTCAGATAACCATCATCAGAATATCATCAAAATGTTCAGTGTAGATCCTTAACTCGTAATCTGCTCATAATTCGGCCTGAACACGTCTTGGTTATGTAAAGGTTTGATGACTCAGAGAAACGGTTTGATGGTCAAACTTTCAAACTTCAAACAAATTTTTTTGGCAAAGTTTACTCAGATTATGTTGAAGGTGTGGGAAAGAGCAGCGCTGGGTTAGGTTAGGTTTGATTGTTGCGTAACAATGATATAACGATTATTTGTTTACCTAAGATATTTTGTTTGAGGGTGTGATCGGTTAGAAATAGCTGTTTGTTAAGATGATATTTAACCCTGAGATCTCTTCATCAGGAAAACTTCTCGAACCTTTTCTCATTACCTTCCTTAAATATTTTTGAACTTGTTGGTTTGTTGATAGAAGTATTTTTTTCCCCACAATACTCTGCCTTGATTTTGTTGTGTTTTTATAAAGTGAGGCGCGTCAATATTCGCCTCCGAACATTTCTAATTAGGACCTTCACTATCCTGTTTCTTTTTCTTTCCTATTTTAAGTCTTTATTTTGGTCCTCATGGTCTCATTTTATGTCGTAGGGTTCTCGTGTTGTCAATTTGGAGGTCTTGTTTTTAATTAAGCTTTTGTTTTTTATTTGTTTTTATTTCCATCTGCTTCACGACTGTTCGTCAAAGCACTCTGTAAACTTCTGTTTTTAAAAGTGCTATAAAAATAAAGTTATTATTATTATTGTTATTATTACTTTTCCAGAATCGAAACCTTTTTAATGTTTTTACTCATTTTGTTGAAGGTAAAAAAAGGAGGAACTGAAATGGATCCAAGTTTGACCAAATTGGAATCATGTGAGTACTTTATTTAATCGTTCTTATGTAATATCCTAAAATCACGAACTTCTTCCCCGTCTGCGGTTTGGACACACCGAGGAAGAACGAGTTTCCTCCACGTTTCATCGTCAAACCCGACCTTAAATAACCTCATGGTGAAAAGCAGAACTACAAGCTGAGCCGAGAAGAAAAGTCGGGTTTCCTCATTTTTAGGAGATTTTCAAAAAGAGGAAAACATCTCTGATGAACATGTCCCCCAAATTTAGCAATCATATCTGATCTCCAACACTCCTGGTTCCTCCATCTGCTCACCACCGTCCTGCACCAGGACTGTCCAACCAGTAAGCGATAGACTTCATGTCCTTTTTTAGACTGAATTGTTTTGTTTTTCCAGTTGCTGTCGGTCTGGTTCTGCTCGGCTTCCTCTGCCACAGTCTCACAGCCATCAGCCTGAAGGAACATCTGTCTGATTGTCTGGAGGACAAAGATTACGAGGAGTTGCTGCAGACTGTGCAGAGCGGTCTACCACGCACGAACAGATCTCAACGTGTCGTGATTGTCGGAGCTGGAGTGGCCGGACTGACTGCTGCCAAATTACTGCAAGACGCCGGACACAAGGTGAGTCCAGAGCTGCAGCGCGCTTTACAGACGAACGTTAACAGAAGGAGGTTAAATGTGCGATATGATGATTTCAACTATTCAAAAGTGCAGCAGTCTTATTCTATCGTTTGGAAAAGGTGACCATATTGGAGGCCAGTGGTCGCGTTGGCGGACGGGTAGAGACCTACAGAAATGAAGAGGAGGGCTGGTATGCTGAACTGGGAGCCATGAGGATTCCCAGTTCCCATCGGTGAGTTCCAGTTTTGTTCATAAATCAAAGGTGGGGTAGGCAGGAATCTGTTAAAGAAGCATCTTTTTTTGTGGAGTATAAACAAAAAATCTTTAAATAGCAGTCAATAGTTATTAGTTATTGATGACATTTGGGAATGCAACGATAGTCAACATTTGAACATTTTTGAGCGGTCCGCTCTTTCTGACTGTAAACAAAGACGTTCTCCACCTCCTCTAACCTGATTGGTTGTGAGGCAGACGCTGCTCCCCCATGTCGTTCAGGAGCCCAAACAAAGTTAGCGTGCTACAATATCGGACAGTAGAAACCAACCAGAAAGTTTGGAAAATTGTCTGAATCCTCCTTTGGCCACGACTGCCGACACAAGCAAGAAAACACTCAAACATAAACAGTCAACAAGAAAACAGTCAGCAAGAACACAGTCAACAAGAAAACAGTCAACAAGAACACAGTCAACAAGAAAACAGTCAGCAAAAAAACAGTCAACCATAATCAGTCAACAAGAAAACAGTCAGCAAGAAAACAGTAAACACCAAACTGGTCAACAAAAAACAGTCAACCATAATCAGTTAACAAGAAAACAGTCAACAAGAAAACAGTCAGCAAAAAAACAGTCAACCATAATCAGTCAACAAGAAAACAGTCAACAAGAAAACAGTCAACAAGAAAACAGTCAACCATAATCAGTCAACAAGAAAACAGTCAACAAGAAAACAGTCAATGCCAAAACAGTCAGCGAGGAAACAGTCAACCACAAACCGTCAACACAAAACCAATCAACAAGAAAACAGTCAACCATAATCAGTCAACAAGGAAACTGTCAACACCAAAACAGTCAACAAGAAAACAGTCAACAAGAAAACGCTGCTCCCCCGTGTCGTTCAGGAGCCCAAACAAAGTTAGCGTGCTACAATATCGGACAGTAGAAACCAACCAGAAAGTTCGGAAAATTGTCTGAATCCTCCTTTGGCCACGACTGCCGACACAAGCAAGAAAACAAAGTAAATACCGGAGACTCTGGAGGAATAACGGGCGCTTAAAACGGAGGTAGACCGGACAAGAGCTAAAAAGCCGGGTCAACATAAACATATGTCTGAATTTAATTGGAAACGATACGAGTGACCAGGAGTGTCTGTTTGTGGGCGGGGCTTGAGGGGTAAAACTGGTTGGGAGGGGTAGAGTTTACATTCAAAGTTTTTCCCAGAAACTAGAACTTCCTCAGATCCTGCCTACCCCACCTTTAAAGTCTGATTGTTTGTGATTTACTCTGATCTATGTCATCTCTTCGTAGCATCGTCCGCTGGTTTGCCAAAGAACTCGGGGTCAAGCTGAATAAATTCATCATGGATGACCCGAACACCTTTTACCTGGTCCACGGACTGAGAAAGAGGACGTACACGGTGAAAGCAAACCCTAACGTCCTGAGATACAACCTGACAAAGAGCGAGAGGGGGAGGTCAGCCAACCGGCTGCTCCAACAAGCTCTGAAGAAGGTACGAGAGTGAGGGCCGGGGATGGAAAAGAGAGTGAACAGTCTTTCTTTTAGCTTTGAGGTGTTCTGAAATTCTGATGTGTTCACAGGTGAAAGATGAAGTGAAAACCAAAGGCTGCAAAGCTGCCCTGGAGAAATACGATCGTTATTCAGTGAAGGTAAATTACGGTTAAATTTGATGAACTCCATCTGTAAAGAAATGTTGAAAACGTCAAAGTTGTTTTGCAGGAGTATCTGAAAGAAGAAGGGGGTCTGAGTCCACAGGCGGTGGACATGATCGGAGATTTGCTCAATGAACAAAGCCTCATGCACCTGGCTCTGACCGAGATGATCTACATCGAGAGTGACGTCAGTGACAGCACCAAGTAAGATCGGTTAAGATGCTTTAGCTCGGTGTTACCTCTGTCGGACCTGGTCACTGTTCCTCCAAAGAGAACTTGGTGACAGACGACATGTTGTTGTTGACAGTCCTCAGATCAGATCTCCCGAGTGGGTCTTCAACAGTTCTTTAGAGCGTTTTTGGTGTTTTTTCTGCAGATACGACGAAGTGACCGGCGGGACAGATCTCTTAACGACAGCTTTCCTGAAAGTTCTTGATGTCCCCATCCTCTTTGACTCCAAAGTGAAGCGGATCAGCCAGTCCCATGAAGGGGTGGTTGTATCGTATCAGATGGACACCCAGTTCTCTCTGGTGGACCTTGCTGCTGATGTTGTCTTGGTGACCACGACAGCCAAAGCGGCCCTCTACATGGACTTCAGTCCATCCCTCTCTGTTGAGAAGATGGAGGCCCTGAGAGGCGTCCACTATGAGAGCTCCACTAAGATCATCCTCACCTTCAGTAAGAAGTTCTGGGAGGACGATGGCATCCGTGGAGGAAAGAGCATCACTGATGGGCCTTCTCGATTCATCTACTACCCCAGTCACAGTTTCCCGGCAAATAAGACCGTCGGAGTCCTCCTGGCTTCCTACACCTGGTCTGATGACTCCCTCCTCTTCTTGGGTGCAAGTGATGAAGAGCTGAGAGATCTGGTCCTGAGAGACTTGGAGAAGATCCACGGCAAGCATGTCAGGTCTCTGTGCACAGGGGTGTTGGTGAAAAGGTGGAGTTCGGATCCTTACAGCTTGGGCGCCTTCGCTCTCTTCACCCCCTACCAGCACTTAGAGTACGCCAAAGAGCTCTTCAGAAGTGAAGGCAGGGTCCACTTCGCTGGAGAACACACAGCCTTCCCTCACGCCTGGATCGAGACGTCCATGAAGTCCGCTATCAGGGCGGCGAAGAACATCAATAACGTGGCGTACAAAGAGTCGGCTAAGACACGACGTAGAGAGGAACTGTAGAGGATTTAGTATGAGGCTTTGCAGCTCTGAAACTGATGGATCTTCTGTAAAAACAAACACCTGTAATAAATCAGTAATCATTTACTTCCACTCTGATTATCACTTTTATTTATCGATTTTAAGACTGTTTGTCCAAATACTGGTTGGAATATCAGAAATAAAGAAAACCTTAAACCTTAAAGTCTCTGACCGTGATACTTTTTATTTCAGTGATTTTCCAAAAACAACAATTAAATCCAACAACAGAACTACATCTATGAATTTAGCTCTATGCAGCAGCACCAACCCACCAGTCACTTAAAGGGATATTTCAGCGTAAAATTAATTTACGGTCAAACACACCGTAACATTAAGTTAGACACCCCCTCTAGAGATGAATGTTGATGACCGCTTGCTTCTCTAGTTATACCAACTTTAGCAATACAGAGCCACGCGTTAAAATATTATTATTATTATTATTATTATAATTACAATTATTATTATTAAAATTATTATTATTATTATTATTAAAATTATATTATTATTATTATTATTAAAATTATATTATTAATATTATTAAAATTATTATTATAATTATTATTATTATTATTATTATTATTAAAATTATTATTATTATTATTAAAATTATTATTATTATTATTATTATTAATAAAATTATATTATTATTATTATTAAAATTATTATTATTATTATTATTATTATTATTATTATTATTATATTATTAAAATTATTGTTATTATTATTAATAAAATTATTATTATTATTATTATTATTATTATTATTATTATTATTATTATTAATAAAAATATTATTATTATTATTATTATTATTATTATGTTAAAATATGACATAAATAAGAATAAATAGATGAATAAAAGCTGCATAAATAAGTTTGAAAGTCAAAAGTGACTAATTTAATGTCAATCTATCTTCAGAGTTTATTAAAAATGTTAATTGAACAATCTTCTTCTTCTTCTTCTTCTTCTTCTTCTAGTTTAACGGCAGTTGGCACTCTTGTGTACGGTGCATTACCGCCCTCTTCTGGCAATTCTTATGCAAAACCCCCTGTGCACCACCCATTCCCATCTCATTCACTCACACTTTCATACTCCTACTGACTAAATCCTATCAATCAACCCCGTCACCCTTAAAAACTCGACTAACACTCTCACATGTGCCCTGTACCCCATCTGTAATACTCCCTTTAGTGTAAGGTCCTGCATACCCAATTCCCTCAACTTACTTCTCATCTCTCCCCTTTCCATCTCATATCTCCTACAACCCATTAGTACATGCTCCACTGACTCCTCCACCTGACATCCCTCACATAACCCAGTCTGGTGTTTCCCTATCATTTTCAGTGTTTTGTTTAATGCGCAATGACCCAACCTCAACCTTATCAATGCTGACCCTTCCTTTCTCTGTCCACTACCCAACCTCCTAACTTTAACACTTTCTTGAATCTTATAAAGATGCCTTCCTCTCTTCTCACCCTCCCATTTCTTCTGCCACATTTGAATAAGCTTTTCCCATATCATACTCTTAACTTCCGCTTTACTTAACCTAACATTCAGCTCCACTGATTCCTTCCCTAACGCCTCCTTAGCCATCACGTCTGCCTTCTCATTTCCTTCCACCCCTATATGTGCTGGAACCCATAAAAAACTGATCTGGCCCCCCTGCTGTACTATTCTTGTTACTGACTGTAATATTTCATATAATAAACCCTGACGGCTGCTTGAATGGAATGATCTAATGCTAGCTAAAACTGATGCTGAATCCGTGCATATAACTACCCTCTTTACTCTAACTTTTTCCACCCATTTCAGTGCAATCATCACCCCCAACATCTCCACTGTGTTTACCGCTAGACCGTCTGATGTCCTTCTATTGATTTCAATTCCTCTCGATGGCACCACTACCCCTAATCCTGTCACCCCCGTCTCAGGTTGTTTTGCCCCATCCGTGTATACCTGAACAAATCCGCTATATTCTTCCCTCAGGCGCTGATTAACTACGCTGACCAAGCTTACCTGTCCTCCCTCTTTCCTTTTCTTTCCCATTACACTCCAATCCACTGTTGGCCATATCATTCTCCATGGTGGCATTGCTGGATACACTATTGTTAGGTCTACCTCCATCTCCCCCACCCCAAGCTCTGCTGTTATTCTATTCCCCATCCTACCAAAATGCTCCCTCTTACCTTTCCCCTCCTCCCAACACTCCTCTATCACTCCTTTTGTGGGGTGGGTACCACTGCTGCCCTTTAAACTAACCCAGTAGTTTGCTATGAGATGTTTGCGCCTCAGGCATAGCGGCATCTCACCCAACTCCACCTGTACTGCAGGCACTGGTGACGTCCGGAAGGCCCCACTACAGATCCTTAATGCACTTGTCTGGATCGTATCTAGCTTTCCTAAAAGGGACTTTGCTGCTGATCCATAAACTATACACCCATAATCTATAACTGACCGAATCATAGCTACATATACTGTTTTTAATGCATCACAGCTCGCCCCCCATTCTCTGCCTGCAAGACACCTCATCACATTCAACACTTTCCTGCACTTACCCTCTACCCGCTTGATATGATCTGCCCAGGTTAACCTCTTATCAAATACCACCCCCAAATACTTAAATGCCTCAACCCTCTCCAGCTGCCTACCATACATACTCAATGACACATCTACTCCCACCCTCTTCCCGGTAAAAATTATAGTTTGAGTCTTCTCTACTGAAAACCTACACCCCCAATCTAAACCCCACTCTGTCACCCCATCAATCGCTGTCTGCACCTTAGTGACTAAATGTTTGGTGTTCCTCCCTCTCTTCCACAGTGCTCCGTCATCTGCGAACAGTGAGCTTCCTATATCTGCTGTTACCTCTGAAAAAACATCATTAATCATGATAAGAAACAATAGTGGGCTAACTACGCTCCCCTGGGGAGTGCCGTTCCTTACTTCATATTTACTAGATATCTCTGACCCTATTCTAACTTGAATCTTCCTATCATTCAAAAAGTCCTTTACCCAATTAAAAACTCTGCCCCCAATCCCCATCCCCTGCAACTTAATCAGTAATCCTTCCTTCCACATCATGTCATATGCCTTCTCTATATCAAAAAACACTACCACTACAGATTCCTTATTTGCCTGCGCCTTCCTCACCTCACTTTCTAGTCTCACCACTGCGTCCATTGTGTTCCTACCTTTTCTAAATCCGCTTTGGCATCTCGCCAGCGTACCTCTCTTTTCAAGCACATATGTCAATCTCTCTGTTACCATTCTTTCCATAATTTTACAAATGTTCGAAGTCAAAGCTATTGGCCTGTAGCTAGAAGGAGAGCATGGGTCCTTACCTGGCTTCCTGATCGGTACTACCTCTGCTTCCTTCCATACACTCGGTAGCCTTCCCTCCTCCCATACCTTATTATACAATTCTAACATCCTGTTCATCCCCTTTTCCCCTAAATTTTTCAGCATTACATAGCTTACCTGATCTCCCCCTGGAGCTGTAGGCTTTGCCTTCCTAACCGCTCTCACAAGCTCTGCCATAGTAAATCTGGTGTCTATCTCCCCCCTGAATCCGTCCTCCTGTCTAGAGCACCTGGATATCTACTCTGAGTCATCTCTCTTCTCCTCTTCCCCTCCATTGTCAGATTGTCTACACTATGCACCTTTGCAAATGCCCTGGCTATCATCTCAGCCTTTTCCTTATCATTTACTGCTGTCTCTCCTTCCTCTGTAATTACAGGATATTCCCACTCCCTCCTGTCCCCTCCCATCTTCCTTATCATACCCCATACTTCTCCTACTGGTGTTGTTCTCCCTATACCATTACAAAACTGTCTCCAACTCTCCCTCTTTGTGCGTCGAACTACTCTCCTCACCAATGCTTGTGCTCTCTGATATTCTAACAGACTTGCCATAGTATGGTTTTGTTTAATCTTTCTGAATGCTTTATTTCGGGCTTTCACTGCCTTGCTACACTCCTCTGACCACCATGGAACTAACTTCCTGGTCCTCCCATTTCTGCTCCTCGGAATAGCTTGAGTTGCTGCTGTGATTATTGCTGTTGTAACACTATTGTTGACTTCTTCCACATCCCTGTTTGTATCAACTACCTCCAGTAGACCCTCACTCACCTCCCTAAATTTATTCCACTCTGCTTTACTGTACACCCATTTCCGGAGCCCCCTACCCGCCCCCACCTCCACTCTTCCCCCTACTGTACACATGATTAAATAATGATCACTACCTAGCGACTTTCCTGACAACACTTCCCATTTACTGACTCCTGCCAAACTTGCTGATACCAATGTAATATCTATAGCTGACTCATTTCCTGTTCTGACATCTATTCTAGTCCCTCTCCCATCATTTAAACATACTAATTCCCTCTCCTCCATTAGCTCCTCAACTACCCTACCATCTACATCTGTGTGTTTCCCACCCCACAAAGTGTTATGTGCATTAAAGTCTGCGCACCAGATAACCTTTCGTCTATCAACCCCTTTTATCCTAACTAACCTATCCAATATTAACCTCCCCCCTGGATTATAGTAGTTAACTATAACCACCGCCTCCCCTCCCTCCCACAACTCTACCACTATATATTCCTGCTCTTCCCCACTTTCTATCAACCTATAAGAAATACCCTGCCTAATAAATATTGCGCACCCTCCTCTTGCTTCTTCTTCACTCCTATCCCTCCTGATTGTCATATACCCACTAACCTTAAAATCTAAGCTAGGTTTCAAAAAAGTTTCCTGAACACAAACTACGTCTGGCTGTATCTTCATCTTCCTTATATAGTGTTTCATCTCCTGTCCATTAGCCATCAGGCTCCTAGCATTCCACTGCAGCACCCGAACCATGAGCATGAGGTGACTTTCCTACCTCCTGGCTTCGACTCTGGTTCTTAATCTCCGCCTCTATCTCCTCCCACTTTAGTCCTTCCATCCCCAGATGATCAGCTGCTGCCTTCACAATATATTGTATATTGGTGGTCTTAGATGTAGACTTGCTTGTTGAGTTGATAGCTGCCACAATAAATACTATTAACTGCCTTTTGTCTATCCCTATCCTATCCTGATCTGACTGCTCTCTCCCCAACCCCCAAGTCCCCTTTCTTCCACCACCCCCTGTCTCCTCTACTCCCTGTGACCTTTCCTCCCTCTGTCTTACCATCTTTGCTGCCTCTGCATAACTTATCTTATCTAGCACCCTGATTTTCTGAACTTCTGCCTCCCTCTTCATAACTGGACAACCCCCAAACGTGACACTATGTTCCCCCCCACAGCTACAGCATCTTGGCTTGGTACCCTCCCCACATTTCCCATACTCATGGTCCCCAGTGCACCTCGCACATCTCCTGTTCTCCTTACAATATCTTGCAATGTGGCCAAATGACTGACACTTGTAACACCTCATCGGCTTCGGTATAAATGCCCTCACAAAATAGCTAATGTACTCTAGGTACACTTTATCTGGGATTACCTCTCCTTCAAATTCTACCAACACTGTCTCAGTTGTCTTCTTTTCTGGACCCCTTGTCATTCTTTTAACATTGGCAATTCCCGTGCCCCTAGCACGTAGCTTCTCCTTCAACTCCTCATCCCCTACCTCGATAGGAATCCCAGTAATCACTCCCTTACATCTTCTCCCCTGCACTCCAACCCGCACTACCCTCACCACTCTACTCTCACCCACCTTAGTTAACTTCCTCACCAAGGCTTCCTGGACATCACTTGAACATTCCACAATCAAATTGCCGTCTCCCAAAACCCTCGCATACTTCAGCTCTCCGCACTTCCCTGTCAGTTTCCTTGTCAGCTTAAACGGATTCATTTTCCCTATCCCACCTCCCTCAGCAAACCGTATAACCAACCTAGTTCCTTCCTCCCTGCTCTCTCCCTCAGAACTAAAACTCTCCATGTCTTCTTCGTTCGATGAATTTTGACTGTTCGTTCTTGGTCTCTTTCCTTCTCTCCCCTGTCCCCCATCCCCTTTCCCTACACTTCCATCCTCCCTCCCGGCCCTAGACCCCCTCCTACCCCTACCTTTCATCCCTATCCGCTAAGGTTATAGAAAAGAAAGAAATAAAGAAAGAAAGAAATAAAGAAAGCAAGGTAACGGGCACCGGTCCGGACCTATACAGGCCGTCGGTCGATACCCGTCCCCGGAAACCCTAACGTTATTTTAATCTGACCGATTATCTAATTCACCCAGCTAAATCTCAGACGTAACTTTGCTTTATCCTCCGAAGTACATTCATACACTCCAGTCACTTCAATTCTCGCGCCCACACCGAACCACGATGACGATCCTCCTCTCAGCCCGCGACTGCCATCCACGTGCTGTCCACCACGGCGTCCGGAACCGGATCTCCGCTGCCTGCTGACTGGTTCGCCTAATTTCACTCAGTGCGCAGACAGCAGTACCCGGGGTGCGGTCCAGGAAGAGCTAATTGAACAATCATTTAATGTTTAGGATTAAAAGTCTGCTGACAGAAAATGACGTCGCTGCCCCTTTAAGGGACCAGCGACACAGACGCAGCACGTCAGTGACGCCGCAGCAGAGACCTGAGGGACAGAGCAGAGGAGGAACCGGAAAAGACGAGCGGTGATTAATTAACAGAAAAAGTCGTGAAAGAGTCGATAAAACAGTTGAAAACCGTAACTTACCTGGTCGGGATCTGACGGGGATTTTATGAGAACGAAGCGACGTCTGTTTTGATGAGTTTTGTGTTTATTTTCATGCATTTTCACCGTGTTGTACTTTTTTTCTCTGGCGGAGAGCTAACACTAAAACCGTAACTGTTTACAGAGAAATACTCCGTCATAAACTGTTATCCAGTTTATATTTTGGGTTTATGAAGACTGTGAATGTTATAAAAGTGTGTGTAAGCTGTGTAAATAGAAGATTTGTGCAGTAATTAGTACGGGAGACGGAGCCGTGAGATAAATTAGACGTCCCGCTCCGCCGCCATTTGAGTTGAAAAAACACCGTAGCAGTAACGTTACAACTCAGAGACTGTGAAGCATTTAATTTTGTAATTTGAAGATTTAAAAAGAGTTTTATTGTGTTTTTGGCCTGTTACACAGGTCAGGTTTTTTTGCGCGGTTGGAAGCTCGGTCGGAGCGAGGACTGGTCCGCCAGACGGGATTCAAGATGGCGATCCAGACCCAGACCTTCAACTCATCTTCCCCATCTCATCGTGAGGGAATCTCCTGCGTGTGGTGACTCCTTGCCACAGTGGTAGGCTATCAGGAACTAGTTTGAACTGAACAGAACTGAGAACTGATTGAATTATTATTTTTGGACTGAATCGAACTGAGACTTTTCATTGAACTGAACACTTGAATTCACATTTGGACTTGAACTTAAATTTGAAGTGTCATACTTTTATTTTTTATTGAGTTTATATTTTTGAATGTGATTTGAATAACTGTGGTCCACTTTGATTTATTTGTGATTAAGGTTTTTTCTTACCTGTAAAAGAAGGGGGGAAGAAAAAATAGGAATCCTGAAATAGATACAACCTTGGAAAAAGAGACTGGTCTAATTAAATTAGATTAGCTTTAGTAAAATAAACTTGGTGAACTAAAGAACAAAAAATACTTTTTTCATTTATACTTACCTCATTATTGATAACCTGCAGGGTATTTTTGGTTTCATATACTATGTTTTATATGTGTGTTTATATATTTAGTAAATTGCCGGCCTTTTCTACTTAAAGCAACGGTCTCTGGTGTTATTACTCTTGCTCCCCACTCCTTAGAGCCTAGAACTGGTCCAGTGGCGCAGTTAGTGGTGTGATACTGGTGCTACATAAAGGTGTTTTTTATTGAGCCGAATTATCAATAAAATGATGATTTTGTTAACAGGTATGAATATATGTGCTGTCGGGGTAGTATTTGTGAACAAGAGCACAGTAAAGTTAAATCAGCTAATTTTCCAATGAGATTCTGTTACTAAACGGAGCTACACCATGTTCTACTCAGGTTAGTACATATAGGGTCCCAGCCATAGTACTAGACACCAAACATCTTTTTAACTTTGACTCATTTCTTTAGCAAAGAGACTAAACACAACTCACCTGCTCTCTTCCAGCAGCCGCTTGTTTGTAGCGAGACCTCAGGCCAGTCCATTACGGACTACAGCGGGGTGACGCAGCTCAAGGAAGAACATTTATGATCATTTCTTCATAGAAATACAATCAGACCGAGACGCTAAAGCAGAAGAACTACCGCGTCTCCAGTGCAAAATGATTAATATGGTGATTATTACTTCAAGGAAATGATTAAGAAATGATGATAAATGTTCTTCCTTTAGCTGCGCCACCCCGCTGTAGTCCAAAATGGACTGGCCTGAGGTGTCCGTACAAACAAGCGGATGCTGGAAGAGAGTAGGTGAGTTGTATTTAGTCTTGCGGACCCTATATGTCCTGTTGATGAAGTCAGGTGCTGTTCTGAGCATTATTTGTGGCTATAGAGTGGCGTTTTGGTTGAGCGCATTGCTCTCTGTATTGCTATCCTGTGGTCGTTACTAAAGTTGGTATAACTAGAGAAGCAAGCGGTCGGCAACATTCATCTCTTGACGGGGGTGTCTAACTCAGTGTTACGGTGTGTTTGACCTGTACTTAATTTTACGCCGGAATATCCCTTTACAGTTTCATTAAAAAAGAGAATACACCGTACTAGATGACCTTAGACTATCATTTATTTGTGCACAATCTTAATAAAAGTACAAAATGTACAGAGTTAAAAGCATAAATAACCTTTCTAATAAGAGTTACATCAACGATTTAGGAAAAACTGTCACAAAACACAATCGATCAACAGATTCCCGGTAGGATATCTTTTTATGCAGATGATATTTGGTTTTACCAGAACTAGTCCGTTAGTGGAAACAGGTGAGTTTCCCCGCTCTGTGCAGAAACAGCAGAGGTGACACTAAACTACAGGGCAGACCAAACACCTGTGTACAAATCAGCGCCAAACATCTAGCATGGTCATTCAGAAGTGTTGATAGAGCCAGAACAAGACCCACAATGAAGGCAGCAAACCACAACCAAAGACAAGCCATGATCACTGTGATGGTGAAGAAAGCCTTTTTCTTTGATTGGTCAACCCTCTCTCTGTTCCCGCCCATTTCCCCGGGCCGTGGACGAATCAGAACACAGAGAACACTAAAGCTGCAAAAGGAGGTGATAATTAAACCGACAATCAACAAACAGAAATATGGACCGAAGTTAAGTTTGTCTTTCCACTGAACCACCAGTCCACTCCAGAGACACGAGAAGAGCCAAACACACAGAGTGCTGATGTTCCTGATCCTGACCCCACCTGAATGTCTCAGCTTCAGGTACAAGACCGGGTGGACGACCGCCAGGTATCTCTCCAAACAGGTCAGGACGTGAAAGCCGATCTGTCCAGGCAGAACAATGTAGGACACATCAAACGCTACCACCATCATCACGTAGTTATGAGTTAATCTGCCACAGACGAAGAATGTGCCCGTCACTACGCAGATAATCTCCACGGCAACCATGTGGTAGGTGAAGATATCCGAGTGGCTGGTCGTTGCAAAGGAGCGCTGCTGCCGCCATTGTCGGTAACCGAGGTAGAGGACGAGAACGCAGAGAGGGATGAGGAGGAGGCTCTGAGTGATCACTTGGGCGATGAAGACGTAAAATACATCCAAAGGGTCGATGCAGAGGATGTTCAGATCATCGAGGAGAGTGGAGTTGTTCAACATGTCGGGTTCGTGTCTGAGAGGACAAGAACAGAGAAAATCGGTGAACAGGATGTCAAACTATCATGACAAACTGTGACCATTCATTTCAGAGGTTGATTTTATCTGCTGGATCGTTTTCAGTCCATCTGAGTCAGGAGTTTGGATAACATCTATAGAAAGACTGGATTTAAAGATATTAACTGAGAAGCATCAAGAAAGGACACTGACCTTGTTATCCAACCTCTCGTACGGCTCTTGTTCCAACACCTTCGTCCGTCTGAACACAAAGTGAAGTATAAGCAGGAAATCTGGAGGTGGGAAAAATGACGAATTTGTACGCTACACTGTTAACTCGTGTATTTGCATATTGAGAACCACAACAGGCAAATTCTCTTTCCATTCAGGGAGGCTCAGCTGTGAGCGAGGATTGAGAATCAGAGCTGGTTCAATTATTCAGAGTGAATTATCAAACAGGAGTGTTGATTTCTCTAGATCTCATACATCTATAGTGTGTGTTTTTGATGTTATTTGAACTCTAAGCAGATCACTTCATGTATTAAGATTTTTCCACTCACTTTATTCGCCTTCATGTTTAACAAATGACATGCAAACAAAGACTGGAGTTTATTCAAATGAAACAGTCATGCAAACTTTGGACAGTCATCATTCAAAATGCAGTGTGGTGGAAAATGTTCGCACCGGTGGTTTATGTCAGTGAATGTAAAAAGGTAACTGGAAAGTCTTTAATGATTTCCTGCCGCTCCTGTTTGGTCGTCATTGTGATGCCTCAAACCTAAGCGAGAACTACAATTCCCAAAAGGTGTGGTTTCTTCCACAGGTGTGTTGTGCACTGCTGATTGTTACCTCATAAAAGCTGCCTGTTCTTTGTTTGATATATTAGCTCTGACGGAAGGTTGCAGATATCTTGTTTTAGATTCAAACTGTCTGATTCATTCTCAGTTCATACCAGGCTTAATGATCTTCATCATGAACTCCAGGCAGGTATAGACGGGTTTCTTGTCGCAACCAGGGGGCAAAATTCTGCTTCAGCGTTAACTGATATCAATGAAGATGCCGAATTGTTCGCAAGTTCTCCCTGACGCAATTGCAATAAAATGTCAATTCATTGAAAAATCACTTTGCCTTTCATTGCATCAAAATCAGTATCCATAAATTTCACTCATTTTACCAAGTTGTGACGTTGTTTTAGGTGTTTCTGATATCAGGAGCAGGGTCTTTATGTTTGCCGATTGTTTGTTTTGCCGATTCTTGCAGTTTACAGCACAACAGCTCCTTGTCATTTTCTTTCTCCGTTGAAACCGTGAGTAAAAATAAGAAATGTCCTGCTTTCTGCCCCCTAGCTGCGCGCGCATACCTGCAATGAGTTTGACCAGTAAAGCAATTTTTATCACATGGCATACCTTTGACGAAAGACTCTGCCGAGCTCTTTAGTATGAGAGGAGCTACTGCAGTTTTAGTTTTTGGTGCAGCTTGTTTGGTGTGTTTCATATTTAGGTGGTGGAAGAGATTGCTGATGTTTCCTCCTCCAGCAATGACAGCTACACGACACTCATTGTATAGTTTTGTCTTTTGATCATTGTCAGATTTTCTAAATCCGAAGAATCTCCAGATAACCGATGTCGCGACTTGCGCCATTTTTCGGAACAAGTTCCTCCTCCTCTTCCTCATGTTGGGTGGGTCGGGCTGCTTCCGTTTGCTTGGTACTGCCACTAATCTCCGTGTCCGCCAGATCGTCTATGCCAAGCAGTCTGCTGGACACACTGGTTATCACAGGGAGCGCACCCAAACCAGACCAATCAAATGGAGCGAACAAACTCCGCACGGCAAACGTTTGCGCTCCAGCTTTCCTGTTAGCGAGCACAGACAACTACACACTGATCAGAGAGATGCAGCCGACATCTGCTCTCTCTCTCCGGTATAAATGGTAGAGCGAAATATCTACCAGTAGACACTTTTATACCGTCATACCCCCCCCCCAACACTAACCAAGAGTATAAATGTTAAAGATATATATATTTATTGGTTTTCAAATCATTTAAACCATCACCAGTTAAAATAGTCCAAAAACAACAAATTCAATTCTACAGCTGGAAAATTTTGTCACTTTATTGAAAATGTACATTCACCTTGAGCCTTAAGAAGTTTGGACAGAGACTATCAAACTTCACCCAACTAATGAGGTGAATGTCCAACAGGTTGGAAAAAAGGATGTTCAGAGAGGCCGAGTCTCTCAAAAGGAAAGATGGACCACTCTGTGAGAGACTGAGTGAGCTTACAGTTCTGGATTTCATTACCTGAATGAGGAGAAATATCTTTACCTAAAGGACAAGGATCAAGATCCATATTTTATTAGTCTCCAGGACCTTAGTGGGACATGACTCTGCAGTGGGAATCACCACCTGAGCTCAAAATCACGTCTAAATCCAGTTTGTCATTGTGTCAACAAACTAAAGCTAAAACTGGACAGTTCATGAGGGTAACGATACCCAAAACTCTCTGGACCTGAACCTTTTAATACATGGTCTTACAAATCTGAATATGACAGCCTTACTGGAAATCCTGAACTCTGTGAAGAGGGTCCACCCAGCTCGTTTTCGGTTCCCAGTCCAAATCCAGTATCCCCTGATGGTATGGGGATCATCAGAGTCCATGTCATGAGTATCTTCCACATCAGTGAGGGCTGTGTAAATAATGAATGTGCATAAAAACTGAAAGTACTGAATATATCTTCACTTTGAACTTGTCAAAATGCAAAATTAAACCAACTTTACCATTGATTTAACAACAGCAGGTGAGTTTCCCCACTCTGTGCAGAAAAAGTAAAGGTAACACTAAACCACTGGGCAGACCAAACCAGTCGATAGATGCCAATAACAGACATCCAGTATTATCACCAATCAGGGTTGAATTGTCAAGAGCAATAAAAACGATGGTGGCTAAAAACCACAACCAAAGACAAGCCATGATCACTGTGATGGTGTAGAAAGCCCTTTTCTTTGATTGGTCAACCTTCTCTCTGTTCCCGCCCACTTCCCCAGGCCCTGGACGAATCAGAACACAGAGAACACTAACGCTACAAAAGGAGATGATAACTAAAGCAAAGGCTGACAAAGAAAGGTATAACTCT